GTTCCCTGAAGTTGGCCTGCAGGCACCAGCACTGGACTGCTCCTCACCCCACTGCCTCTGAACACATGGGGGTGTGGAGCAGACCAGGGAACAGGGGGTGGTGCCCTGATAAGCGTGAGAGGTGTCAGACGGGCGGGTGATTTATTGGGGTGATCACTAGCAGATTATGTGACGTCTGGTCACTGGGGTGTGCACCTGAGACCAACGTAATGCTCTAGGTCACTGTAACTGAAATATAAACAAAAGTTATTTTAAAAGTATACACAAGTTCTTCACTTGTCCTGGAGGTGATTCTGGCTTCACCGTGAGAGTGGAAACCTGTGTGTAAAGGACAGCCCGAGCTCTCTGTGAAGCCGGTAAGCGGTCAAGCACACAGGCCACATGCCCTGTTTCCAGTCCTTCCGCCACCTCAAAGGGGGGCCTTGTAAATCCTTCAAAACCCACTGTGCCCCTCAGGGCCCGAGAAGCCCCGCCACGTTTCTAGAGGAGCCTTTCCCTCGCCCAGCACCCACCCACTTTCTCCCCCAGCACCCACTTTCTGCTCCAGCCAGGCTCTTCCAGTGGCCCAGCGCTTTTTCCCAGCTTTCTGTCAGTCCCGGCGGACCTGCGGCCTGTCTGCCTTCCCTGGGATCTTCCTAAGAACTCCCACTTGATTTTCTAGAACTTTCTTACTTTCCCAAACACAATCCGGCTTTCTTTTGTGGTTTTCTGTTTGCCACAAAAGAAGCCAAAAAGATTAATTTTGATTATACCAAAATTCTTAAGTTTTACAAAAAGACAACATAAAGTGAAAAAAGCAAGGGTTCAAAGACTTAGGTCCAGATGAAATAAAGACTGCCTACAATTAAATAAGAAAAATAGGACGCACTTAAAAAATGGGCAAAGGATATGACAAAAAGAAAAACAACCCGAAAGGTTTATAAGCCAAAGGGAAAGATAGACGTTAACCTTAGTATTACTCAAATACGACAACCATTTTCCATCTGTCAGTTAAAAAGAAAGAAACCCAGGTCTGAAGGGGACACAGGTATCCTTTCACAATCGGTACAGACACAGGGAGGGCACCAGGAAAACGTCCACAGCCTACAACCTACTGATTCTGACCAGAAGCGGAGAGGCATGCACGGTTCTCTTCCCCGGCTGGGGCTAACTCAGTTCCTGCAAGTCCTACGCAGCCTTGGAGGAAAACTCTAGATCCTCGCACGAGTCACAGGCAAGACAAGCAGACCTTGACGTTGTTAATACCGTCCAACCAAGCAGAACTTCGAGGTGTCAACACGGTAAAATCCTGTCTCTTTTCTCAAGCTTACCAAAGACCCTCTGGAAAAAGAGTGTGGAAGGGAAAAGAGAAATTGGGTGGGGGGGGCTCATCCTGTCATTCACCACTCCTGATGTTATATTTTTTTTGGCTTCAATATTCCTCTGGAAAAACAGTCGATGCAAATTGTTTTTCACTCACCCCAAAGCTGGTTCTCCGCGCCTGGAGAATGACTCGAAGGCAGTGCTGCTGACTTTTTCACTGCGGCACACGAATAAAACCGCATTATTTGTGCGGCACATGGGCTTCGAGGCTGGATGAAGAGATAGATCACAACTGCATCCAGCTGGAAGCCTTCGCCCAGGTGACGTTCTGGGCTTGTCCTGCTCCCTCTAGTGGTCAGTCTCTACAGTCCTCTTCCTTTGGTCAGGTAAGGAACCCCAGGAATGGAGATGCAGGGTCACTCCTCACTCACAGTACAAACTTCCCAAGCACGTGTCCAGACAGACAGAACCAATACTGGGAAGCATGCTATTAGAGAAACACTTTCAACGGTTGATAGCAGCGATTTTCAACCTTTTTCATCTTATGGCACACATAAACTAATTACTAATATTCTGTGGCATACCAAAAAATATTTTCACCAGCCTGTCAAAAAAATTAGGTATAAATTTGATTCACTCACACGGGACAGCTCTGTTGTCTGTTGTCATTTTTTAAAAAATTTTATATCTAAGAGGTATTGCATGTTTTAAAAACTCTTGTGGCACACCGGTTGAAAATCGCTGGTCTATAGGTATGTAGGTGTGCTTAAATAAGGAATACCCATTTCGCTACATTCAAACCCCTCTGAAACCAGAGCCTGCAATTAGAATCCGCAATGCTAACTTTAGAGCGAGGAAACAGAACTGACGTCCTTCGCACCCGCTCCGTCAGGATGGACTTTGCCCGCCCTCGTTTACGCAGCTGGGAATCACTGAGTCAGTGGCATCTGTTTATTGAATCATCAACTCTCCTCTGTTCACTTGCTTGAAACACCTGACTATCTTCAGTAAAATGCCAAGTGGCCCTGCTAATGCTCACCCTAACATTAGCTTGCTTACCTGGAGTCCATGAACAGGTAAAGTTTGGGTATGATCATCAGGGTGAGCACGATGCACTTTCGTGCTCGATGTGGTTGCCTTTGTATCTGCTAACATTGATCAGGGCCAAAAAAAAAATGGACAGCTAGAAGCACACATCAGAGTTCCAACTGCCCCTCTTTCAGTGCGGATGAGATCAGCGGGAAGGTGCGGACTTTTTATACGTGACTGTTCGGACGTGTTCCCAAACAGATGTTTTTTTCCTGCCCAAGTGAGAACTAGGTGACACCTGCCCTGCGTTTGGAAGCTGCCTGTGTTCTGTTCAAGTGGCCTGGCGGGGAAGCGCATGTGGCCGAGTTTATTATCCTTTTCTGAGCCTCATTTTGTATTGTTTTGCTTATTTTAAGAAATAACACCACCACACACAAAAGTGATTAGTCACTACCTTTCACTTCTTTTCTTGGTCGGGCAAGGGGAGCACCGGGAATGCAGAGGATACAGTATTCTGCCTCGCCTACATTCATCCAAATGGAAAGGTATTCCCTCCCAAAATTAAGCTTGTTTGGGAAATGTTAAAAGCTGACATAAGTGTTAGAGGAAGTGCAATTCTGAATTGATAGGAATGGACTGCCATTAACTGCGTACAAAAACCATCACAGGAGTTAGTTTCTCCCACTGGCGTTATGTACAATCAAGCAAACACCTTGCGGTATAAATGAATTTATAAAATGATGCCACAAAAAACTGCTCCTGTACAATTTTATAGCCTTTCATTTTCTCAGCTGAAATTTTTTCATCTCCTCCATGTTACATTTTGTCATTAAATTCTATTTTCCACAACCCTTTCATTGATTTTGACATTTACATTTTGAACTTCATAAAACTTATTCTTTAAGCATTCTTTTATGGCATTCTTCTCTTTCTGTGTACACTATTTTTCTCATCTGGGGATAGTAATTACATTTTATTCTCTACTCCCTGCATCGGTTCTGTTCCCTTTGAGTGCCCCTCCACCATTTGCTGATATGAGTTTGCCACTTCAGAGGCTTTCATGTGTCCAGGCTGCTTGGCTCTCCTCCTCACCAGTGTGCTCACCAGTGTGCACCTCTCATGCTCAACACCTGCTTCTGGGGAAACCCAGCCTGCATGCTCGCGTGTGTGCAAGAATCTACTGGAAGGGTACAGTTACCTTAGAGAATCAGATGAAGAATTCACTTGTGCCCTTCCTTCTTGTGAAGATAGCTAAAAAGCATATTGCTAAATGAAAAGAAAGAGGGAATGATAGGTTTTTTTTGTGTGCAAATAACAAAAACTCAAGCACTTAGAAGTGGAATTTATTATAGAATCAAGGTCACCTTATAGGAAGACTCTAAGGATAAAAATGCCGCTTAGAAAGGTTGGGAAGAGAAAACGGGAAAACCTCCAGGAACCCAAGGAGTGCTCTTGCCATTTCTCAACTCTCCTTCTCTAATGCACAGGGCTCATTTCTCTCTCCACAGAATGGGCTAACTGCTAGCTGGCCCTCAGGGAGAGCAGACAATGAAGTCCCAACCCCCCCAAACAGGCTCTCTCGGTTTTCAAGTTCCCTGGGGAGAAGCCGGGGAAACTGTTGGGCTCAGACTGGTTCAGGTGCAGTCAGACCCCTCTGACCAGTAGAAAGTGGCTATCAGGACCCCATCCACGGCTGAGGTGAGGGTGACAGCTAAGGAAGTGATGGTCAGTTTTTAAAGTGACACACCAAAAGATGTTTTCTACAGGGGCTTTAATAGGCTGAAGACCTGGAAATCTCCTTTTTCTTTCTAAAATAAACAGGCATAAATTTTTGTGTTACTACTCTGAACTGGAGTGAGTACAGTATGTTCCCCTGAAGGAACATCTCTAAGTAAGGAGTAGTTTGCTAGTGATCTTGAACAAGTGTTTAATCTCATATGTAAGATGGAAATTATAATAATTACAAAAGCATATGAAATAATTCACTTCAATTATAAAATTTATTTACATTATATATACACAAACACATACATACAGAGGGGACAATACATTTACTTACCACATACAAATTCTGCTCCTCAACTACAAAGTTAGTTAGTTTATACAGTATAAACAGTGGTAAGAATTCCTAAAAAGCCCTCATTGTATTTTTTTATGTCTCATACTTATTTCCCGCCCACAACTGGACTAGATCTTACAATCCATAAGCATGTTTATAGCATTTATCTTCCCCTAAAAAGAAACTCTAAAATGCTATTATTAAACCAATAGTATATCTAACAAGTATTGTTATCTTATATCCAAGAACATAAAATATTTATGATAAGAAAAAGGTTTTTACCTATTTTAGTTTATCAGCAATACTTAATTCCATATATATTGGGTTGGCCAAAAAATTCATCTAGTTTTTTCCAAAAGATGGCTCTCACAGTGCTTAGTTGTCTTTAAATTCATTTGAAACAATTTTGTTAGACTGCATTGTGACAGCTGTTGTAACAGCTTGTTTTAAAAAAAACACTGAAATTGGTGAATTTTTGTATAGCCATTCTAATACTGAAGACAGAAGAAAATATGCAACATTTTCAGCACATTATGCTTTATTATTTCAAGAAAGGTAGAAACACAACTGAAATGCAAGAAGACTTGTGCAGTGTATGGAGAACGTGCTGTAAGTGATGGACATGTCAAAAGTGGTTTGTGAAGTTTCTTGGTACTATTGACATTGTGGCCAAATGACTTTTTGCTGTGGGGCTGTCTTATGCATTGGAAGATGTTTAGCAGCACCTCTGGCCTCTAGCTGCTAGAAGCCAAAAATAGAAGGAGATAACTGACATACTCAAAATATCCAAACCAATGAAGTTATTGATGAAAATGGAAAATGTGTCTTTTATGGAAAAAACTAATGGACTTTCCGCCAACCCAATACAACTCTCAGTCTTCCTAGATTCCCAGTGATCTTGAAATGGAAACCAGGTCATTTCATTGAACACGGTCCCCTCTTTTCTTTTTTTGTCAGAAAGCCCCTGTCAAACAGTAAATGCATTTTTTACTTTGCCTCGGAGCACACTGATCTGAATTAATCCCAGCCTCCCAGGTCTCAGGCTAAGATACATACAGATGAAAAGTAAAACATTAACTCAATTATTTGTCTTCCTACCACTTAACCATTTCAAATAATTTTGTTAGAGTTAAGTGAATTATGTGTCACCATCAGAAATATTCCCAATTTGTCTTTCCTTTAATAAAAGCAGCCTTTTTTCCTATGCATTTGAAAAACTACCCTTGCAGTAGTAACAGGGAACTGAGGAATGAGTGACTGACAATGATGATGTATGCAGAAATGTGATAAACTTTTCTTTCAAATAAATACATGCTCAAGTTCTGCATTTAAGGAATTACACTGGGAGGTCACATCTGCCTTACTGCTGTGTTCCAAGCACCTGTCACATGCCTGACATGTAATAGGGGTTTAACACACAGTATTAAATGTGCAGATGAAAAATTGTACGAGTGACAAATTACTATTCAACTGTCAGTTGACTCAAAGGTTACTACTGCCCACTTCAGCTCTGAAAGAAACTGCACTAAACAATGCCAAAGGAAAATGACAGAACAATACGCAAATTCTTGTAGGAATGATGATTTCTGCATATCTACCAAAAGACCATTATCACATATTAAATATGAAATACACAGTTCTAAAATCATCGTTTCCACCTTGAGGTGAATAATAAGCCTGGAGACAGAAAATGTGGATCCAGGCACAGCAGCTGCCCGAGACTCCCCCCGCGGCGGAGTGCCTCATATGGAACAATAGGTGTACAGCAGCTTCTGAGCCATCCTGACATTCCCGCTGTTCTGGTAAATGAGAGACAGGTTGTAGGCGATGTCTCTCCGCAAGTCCACCTGGTCAGCTTCTATGCCCTAGGGGGAGAAATACCCGAATGAGTTACATTTCAGACTGACAAGCAGGACACTTTTATGGTAAATAAACAGTTTTGTAAGTGCTCGAAAGGCCATTACAATTCATAATACTAAAAAAATTATAAAGTTGTGCACCTACCTTAGATTTAAATTTTTATCAGATAATGCTGATTCAGTTAACCATTACAGTAACTCTTTCATCAAATATTTTTAAATGTCCAACCCATAAATTGAAGAAAAAGTCTCACCCACAAGCCACAGCAGAATAAACTCCACATGAATTAAGGATTTAAAAGTAAAACAATGAAACCATAAAAGAAAAAAATACTTGAATAATATGATAATATAATGTTGGATAGGAAAAGCCCTTGTAAGAATAATAGCAAAAGTAGAAACTATACAGGGAAAGATGAACAGACATGACTTCATAAAAAAACATAAAACTGCTACAAGGACAAAAATAAATTATAACACAAAAGACCAGATGCGGGGAAAATACCTGTCCTGGGTAACAGGAAGGCATACAAAGAACAGGTCTGTCTAGGAGGATACACACCACACTAGTAATAATGATCACCATGGGGGTGTTACTGCCTTTTTTTTTTTTTTACTTAAATAACAAAGAAATGAACTCGACAGAGTAGATTAGATCTCTGTTTCTAATCCTCCCCATTGAAAAATATCTGCAACAAAGAAAAATGATATTTATAAAGCTTAAGGAGCAATATGTAAAGGTATGTAATAAAGAGCACCAAAGTGTATATATTTCATTAGCATAACTATAAATGTATGTATTCATTTGCTTAACAACCAAAGTTGAACAAGTGTAAGAGCAAACAGGTGAAAGAATGTGGGGATTATGAGTATAAGTTTAAAAAAGTAATAAAAACATACAATTTTCTTCAGAAATTAAAAATTAGACTTTAAACACAATTATAGTATTTGCAACAGTTTACCCTATACTACATCATCTAAAAAAATGGTTTTGCATCTTTAGAAAGAAATGTTAGTTACACTTGAACTTGAAAATGAACAAGGACTATATTACTCAATATTCAGGCTTCATGTCTGCCTGGAAACCACACAGGCTATCTTAGGATAATTAAAAGGGTCACAATCATAAGTCATATGTCCGTGTCACTGCTGATCAGGAAGAAAGCCAGGGTGTCAAAGACTGACTTGTTGCTGAACATAATTACATATTTCACTGTCTGGACCACAACACTGGGCTAAGTGCACTTATTTACATATGAAATGAAGCAGCTCTTCGGCCTTCTAAATCATACAATACCTCAACCACCAGTGGAGGGACCTCCAGGGCCTTCTGATAATAATGGATTGCAAGATGAATCAGCCCCAGCTGGTGATGGCCCCGGCCCAAATTGTAGAACGATTCCTGGCAGGGCCCACGTAGACTAAGGTATCGATTAAGAAAGGAAAAGCCCTACGAAAAAGAAAAAGACAAGTGATTTAGTAGTTCACTCATTTCACAAGCATGCACCACTGTATGTGCCGGGTGTGGGAAGACAAACATTAAAAGACACGGTCCCGCCCGGAAAGAACGCGCGTGCAGTGTGCTGCCACACCGCGGTGCAGGCAGGAGCTCTTCTGAGGGTGTGAAGGAATGGTTGCTTTTTTAAGCTAAAGACAGAAATATTCATAGAAACGTTACAACTGGCTATCAAAGATCCATAGTCTATAAAAACACAGGAGATACACACACACACACACACACACACACACACGGCTTCAAATTGGCTTTTTGGAGCCAATAAACTTTTAAACTTTTTGGTTTGAAATACATGTCTAAAAGCTTGAGCAAAACAGAAAATCTGAGCCCTCATAACGATGACACATTAGAAAGGTTATATCTCCAGGGGCAAGCTCACCTGAGCACGCCTAACCTTTCTCAGTAAGTGGTGTCTTTTGTAAGTTACTTCTCAGGACTTACCTTGTTTTCATTTAAAAATTTTTATTGTAGTTTTTTCATTACCACTTGTCCCCCTTTCACCCCTTGCTGCAGTCACCACACTGTCGTCCATGTAGGATCTTCCTTAAAAACCTCTTAGCCCCAAACTTGTCCCCCCAACCTCAAAAGCTTCTGGCTCAAAGGCTACAATAAATAAAGCCTTTGGGAGGGAGACACGGACAGTTTCAGAGTGGCTGCAGCTGCAATAATGAGGCTCCCATGGGTCACAGCTCTTCCCATGTTCACCTTTTCCCTCCATGCAGCTGCAACTTCTGTCACCCACAGACAGTTACAGACCGCGACAGTGCAAGTGTCCTATGAAGTAAGTACCCATATTTTGCTGTGTATAATGCACACTTTTTTGAGGAGAAAATAAGGATGCGCATCAAACATGGGTAGTACCTGAAGTACCTTGTATCTGTTCTTCTGTTTTGTAATTATTTGTTACATAAAATTTCTTGTATCATAATATGTTCAAAAATAAATGCTAAAATTATTTTATAATACAAAAAGAAGCCCAAGTATCTAAGTATAAATAAATGAATAATTGAATTAAAAAATTAAAAACAAAAGATTTTTTTCCTGAAAGTTTGGGTCAAAATGTGGGCGTGCATTATACGTGGGAAAATATGGTAAATAAATATATTACTGAGAATTAAGAGTAAATCAACTAATTTGTGAGAATAGAATTTAAAATGCAATTATTTCCTGGGTGATCTGCTATATAATAAATTACCACAAATGTTCCTTCACAAATAAATAAAAATTCATGAATTCTTTAAAATTAATGCATTTTTAGGGACAAAAAGTTATGTTCAATAAACAAATCATACTTCTGCATAATAAAAGAACCCATTTGTGTATGTGCATATGACCTCTACTCCACTGAAAAGCATGGTTCTCTGTTAAGTACAGAAAACAAACTACTGATCTCAGAGAAATATCAGATCTTCATACTTTAAAATGACAAACTAAAAGCCAAAATCTGAAAAGAAGAAACAGTAATACCGGATGAATCACTGCAACCCAAATGAACTTGAAGGTCCTCTGATACAATAAAAAAAAGTTACCTGCTGCATTTTAAGAAATTTTTAACAAGTTTATGAGGATAATCTTGACAGCTAAAAAAACTAATAAAATATGTTGTGATTTGCAGGAGCAAGTATAAAGGACACACGGACGAAAACCAGGGGAGGTAGAAATGGGAGGGAGGTGGGGAGGACTGGGGGCATTGGCTGGGATGGGAGTAAAAGGCAGAAAACCATACTTGAACAATTAAAAAAATATATTTAAAAAATGTAGGTAATATGGGTGTCCACATTATTTCTTAGACTATGAATCATCAAGCATAAAAACTACAAAAAAATGATGAAAACATTGAAATGGGAAAGAGAAATTGGTTCTTTTTATATTATGTTACATTTCAAACATTTTTATCACATCAATCACTATAGAGCCCAGGTATATACTGTCTATATAATATTAAATAAAGGTAGAAGTAAGAAAACATGAAAAATTTTACTCTTATAGTATACATATAAAGGTAGGAAAGATAAGTTAAAATATCTGAAATTAGCTTTTTTAGTAGGACAAATGAAAACTATAGTCCTATAGCATGAGGACATAGATTCATGAGAAATTAAAACAACTTAAGAATTGTGCTGTTTACAATAAAACTTGCCTTTAAATTTTTTTTTCCAATGAAAACTGTTTAACCGACATGAGAGATTAGTACAACAAAATCCCATCTACCCATTACTTCTTGTTCCACTTCAACTACTGAAAACCTACAATTAAACTATAAAAGTGATTTGTACTTTTTTAATGTCATTGATAGGTTGCAACTTTAAGCAAAATGACGGAAAATGAAACCAGTTTTACCATAGGCTGATATAAACCCGAGTAAGTTCCTACAGCATCGCATCATCATTATAATGAACGGATGTTGAATGCAACATTATCCAAGGAACTGAATTTTTATCCTACCAGGCCTAAAAACTACAGAATTGAACTATTAATAATGAGTTAATCCATAAAAATTTCCGTTCAATTTTTACCTATCAACTTCATAAGCTTCACATGGGCAGGCAACTCTGCCTCTGTGCTTCCTCGGCTCTCCACCCCTGTCCCGGCACAATGGGTGTTCACTACCTACCTGTTTAATGTATAAACAATCCTACATCACTTAACACAGCCAAACTACCCACTGAGGTGATTATGGAAATTTTCAAGTATATACAAGTAAAAACACTATAATGAACACCAATACCCAGTTTTAACAATTACCATCACTTTAATTTAGGGTTTCTTTTCACCATTTTATTTTTAAAAAACAAACAAAAATCCTTTACCAAATCCTGCTACCCAACCCAGCCAATACTTTCTTTCCTTTGCTAACTACTTAAAAATATACTTATACATGCATCAAATATATACATATAAAAAGTGCAATTGTAAGAACAAAAGGGTTGAAAATACAGTAGTGAGCAAGACAGATAAGACCTCTGATCTTGGATTGTATATTCTTTTCTTTTTTTAGGTTATTTAAGTAATTTATTGTTAGACAGAGGAGAAGGGAGGGAGAAAGAAAGGGAGAGAAACATCAAGGTGCGGTTGCCTCCCACACGCCCCCTACTGGGGACCTGGCCCACAACCCAGGCATGTGCCCTGACTGGGAATCCAACCAGCAACCCTTTGGTTTGCAGGCCAGCACTCAATCCACTGAGCTACACCAGCCAGGGCTTGAATTGTATACTCTTATTAGAGAAGACAAACTACAAAAAAGTACAGAGAATGAAAAGGTAATTCCAAACTGCTGTAAGAAACAAGAAAACTTTAGGAGAAAATTTGTTGGTGATGACGTAAAGAAACAGTACACAGTCACATATTTATACATTACTGTATACATATTATATTTTTTAAAACTAATTTAAAGTAAATAAATCCTTAGGACCTAGAAGACTTGAGGCATTAGGGGTTCAAGTACGAGGAGGTCTGCACAGGTTCCCCTCTGACTCCACCTGTATCTTCTCCCCACAGGATCTGGCTGTGGGCCTTTTACTACGCGGCTGCACAAGTCTGCGGCAGGAGTACCTGCAGGAGCCGAGTCCATGAGTGCTGAACAGAGGGGTAGGTGCTGGAGATACCAACATGTGTACTAAGCAGGTATTACTGTTGGAGCAGGATAGCAAACATTAAGCAAGCAAGCATTCATTCATTCATTCATTTTTAAATGAATGAATGAACATATATTCATTTTTAAAGAACATATCATCAAGTAATGAGAAATCCAAATTAATTACCTGCACAACAAGAGCATGTCTCCTTAACACATACTTCTGAGATGCCATGTGAATAAAGGTTAGGCCTATACACAGGCTATAGAGAGGTTGGTGGGGATCGGTGCGAAAGGCTTGTACATACTGGCCTGAAAAATGAACAGTGATAGTAGATGATGTAACAAGAACATAGTTCCTTATTTCTCCAACACTTATTCTAATACATTTTAAGGCTAAACAAGCATTACTGATAGTTAACATATCCAAGTGTACATTCTAAAATATCAACCAGATACAAATTTGAATTTTAAAATAGTATATAACATAGAACAAAATTAGAAGGATTTACCCATGAATGTATACAGAGCACAAATATTAAACATAAGTAACTAAAATTAATATTTTTTAAAAGATTTTTATTTATTTATTTTCAGAGAGAGGGGAAGGGAGAAAGGGAGGGAGACAAACATCAATGTGTGTTGCCTCTTGCATGCCAACTGGGGACCTGGCCTGCAACCCAGGTATGTGCCGACTGGGAATTGAACCAGCAGCACTTTGTTTCACAGGATGGCACTGAATCCATTAAGCCACATCAGCCAAGGCTAAAAGTAACATTCTTTTAGGTACAACTAGACACTTTCATGTAGAGTTAACACTTCCAAAACAAGCAATTTATCAATTGTGATCATAAATCTATCTTATGATCTTATGACCTTAAAGCTATTTTAAAAGCAATGAAGGAATATGTCTTTTGATGAATTCTTTCATAAAATCAATTGATCTGTCTTATAAAGTCAAATGTAATGGATCACAGAGGTGAAAAAAATAGTGTTTTGTTTTTAGACAATGGGTGTTGTTTTTCTAAATATAACAGCTACTTTGTTTTTCCTGGGAAAAGCTAAATGTATTGAATGATAAAGTAAGATTTTGGGGACTTCCGGCCAAGATGGAGGCATAGGTAAATACACTGTGCCTCCTCAAACAACCAAAATAAGGACAATTTAGAAACAAAATAACAACCAGAACTGATAGAAAACTGAACTGTATGGAAGTCTGACACCAAGGAGTGAAAATAGACACATTCATCAGACTAGTAGGAGGGGCCGAGTCGGGAAGCTGGGAAGAGAGGGGTTGTGACACAAAAAGCAATGGCACTGGGTGCATAAAGCATCCCAGGCGCACAAGACCACAGCAGGCAGAACCTGGGCGAGGGGTGGCAACGGGCAGACCCAGTGAGGTGGCGACCGTGAAGTGAGGCACTACACCCTAGGTGGCTGGCTGACCGGGCGGTCCACCATTCATGCACAGATAAACCAGGTGAAACTGGGGAGTGACACACACCGCGCAACCCAGGGTCCCAGCGCCGGGAAACAGAGCCTCAGGGCACTGACTGAAAACACCTGTGGGGGTTGAGGTGCCAGGAGAAACTCCCAGCCTCACAGGAGAGTTCACTGCAGAGACCCACGGGGTCCTAGTCTGTGCATAAGCCCACCCACATGGGAATTAGCACCAGAAAGGCACAGTTTGCTTGGGGGAAGCGACAGAAGGGAGTGAAATCCAACAGAGAGCGGAGCAAGCGCCATTGTTCCATCTCGGACCCTGCACCCACATACAGCATCACAACACAACCACTGGGTTGCCCTGCCCTGGTGAACACCTAAGGATCTGCCCCTCATGTGTAACAGGTACAACAAGACCAAAAAAAAAAATGCCCCAAAGGGAAGAACAGATCAAAGCTCCAAAGCAAATACAACTAAGCGACCAAGAGATAGCCAACCTATCAGATGTGCAGTTCAAAGCACTGGTGATCAGGGTGCTCACAGAATTGGCTGAATTTGGTCGCAAATTAGATGAACAAATGAAGGCTACAATGAGAGAGAGAAATGAAGAAAAATGCACAGGGAACCAATAGTGATGGGAAAAAAAACTGGGACTCAAATCAATAGAGTGGACCAGAAGGAAGAAAGAAACAACCAAACAGAAAAGAATGAAGAAACAAGAAGTCAAAAAAATGAGGAGAGGCTTAGGAACCTCCAGGACATCTTTAAACATTCCAACATCTGAATTATAGGGGTACAGAAGAGGAAGAGGAAGAGCAACAAGTGGAAAAGTTACTGGAACAAATAATAAAGGAGAACTTCCCCAATCTGGCAAAGGAAATAGACTTCCAGGAAGTCCAGGAAGCTCAGAGAGTCCCAAAGAAGTTGGACCCAAAGAGGAACACACCAAGGCACATCAGAATTACATTAGCCAAGGTAAAAATGAAGGAGAGAATCCTAGAAGTAGCAAGAGACAAGGAGACAGTAACCTACAGAGGAGCTCCCATCAGACTGTCAGCTGATTTCTCAAAAGAGACCTTACAGGCAAGAAGGGGCTGGAAAGAAGTATTCCAAGTCATCAAAGGCAAGGATCTAACATCCAAGGTTGCTCTATCCAGCAAAGCTTTCATTTAGAATGGAAGGGCAGATAAAGTGCTTCTCAGATAAGGTCAAGTTCAAGGAGTTCATCATCACCAAGCCCTTATTTTATGAAATGTTAAAGGGACTTATCTAAGAAAAAAGAAGATAAAAAAACATGTATAGTAAAATGACAGCAAACTCACAATTATTAACAACCACACCTAAAAGAAAAACAAAAATTAACTAAGCAATCAACTAGAACAGGAACAGAACCACAGAAGTGGAGATCACATGGAGGGTTAGCAACAGGGGAGTGGGAGGAGGAGAGAGGGGGGGAAAGGTACAGAGAATAAGTGGCAGAGATGGTAGGCAGAAAACAGATAGGGGGAGGGCAAGAATAGTATGGGAAATGTAGAAGCTAAAGAACTTATAACACATGGACATGAACTAAAGGGGGGGAATGTGTGTGGGAGAGGGTGTGCAGGGTGGAGGGGAATGAAGAGGGGAAAATGGGACAACTGTAATAGCATAATCAATAAAATGTATTTAAAAAATAAATAAGATTTTGGGTTTTTGTGAATTCCATGTATTGTACATATACAATCATGTCATGTCAAAAGTTTACCAATATGAAATGAGGAAATTTAAGCAAATTTTTCTTATAAAAGGATCTATAACTTATCTCATATATATACTTTATATATGTGTGTGTATATATATTTATACATACATATATAAAATGTACATAATATGTAAAAACTTCTATTCTTTCCAGCTTCTATTCCAGGAAGAATGACACCACAAAATCTCTTTAGCAGCACTGACTGGTAGACTACCATTTGGACATTCTATTTTTACCTTCTGTAAATTTCTAAATATAGAAAATAAAATTAATCCCTATTTTCTTAATATTAAACTAACAATTCCAAACAGCACACACAGTGGAGATTTTAAACATCTGATGTTCGAGGTTACTGACTGAACAATTATAAAAGCACCAGCCACACACATAGAAAAAAAGTATTAAAATCGCCAAACCACAGTTTATTCAGAAGTGTAGTTGGTAATGCTGGTTTTCAGGTAGCAGAAGATACATGTGCCTCATTTTAATTTTAAACCTTTCATTAGGTATTTTTCTACTTGTTTTCTTCTGATACCTGGATTTAATTAGAATTAGTAAGCACTATGTAAATACATCTTGATATGAAGACTTTTCTCCCAAAGGAATAAACTATCAGCAAATCTTAAATCCTTTTTTGTACTATAGTAAATTAAAATCAGGTAGCAAAACATCCAATTGAATGAAAATTGTTTAAAAACAAGCCTAAGTAGGGAGAGTGGTTTACCTTTAAAATAAATTTAAATTTTAAAAATAAAAAATAAAAAGTTTTAAATTTAATTTTTAAAAATACAAAATAAAATTTAATTTAATAAAAATAAAAATAAAAATAAAAATAAAAATAGGTTTTTAGGTTCTGGCCAAAATGGAGGTGTACGTAGAAATGCTTTACTTCCTTGCACAACCAAGAGAAGGATAACAACCAATTTAAAAACAATAAACAACCAAAACTGCCAGAATACAAATCTGCATGAAGCACCAACAACCAAGGAGTTAAAGAAGCATTCATCCAGACTGGTGTGCCATGACAAAGAAGTATGGCCCAAATGAAACAACAGAGCCAAAGTCCAGAAAAAGAGCTAAGCAATGAGGAGACAGACAACCTGCCTGATGGAGAGTTTAAAGCCCTGGTAATCAGGATGCTCACAGAATTGACTGAGCTTGGTCACAAAATGAAGGAAGAAATGAAGGCTACGCAAAGTGAAATAAAGCAAAATATACAGGGAACCCACAGTGAAGGAAAGGAAACTGGGGTTCAAAGTAATGACTTTGAACAAAAGGAAGAAATAAATATCCAACAGTAACAGAATGAAGAATTCAAAAAAATGAGGAGATGCTTAGGAACCTCTGGGATGGGACAACTTTAAACATTCCAACATCAAAATCATAAGGAGATCAGAAGGAGAAGAGGAAGAGCAAGAAATTGAAAACTTACGTGAACAAATAATGAAGGAGAACTTCCCCAATCTGGCGAAGGAAATAGACTTCTAGGAAGTCCAGGAAACACGGAGAGTCCCAAATAAATTGGACTCAAGGAGGAATCCACCAAGGCACATCATAATTAAGTAACCCAAGATTAAAGAGGAGAGAGTCTTAAAAGGAGCAAGAGAAAAGAAGAGTTACCTACAAAGGAGTTCCAATCAGACTATCAGCTGATTTCTCAAAAGAAACATTGCAAGCATGAAGGGGCTGGAAAGAAATATTTGAGTCATGAAAGGCAAGAACCTAAATCCAAGATTACTCTATCCAGCAAAGCTATCATTTAGAATGGAAGGTCAGATAAAGTGCTTCCCAGATAAAGTCAAGTTAAAGGAGTTCATCATCACCAAGCCCTTATTATATGAAATGTTAAAAGGACTTATCTAAGAAACAGAAGATCAAAAACTATGAACAATAAAATGACAACAAACTCATAAAATGACAACAAACTCATAACTATCAACAACTGAACCTAAAAAACAAAATCTAAGCAAACAACTAGAACAGGAAGAGAATCACAGAAATGGAGATCACATGGAGGGTTATCAATGGGGAGGGAGAGAGTTGGGGGGGGGAGTAGAGGGAAGAAGAAGCATAAGTGGTAGGTAGAAAATAGACAGGGAGAGGTTAAGAATAGTATAGGAAATAGAGAAACCAAAGAACTTATATGTATAACCCATGGACATGAACTAAGGTAGGGGGAATGCTGGAAGGTAGAGGGAGGTGCAAGGAGGATGGGGGGATAAAGGGGAGTAAAAAATTGGGACAACTGTAACAGCATAATCAATAAACTATACTTTAAAAATAATTTTTTATTTTTAATAGAGAAAATAAAAATTTTTAAAAATAAAAAAGACTTCAGCCTTTAGAAACCAAAGCTTCAGCAGAGAAAGAAATATTATGATTATTGCTAACACTTATAGCCACTCACTATATGTGCCAGGCACTGTTTTAAGTACTTTATATTAACTCATTTAATTTTCACAGCTGTTTACAAGGCAGGCCCAGTTATAAGCTCCACCTCAGAGACACAGAACCAGAGGCAGGGGCAGGAGAATCTGCAGTGCTAAGCAGCAGTGTGAAGCCAGGCACTGCCATTCCAAAGGCTAGGTTCTTAGCTACCCACTGTCCACACCTGACAAAGTCATGGGCCAGGACACTTACCAAGGGCGTGCTTAAAACTACCAGATACGAATGCATTGTGTCCATTTAAGACACACAGGGCATGATTATCTGGGTTTTTCAGCATTAAACGGAGACAGAAACGATGATGCCGTACTTCTTGAGAGTGCATGGTAACTTGGTTGAAAATGTTCCAGAGCTGGGGTCTATTGACATTTTCCATTACCATTATCCTAAAATTGAAGGAAGAAGGGGATAATAAAAAATAGTGTAAAAAGAAAAACTTCCTGATATCTAAGAATTAAACTGTTCAGTGCTGTCCTAACAACACTGAAACATACCACCCTCCCAAAGGGCAGAGTGCTGCAATCTATTTAAGCAAAACCTTTTACACACGGAAGGGTTTCCCCCAAAAACACTGTTTCAGTTATTATTTCTGTATCTTGTTTCTGCATTTTAACAAAACCTTTTAAACCAAAAAAAAGAACTGAGTTAAGTTTCACTTTTTATCTCCCTTCCCACTACAACTGCAGTACAATGAACACTGAATAATAATAATGTGTGCCACGCACTGTTAAAAAACTCATCATTTAACTTCCACAATAACCCTATGAACTGATAGTATTATGATGTCCATTTTATAAATGGGGAGGCTAAAGCAGAAGAGGTTATGTATATGAGTTCATGTTCTCATATATTGTCTGGGACTCCCCAAAGAATTGAATTAACCAGTAAGCAACAGGAGAGATAAAACAAAATAGCTTATTAATTCTTGAGCATGTAAGTCAAAGTACATATACAATACTCTATCAAAGAACTGAATTAAAAAAAAGTTACTGGAAAGTTACCTGATATAGTTGTATGCCTTTCTGAAATTTTTGTCCAGAATTGCAGCAGAGAGACCAAAATATTCTAGTTCTTTGCGTTTTTGTTTGTGTTCGTAAAATGAACAATACTCCAATGCAGAATCCACTAGTAACTCAGCCTCCTGAAATCGGGACAGGTCACATAAGGAGTATATGGCCTTTAGAAGGAGGTTCCACCAGTCATCTTTTGTCAAGACACTCGTGAGTACAGCAAATATTGCTAAAATGAGACCAGTAAAAATTAGTTAGGATACTGTTTTCCAGAAATAGCACTATTAGAAAAAAAATGTCATGACTGCTTTTAGGTTAAATGTAATAACCACAGTCCCATGGGCCTAAACTCTGGCCAACAACTCTTCTCAAAACAACGCACAGAGACGGCCGCCTGCTTGCAACCCTTCAACACCACCCTCCTACTCTGCCTGCCAGCAGTCTGCATTCTCAGGGACTCTCTCTCCTGCTCTGCTCTCTACCAAGTCCGGCTGCCACCTCTGTGCTTCCTGGGGCTAGTCAGAACATGCAGTCCTCTGGGCGGAATGAGTGTGTCTTCCACGACTGAGGTGGGATATGGGCGTCTGCACCAACAGAACACTTGGATGTCAGCTCAGCAAAGGACTTCAAATTCCTACTTGGAGATGCAGCTTGTTCTTCACCTTTTCATAGTCTCAATTTTCTTGCTTTTGCCTTAAAATCTCTTCAGCAATCTTCACTCCCTTATTTTTCTGTGAGATGCCTCCCTTTTATAACTCTTGAGGAGTATCAAAAGGCAGAAAATTTTTTTAGTCTTTGACTTAGTAATTTTCCTTCTGGGAATCTATCCTAAACAACTAGTTTTAAAAAAGGGATAAATCGCCCTGGGTGGCATAGCTCAGTGGATTCAGCGAGGGCTGCGAACCAAAGTGTGGCAGATTCGATTCCCAGTCAGGGTACATGCCTGGGTTGCAAGCCATGACCCCCAGCAACAGCACACTGATGTCTCTCTCTCTCTCTATCCCTCCTTTCCCTCTCTAAAAAATAAATAAATAAAATCTTTAAAAAAATAAAATAAAATAAAATAAAAGATGAAAAAATTATTTAAAAAGGGGGATAAATCTATAGATAGGGAGATGCTCACTACAGTATTACTTATAAAAGAAAATTATCAGAAGGAACCACAGATCAAAAAATGAGGAAATGGGTAAATAAATTATGGTACTGCTGTCCAATGGAATATTTATTACACATTCTTTATATATAATAGCTACAAAGAGAACAGAGCGACATTAGAAAATGTCTATGAGAAAATGGTAAGTGAAAAAAATCAGAGAACAAAGATGTATGTAACATAAAAAGGCCTAGATTGATCATCCTGTCTAGGCACACCCACGTAATGTGATCCCTGGCATAATACAATCAACTAACAAAACAACAAAAACCTTATGAGTCTAAAAAAATCATGAGTGAATCTGAAATGAGGAAACACTGCAAGAGAAAACAGCCTGGATCAGATGTAGAGAGAACTATGACCTAAGGAAACATAGCCCAGGCACGTGCTGCAGAGGCAGAGGCCAGGTCAGGCCGCTGGGATGGGCTCAGCGCCCACGAGCTAGAGGGAGGCAGGACTCAGCGAGGTCATGAGCGGTTGAGCCCTTGTTCGGGTCCTCCGACTCCCCTCCCATGCAGCACCTTTTAAATTTTATATCCGTTTGTCCTGCTCATAGATCCAGGTCTTCCACATTATAAAACCCTGTCCATTGCACACTGCCATGCTGGTAACAAGTTAATTAATTAGTGAATTAAGTCTAGTGAATTAATTAAGAATGAAATATGCCAGATATGTCCAGTTTATGGCCTAGGACTTTTCCAAAGGTCTCTAAGTAATAACCTCACCTAAGCTGATGCTTTTCCAGCCAAAATTAGATGCCTTTAAAGTTGTACTATTTGAGACTGAGTGAAGGCAATTTCTTTTCAGTTTCTATGACTTGCTACATTCATCAAAAATTAATTTAACACAGAATGGAATGTAGGTATTGAAGTGACTGGACAAATACAGTAATCTGTACTGTCATCTAATCTTCACAAATTTCTTAAAATAAGGTGTATTTTCTTCTTAAGGTCAAAATTAAAAGTTTTGTTTACTTTTTTACAAAAAAAAGGTGTTTTCCTTTGAATTTTTTCAAATTATTTATATATGATCTATTTATTGTTTTTAAATATTTTATATATTATTTCTAGGGAGATGGAAAGGGAGAGAAAAAGAAAGGGAGAGAAACATCAATGTGAGAGAGAAACATCAGTTGCCTCTTGCATGCACCCTGTCTGGGACTGACTGAACCCACAACCCAGGCATGTGCCCTGACGGGGAATCAAACCAGTGACCTTTCGCCTTGCAGGACAATGGCCAACCAAGTGAGCCACACTGGTGAGGTTGCCTTTCTTTTTTCTTAAACACCAAATGAGTTTACAACTTACACCACATATAAGAATAAACTCAAAATGAATAAAAGACTTAAATGTAAGTCATAAAACCATAAAAACCCTAGAAGAAGACATGGGCAGTAAAACCTTGGACATTTCTCGTAGCAATGTTTTACCATCATATCTCCTAGGACAAGGGAAACAAGGGGAAAAATAAATGGGACTATATCAAAATAAAAAGCTTTTAGACAGCAAAAGAAACAATCAACAAGATGAAAATGGAACCAACTGTGTGGGAGAAGATATTTGCCAATAATACATCTGATAAGGGGTTCATTTCCAAAATATAAAAAGAATTTATACAACTCAACACTAGCAAGACAAACAATCCAATTAAAAAATGGGCAAAGGATCTGAAGGGGCACTTCTCTAAACAGATCATACAGACAGCCAACAAACATGAAAAATGCTCAACATCACTAATCACCAGAAAGATGAAAATTAAAATCACAATGAGATATCACTTCACACCTGCCAGAATGGCTAGCATCAATATATCAACCAACAGCAAATGCTGGTGAGGATGTGGAGAAAATGAAACCCTCATGTATTCTTGGTGGGAATGCAGACTGGTGCAGCCACTGTGGAAAACAGCATGTAATTTCCTCAAAAAACTAAAAATGGAACTGCCTTTTGACCCAGAAATTCCACTGCTGGGAATATATCCTAAGAATTCCAAAACACTAATTCAAGAGAATATATGCACTCCTATGTTCATTGCAGCATTATTTACAATAGCCAAGATCTGGGAACTGCCCAAGTGTCCATTAGTAAATAAGTGGATAAAAAAGCTGTAATACATTTAGACAATGGAATACTACATGCAGTTAAAAAAAAAAAGGAGAAAATCTTACTTTTTTCAAAAGACTTTATTTATTTACTTTTAGAGAGAGAGGAAGTGAGGGAAAAATAAAGGGAGAGAAACAGCCATGTACCGGAGACATACAGATTGGTTGCCTCTCGCATGCCCCCAACCAGGGACCTAGCACACAACCCAGACATGTGCCCTGACAGGGAATCAAACTGGAGATTTTTCAGTTCTCAAGCCAGCACTGAGCCACACCAACCAGGGCAGAAATCTCACCTTTTGTGATAGCATGTGTAGACACGGAGAATACTGTACTAAGTGAAATAAACCAGTCAGAGAAAGACAAATACCATATGATCTCATTTATATGTGGAATCCAATAAATACAAATTGATGAACAAAACAGAAACAGAGGCATGGATACATAGAACAGACTGACAGCTGTCAGAGGGCAGGGGTTGGGGAGACTGGATGAAAGAAGGTGAAGAAATTAGCCAAAGAACATACATGCAGAACCCGCAGACACAGAGAACAGCCATGTGGTGATGGCTGGGGCACGGGGAATGGGTGGAGGTGGGCAAAAGGGGGAGAGAAATGGGGACCTCTGTAATATTGTCAACAATATTAAGTTGTTAAAAAATCAACAATAATAAAAATTTCATTTTACTTGAAAGGGGTATATTTTCAAATAGATTACTATTGTCAGGTGTTACTTTATGAATCTTTTTTTCAATGCAGCCAACTTTTATGTAATAAAGCAAGTGAAAAGTTACTACCTTTTGCATCACAGTTTGCTGTCTCTTGGTCATTGTTGTCTGATATTTTGTCTCTTGACACTTTAACAAGGTAGAGATGCCTCTCTCCAGATTTGGAGCTGGATATCAAACAGACATGGGCTCTATTCATTGCCACCTGAATTAAAGATAATTTGATATTTTTTTAGTTGTAAAATTTTTAAAGAAAATTTGTAGGCCGCAAGTACCATAGGTGTGCCTAAAATATTTTTAAGAAAAAAAGAGACCAAATTATTGTGTATGTAAACACCTAAAAAAGACTGAATAAACTTTTTTCTCACCAAAGGAATTTGGGTCATGCTACTCACTAAGAAGGCAATTCACATCAACTGTATAACATACACCCACACACACCTAACCACCTCCCTGGAAAAAAGTCCAAACTCAGAAAGGATGTCATAACCTGAAAGCATTTTGGCAAAGTGAGCAATTTCCACACACAGTTGTGTCTACAGGGCCAATAACTGATAATACTGTGATCCTCACTTTTCTATGTGCTAGCGAAGACTTTTTCACGTAATCTACAGTCAAGTTTACACTTCCATGCAGATTTTCGATTACATACCATTAATCTCTAAGTCTTTAGTCTCTGACTTTCGCTTTTAAAAGTTTGAGTTTAGTAGAGTGAAATGATAAAATAGCTATAATCGTTGTTTAAATCAAATCCTGAACACTTAAAAAGTCAACAGGGCTAATATAAAGAAAAATCATTCCCCACCTTTAAGAGCATGGCCAGCATGGTAAGCAGGGTATCCACATAGCCATACATTTTGCCTTGTGAAAACAACAGAGTAGAACGATGAAGCAACAACTTCATTTCCTAAATAAATAAGCACATGACAATCAGTGTGGCAAAATTCCTTTGCTGCAGGTTGTTTTGTCTAGAAACCAAACTTAAAAACCTCTGCTAAATCCTTCACTATAATAAACATCGAATTTTTTAGAAACTATAATTTATAATGATTAATGCATGACTGAAACTTGAGACTCGAAATCATTTTTCAAATACACTAAATTTAATACACTGAAATAAAACTTTTGGATATAAGCTGTAGAGACTCCTTAACTGAAGAGAAAGTTCTAAATATAATCCACCAAGAGAAACTTCACATTCCATGGCCTACCTGCTGCGCAGCATTCGCATCTTGTGCTAAAGTGTCTGGATCATACATCGGTTCCAGAGCCTCCAGAGCTTTCTCAGGATGGCCCAGCTGCTGCTGAAGTGTGGAAAGAGAAATTCTTGCATCCAGGTGGAAGGGGGCCAGATCAACCACTTTGCCATAGCTTTCAGCAGCTCGCTCCATATAGCCTAAGGCCTTTAAGCATTCTGAGATGTTAAAATAACATATAAGTATGAACAAAGGATTTGTAACCTTACCAAAATTATTTCTCCATTTTAAAAGAAATATTACAGCAATATCAAAAGAATTATAACAAGAAAAAATGTATGAATAGTTCTAATACTTTAAAACAACTGTTGGTTCTAATTTCTATCTACTGATTGATCAATCTAATTATTTCCTAACCAAACTCAAATCGTTCCAAGGATGTACTGAGCATATGCCTATAGTTTGGGATCCTGCTTTATTCACTTAGCATTATGCTTTCAACATTTTTCCACATCTTTGTCAGCATTTTGAATGATTATAATATTCAATTAAACAGATTATTTGCTTAAACATATAATTTGACATTTAGAGTTTTTTCCCAAATTTTTACTGTAATAAATAACACTGCAGAAAACATCTTCATGTATATAAGCCAGAGTTCACCAATTGGCTGACCAACTTAACCTACTAATGTGTTTTGTTTGGCCAAAGTGCTGTTAAAAACAATAAATTGTCTACATTTTTTTAAACTAGTGTATTTATGAAATCCAAGTTACTGGATTCTTTTGAAAAATCTGGACTTGGCAGTAGTGGTCCCCCGTTCCCGCAGGGCCCATCAGCACATGCTGAGACACAGCAGCACCCTGCGGACAGGACTCTCCAGTTCCCACCCTCCCCTGTCCTCTCACTTGCCCACTTTAATGTAATACTGTTGCTCCCTGTCAGGTTCCTGAGTTTTGTGATCCTCAACCCCTCACCTCACTCAGGTACTTCCCTGGGGTAAGTTCGAAGACGTGAGGCTTCTGAGCCCTATTCCTCAAATCGTGTGCCAATCACACATTAAGTTCTATCACTTAAACTTGAAAACAAATCCCCATAAGCATTTCTCCTCTGCACCCTAACAGCCACAACACTAGTCTAGCTAGGCCCTTAGTACCTTTTTTCCTTTTTTTAAAAAATATATTTTATTGATTATGCTATTACAGTTGTCTCATTCCCCTGCCCTTTATTCCCCTCCACCTTGCACACCCCCTCCCACCCACATCCCCCCACTTTAGTTCATGTCCATGGGTCGTACATATAAGTTCTTTAGCTTCTACATTTCCTATACTATTCTTAACCTCTCCGTCTATTTTCTACCTACCATTTATGCTACTTATTCTCTGTACCTTTTCCCCATCTCTCCCCACCATGCCCCTGCCAATAACCGTCCATGTGATCTCCATTTCTGTGGTTCTGTTCCTGTTCTATTTGTTTGCTCTAGTTTGTTTTTGTTTTTGTTTTAGGTGTGGTTGTTAATAACTGTGAGTTTGTTGTCATTTTACTGCTCATATTTTTTTATCTTTTTTCTTAGATAAGTCTGTTTAACATTTCATAAAATAAGGGTTTGGTGATGATGAACTCCTATAACTTGACCTTATCTGAGAAGCACTTTATCTGCCCTTCCATTCTAAACGAAAGCTTTGCTAGATAGAGTAATCTTGAATGTAGATCCTTGCCTTTGATGACTTGGAATACTTCTTTCCAGCCCCTTCTTCCCTGCAAGGTCTCTTTTGAGAAATCAGCTGAGTCTTATGGGCACTCCTTTGTAGGTAACTGTCTCCTTTTCTCTTGCTCCTTTTAAACTTCTCTCCTTCTCTTTAATCTTAAGTAACTTAATGATGATGTGCCTTGGTGTATTCCTCTTTGGGTCCAATTTCTTTGGGATTCTCTGGGCTTCCTGGAAGTCTACTTCCTTTGCCAGATTGGGAAGTTCTCCTTCATTATTTGTTCAAATCAGTTTTCAATTTCTTGCTCTTCCTCGTCTCCTTCTGGCACCCCTATGATTTGGATGTTGGAACGTTTAAAGATGTCCTGGAGGTTCCTAAGCCTCTCCTCATTTTTTTTAATTGTTTCTTCATTTGATGGGGACCCCTGCTTGTGGGGTCCATGTCATTATGGATGAAATGAGACATTCACACAGACTACTGAATCCAGTGGAGGAAAAGGGACAGCATGGCCTTTCTCTCAAGGAAAGCAAAAGCCTCAGCCTTTGCTTCAATGAGCTTTTATTGTCTTACTGGGCACATTACAAGAAGGTCCTCTTTAACTATGTACAGGCTCACTTTAGGTAGTTACCTTTTATAGAAAACAAAGGAGCCAATGCCGCTAATCACATCACAGAAGAGGGGTATTTGAAAATGAAAAGGCAAAAGTAGTTGGACCAGTTACACTCATCCTTGGAAGATTTAGCATGGATTTTAGGAAGTTGCTTTGCAGTAAATGTCCTTAGTTCAAGGTGAGGAAGTTTTAGCAAAAAGCAAGACTCATAGCGGCCTAAGTACATTGCAGGCCTGATTCCCCACAGGAGAACCTATCTGTTGGGCGTGGGTCCTGTGTATCTCCAAGTGGGGGCTGGGCCCACACCACACAGAGCGGCCTCCCACATTCATTCTGTTCTGGTTGAATGTTTTTCTTCCTTCTGGTCCACACCGTTGATTTGAGTCCCAGTTTTCTTCCTGTCACTGTTGGTTCCCTGTACATTTTCCTTTATTTCACTTAGCACAATCTTCATTTTTTCCTCTATTTTTTTGACCATATTCTACCAATTCTGTGAGCAAACTGATTACCAGTGTTTTGAACTGTGCATCTGATAGGTTGGCTATCTCTTCATCGTGTATTTTTATTTTCTTTGGAGCTTTGATCTGTTCTTTCATTTGGGCCATTTTCTTTTTGTCTTGGCATGCCTGCTACATTGTAAGGGGCAGAGCCTTAGGTATTCACCAGGGCAAGGCAACCCACATTGCTGTATTGTGATGTTGTATGTGAGGGAGGGGTCCGAGAGGGACCAATGGCACTTGTTCCATTTTCTGCCTGTTTTCAGTCACTTCCCCCTCTAGGTACAAGCAAATTGGGCCCTCCTGGTGCTGATTCCCGTGTGGGTGGGCTTGTGTACGTTCTAGGACCCTGTGGTCTCTCCTATGAACTCTCCTGTGAGGCTGGGAGCTTCTTCTGCCACCTCAACCCCCACAGGTGTTTTCAGTCAGAGGTCTTGAGGCTTTCTTTTCCTGTGCTGGAACCCTGGGTTGTACAGCCTGTCTCACTCCCCAGTTGTTCCTCCTGGTTTATCTGCCCGCAAATGAGCGACAGCCCGGTCCACAATCTGCTGCCTCACCGGGTCTACCATCGGCTGCCTTGCTGTGAGTCCTCTCCACATGCCTGACTCTGCCCCTCCTACTGGTCTGGATGAATGTTTCTTCTTTAACTCCTTGGTTGTCTGACTTCCATACAATTTGATTTTCTGTCAGTTCTGGTTTTTTGTTTTTAAATTTGGTGTTGTCCTTCTTTTGGTTGTGTGTGGGGGCAAAGTGTATCTACCTACCTATGCCTCCATCTTGGCCGTGACTCCTTGCACCTTTTTTCTTCTCCACTGCAATTATATCCTAAAATGATAGTTTTGCCCCCAACTGCTTTCTCAAATCTCAAATTTCTTTAGGTTAAACTTTGACAATAAAGGAAGACTACTAAATATGGATGGATCATCACAATGGCATTTCTCCTAATTTTTTATTTTTCACTTTTAAAGATATTATAAGCATTAAATTCCTATAACGATGTTTCTTATATATTGAGCTCAAATTTCTTTATAATTTTTAGATGACTCTGAGCTTTCACTTTCCACTCATCTCAAGCTACACTGGCTCAAAATGGAAACAGCATTTATCAGCAGCATGATCATAATTGAACAGGGTTTCTAAAGTGTCTGCTATTAGTAACAGAAAGCAAGCTCAATATCACAGGCTCAGGAAGGCAACAGAAATTCCAAAGCTCCATTTATGTCTTTAAAATCAAAGTACCACAAATATAATTTTATGATGGTATATTACATTTGTACTCACATTTACTCAGTAAACTGTTACCTTAATTTTAAATGTTTTCTTCGCTATTTCATATCTGTGGTAGGCCTCAAAATATCAATGCTTTTCTAATTATAGAGAACTTTCTGTCACTATATATTTTAATAACTATTAGAACTTTCTGTCATCCTGAGATATTTTAAACAGGGCTATTCAAATTTTAATGCATCTTTTATGTTGATTCAATAGGAAATTCTATTAGAATGTTTTTGGCTTTCATGTTTCTTTAAGAAATTTAGTTGTTTTTCTGAAGCTATTTTTTTTAATCTAAATGACTTATTTCTAATTTGTGTGGATCTAGATACAATATTTATTTCAGATTACTGTAGACTTAGAAATAAAATGACACAGGAACAGAACCACAGAAATGGAGATCACATGGAGGGTTAGCAACAGGGGAGTAGGAGGGGGAGAGAGGGGGAAAAGATACAGAGAATAAGTAACATAGATGGTAGGTAGAAAATAGACAGGGGGAGGGTGAGAATAGTATGGGAAATGTAGAAAGCAAAAAACTTATATGTATGACCCATGGGCATTAACTAAAGGGAGGGAATGTGTGTGGGAGGGGGTGTGTATGGTGGAGGTGAGTGAAGGGGGGAAATGGGACAACTGTAATAGCATAATCAATAAAATATATTTTTAAAAATGAAAAAAATAAAATGACAGGTAAAAACCAACATTGAACATATTTTCAGCTCAAAGAACACTGAAAAATAGATTTTTTCAAAATAACATATTGAATATAAATCTTTAAAAGCTGTTCAAAAATCAGATTGTCAGTCTATCACTAGGCCTGACAATCTACCACTAGGAACCAGAGGCTATGATTAACACAGACACAAGACAGATATCTATGATATTTTTAACAGGAATTTGTTAGTCCCACTTCACTCTGGTACCATTAAGTGAATCACTCCTCCAAAGCATCAGTGAGGGGAATCACTTAGTGATGTACCAATTTAGAATACTAACTTTCAAAAAACTGCCCTGAGATCAGAAATACTTTCTCTAAGACATCAACATGTAATAACAATTATTCCTATCTTGGGAAAGTAAGTTCTCGTCTTCTTACACAACTAAAACTTTTCCCTCCCACAAAAACTATTACCTGCATGCCGAAGCCACACGACAGCAAGGTTGTATCTTTCGGAGCAGACTAGCGCGCTCAGGAGAGGAAGTGCAGAATTATATTCACCAACATCCAGGAAAGCTTCCGCGACATCTAGGTAGAGGTCTCCCATATCTTCAGGATTCTGTTCCACGAGCGTTGTCAAAAGAGGCTAGACCACAATTTTAAAGCCTGAAGTCAAACCTTCATCACAAATGTGCACATCTACATCTAGTCTATTTCTCTTTTTAACATATACATCAATTGTCTGGGCAAGCCTAAAGAGTAAGGCTTAATAAAAACACCTTTAAATAGTCATTTTTCTGTTCACTTTTGACTCTATTGAAAAGAGCTCCTACTGCCATTGTTCACTCACTCATTATACCCCATTTGGAGGACTGTCACAGACAGGCCTGGAAGACACTGAGACAATGCTGATCTTCTGCGCCCTTCCTCTAACAAGCAAACGCACCCTGCCTCAGGGTCTCGGTGCAGTCTGTGTTTCTGGAAAGCTGTCCCCTCAGACATCAGCATGGCTCACTTCCTTCAAGTCATCCTTCCAATGCCACCTCTCCAGGGAGGCCTTTCCTGACCACCCCAGTTAAAACTGCAACTCCTCCCATCCCCGACATTCCTTGTTCTTCCACCCTGTTTGACTTTTTTCCAGGGTATTTACCACCAACTAACATTCTACATTTTACATAGTTATTATCTATCTAATCCCATTAAGACAAAAGGTCCGTGTGGGCATAGATTTGCATATTTTATTCAATACCTACCCTAAAGTCTGAAAAGTAAATGTCAAATTTTTTAATTTAATTAAATACTTAGTGTGTTGTTAGCAAAAAAGAAGAGCTGTCAGAAATTACCAATTATCTAAAAGGCTCAATCTCTAATTCTGATCTCTGAATTGTTCTCATTTTAAAAGAAAAACAAAGCTACTATAAGCCCAGTCCAAAACACTCTTACCTCTTACAGGACAGCCACACAAAGATGCTTATAGTGACTTCCTGGTTATTAAGAATTGTGAAACCTAAAGTCAACTTACAGTTTCTTGCCATCTAAAAAAAAACATTGTGAATTTGATCTGAAGTATCTCCAGCACAGATCTTAACGTTACTTACATTAAGTGGTTCAAGGATGTTGAGATGAACAAGGCAGACCATCAGCTTCACTGTGATATCTATCGGCACACCTTCAGGTATAGTGCAGGTGACGTTCTCACCAGCTGTAAATCAGACAGACAAAAAGCAAGCTTAGAATGTGGGGCACATGAAGCAAACTCCACCTTCCATGTAAGATCTCATTTACTTAATTCAAAGCAAATGAATTTGCTTTGTGGAAAGGTGGAAATGAATTCCACAGTCAATTCAAAATCTGGCCAACTCTAGCACCGAGTATTTACACTCCTTCAGTCTGCCTTTGGTAGCAATTATCCTCATAGTTTTTCCCTAATCTCTTACTCACTTATCCAAAACCTGCATAAACTCCTACATCTTCTATCAAAACTACAAAGAACTAAAAAGACAACGAGAACAAACAAAGACTTAGAACTCTTTTTTTTCCTGAACTTAAAAGTATTTTTCAGTCTTCACTACAAAGAGGCTAAGAAAGAGGTAAAATAATACTATGCTTAAGTCTAAAGAAGGATTTTTTCAATGCTTAATTGAAGTGCTAACTTGAAAAGTAAATTACGTTGATAAGCTGTTCAGTAATCTGTTCTTCCTTCATATAGCACAAAAAGGCCCTGGGTCAGTTAAAAAAAAAAAAAAAGCCACATTCAAGTGGATGTATTGAGAAATAAAAGTAACAGAAAACAATTTTTTTTAAGAGTGATAACTTGTGAGTGAACACTTGCAAGAAAAAGATGTGATATGTCTCTTAGGAAAAAAATGCTTCTTGGGAAAACTTGTTAGGAAACAGTAACTATCAATTTCAAAATGCTACATGATGAACAAGAGAGGATTATATACACTTTCCTATGAAGAAGAAACTACAACCTTTATTCTCTTCAGAAGTGCCTTCTTCTGCAGTTTTCTTTTCTAGCACGATTCCAGAAAAATCTGTAATTACCTAAAAGAATTGGGAGAGGGAGAGAGAGTAATACAGTAGGTATGTATGAAAAATCTTTTCATAATGCAAAGATCTATATAGCTAATTCAAATATTCCTTACAATGTATAAATGGGCTATGAAAAGCAATAGTAAGTCTCTTTAAAATAAGAAACAACTGTGACACAATAACATTTTTATATCATATTAACTAATGCTTAACTAAAGATATGTAATTCCTCTGTATCAAACCAATCTATTTTCCCCAACAGATTAAGAACTGAATTATAACAATTAGTCTGGCACCTTTGATAATGATGATGGCTTTCATCATATGATAACCACATTTTATATTTCATATGGAATGCATACACAATCTAGAAATAAGTTTCCAAATAGACTTTATATAATTTAGTACATAATATATATAACTAAAATGAGGAATTATCAATTTGTAAGAATTTCTAGAACACAGAAATGTGCTTCAAACCTAAAAAGAAACACAAATGTCCCTACCTCCAAAGCTTTGTCATACTGTTTGTTAGAAATGTACAGCTCGGCTGCTATGTTAACATCTTCCATGGAGACTAGGCCCTGGTGTTTCGAGAAAGCTTCTTCAATTATATTAATAGCTGAAGTAACATCATTGGCTTCATAGTAACTCCTAAAAAAGGAAATGACAAAAAGGACAAGTGCTTATTTAACTCAGATTATAAAATTCATTTCCTGGCTGATAGGCCCTCTGGCTGATTTTCATTTTCTTAAAATTGGAGAAGAGGAAAACTCTTCCTTAAAATCACAATCAGAGCTGATTCAGAGAAACATGTACAATGTCAGTACAATGTCAAGTCTCTTGCTCTCCCCCAAAGTTACCTCCCTTCCCTCCAGCTCATTCCCTCCGTAACACCAGCTCTTCTCCCTCAGTGGGACCTACAAAGCATCGATCCTTTCTTTTCCATGTCCTCACTCCCCTCCTTCTCTATGGTCCAACATTATAATTACTTCCTTATACATCTCCTCAATTCTCCTGCCCTTCTGTCCCTTTATCAAAATCATCTGATAACACTCCAACCCTGCTCAATCGGATTTTGACTACTCCGTATCACCAGCTGCCCAGCTGCCCATGCTGACCACAGTCATTCTAAACTAATGACCACTAGCCTCAAGTGGGCCCATGCTGCTGGTCAGCAATCTTCTTACAATTTCCCTAGTACTTTTCAAACTTGAGTATACATAGGGATCAACTGGGGGTCTTATAAAAACGCATATTCTGACCCCATGGTGCTGGGCAGAGCTGAGATTCCACACTTGTGACTGGCTCCAAGGTGACATAAACGCTGCCCATCTGTGGGGCTGCAAGGTCCTAAAAAACTGGATGACTACTTACCACCCTCCCTCCAAGTTCCAGCACTCTCCCATTCTCACTCACCTTACTTATTTTACAAGACAATTAAGTCAGGCATCTCACACACTCCCAACATAGCTACCTACTCACTCACACCCACATTATCTACTCCATTCTCCTTTTATCATAGGCTGACCCGTGATTAGATCCCATTCCCTCTGACCTACTCAAGGACATCATTCAAGCCATTGTTCCCCCTCTCATGAATCTTCTATATGTCCCTCAGCTGTGAATCATTCCCATTTGAATACAAATATTTTGTAATCTTTCCCAACTTAGAAATTCTCTCTTAACTCTAAAGCCCATTCCAATTACCTTCCTTTTCTTCCGCTCCCCTTATAAATTTCTCCACAGAGTTGCCTGTCCCCCAGGAGCTCCACCCATTTCAAACGTCAATACTCAGTCCCCCTTTTATGTGACCTATCTGCACTACTTCACACAGATGATCATCCTTCCTCCTTCAGGTGCTTTCTTCAATAAAATTCTAGAATATTATGTTCTCTTAGTTTCCTGCTACTGCACTGCCCATTTCCTTCCAATCTCCCTGTTTCCTCCCAATCTTCCAGACTTCTAAACACGGTAGCACCTCGGGGTTTAGTCCTCAGAACTCTCCCCTTCTCTCTTTCTCTTACACACAGACACACACATCACCTCACATTCAATATTATCAGAAATTCCTGAGAGTTCGGCCTTCAAAATACATCTAGAATGATTACTTCTCACCACCTCCTGCAGCTTTTACCTTGATCCAAGCTACCAATACCCCTTCCATGGATTACTGCAATAATTTCCCAACTGTTCTCCCTGCTTCTGTACTTACCTTCCCTTTATCTATTCTCCAAAGAGCAGCTAGAATCAGTGCATTTAAAATTTAAGTCAGATCATGTCACTCTTCTACTCAAAACCTTCCAGTGACTTCCAGACTCATTCAGAGCAGAAGCCAAAGCCCTTACAATGGCCTACAAGGGCCAAGGGATCTTTTCCCCGACATTACCTCCTGCTATGCTCCCCTTAAACCTTCAGCTTCCATGTGTCCCCTGCACATTCCTTTCATTTATCATGTCCTCCGCCAGTGATACTCATCCCTAATATCTGCTCCCATACCCCCTTCAATTCACTTTCAGGTCGGCAGGGCCACAACATAGGGAATTAAGTCCTTCTCTAACCACCCTATTTAAAATGACGCACTCCTATTCCTCAACTTTCTATCCCCCTTCCCTGCTTCGTTTTCCTTCATATCGCTTATCGACATCTGATATATTATCCTTGTATATTTAGCTGTTCATCTGCTTACTGCCTAACTCCCCGACTACAATGTCAATGCTACAAAGGCAGGGAATTTTAAAACTCACTCAGTACTGGATCTCCTGTTGTTTGTACAGTGCCTAACACATAACTCATGTTCCACAAGTATTTCTAGAGGTCAAGTGGAGACTGAGAGAAAGCCTAATCAGAACTTACAGTAACAAGACTTCCCTTTAGCAAAGACCTCTGCAGCAGTGGTAGAAATGTTTACCACCACCCTGTCCCAATAATAAAATTATAAATTATACAAGAGAAAAACAAGTTTACTGTCTAACAGTTCATAGAGTAGAAGCTCACTGGGCTAACCACTGTAATAGCTAGAGATCTGATTAATAGCAAATAACCTGGAAAAGTCCCCGATGCTCATTGCAGATATCAAAGATCAATTTAGAGTTGCCCTGTCTTAACCAATTTCCTAAAATGCTTCCAGTATTCCTACATAATCCATCATTGGGAGTACAGGGTGTGATTTCACAGCTAAGCATCTTCATGACGCAATGGCCACTGAATTAATAGGGTTAGCCCTAAGATACTATTAACATAGATTTCCAGAATAGAAGGTGTACCACAAGGCTTTACTTAGTGGAAATGTTTCCTGCTTTGTTTTGCTGTATAGCATATCAGAGAAGTAAATGCACCTGGACATAAAACTTTAGAATAAAATATATACCAAAGTCAGTAGCAGATGCTAACTATAAAGAATTTTTTTTCTTCTGAGAATGGTATTCTACTATTAGCTCCAGATAAAATGATTCAGAAGATCCCAGATCACAAAGATTTCATTTGCAACAGTTAAAATAATATTACTGCAAATGTGTATAACTTTAAGTAAGGTATGGAAAACTGGGACCTTAGTCATCCTTTCAAAACAGGCTCCATCTTTAAGCTCTGACCACCTGAAAGGTAATTGTATATACACATTTTTCCAAGCAGTCACACAGTTTGATTGGAAACATAAAAGCACTGAAAAAAAACCCACAAAAATTCCAACCCACCTTTCCACTTAAGCACAATATATTCAATAAAATACAAGAAGCAAAACAGTTCCTTGAACCTCAATATAAAATATATTCTACTTCAAATATATGCTTTTCTAAAATATGATAAATAACAGCATTTATGTACATTTCACCCCAAACTTACTTTGCCATATCTCTAGCCAACTGCATAAATCGCTCTCCATCAGACAGAGACAAAAGGTTTAAAATACGCCTGTAGCCATCCATTGCCATTTTATGGTCTCCCATCTGCTCATAAAGGCTGGATCGCTCCCATAGATAACGGACATTAGTGGGTTCATATTTAAGAGCTAAAAAGAAAAAAGATAACTTAATCATAAAAAGGAATTCATGCTACCTGGGTATGATCCATCTTCTCTTCAGAAAATATTTAATAAACACTGTAAACTAATTTCCCTATGAAATTAAGCAGGTTATTCAGGAATAAACCTACCTTCCCAGGAACTCTCAACTAAGTCTGATCTCAGACCAGACAGGACCTGAATCATATTAATCTTCATGTGCTCACTGCAGTCTGATATTAACCCTCAAGAAAGAGCTTAGCACCAACATTGACCTTGGTGGGAAAATGAAGGTTCTGTTCTTCTACTAACTTGTGCTGTATTAGCTGACAATATAAATAAAATTGCTGATAAACATGGAAACAGATGAATCCCAAATACCTCTGGTATAACAGAATACAAGGAATATATTTTAATTAACATCACCCCAAAATATCAAGTACAATTGTCAAAAACCTATTATGTAACATTTTATCAAACAAAATGATGAATACATTTTAATTACCTTTGGTGTAGCAAAAAATAGCCTGCTTAATATTGTCTTGTTCCAGAGACATTTCTGCCAATCTAACCCATTCTTCAGTGTCACTAGGATTTAGGTGCGCAGCAATCAACTCGAACTGCAGTGATTTCTCCATGTCACCTTGGTCCTCATATATCATGGCAAGAGTAGAGAACGGCTCATAAGCCAGGGGAGCTACAATGAATTAAAAAAAAATTCCATTGGCTGAGGGAAGAGGCTTGAGCTGATGTCAACCCCACGGTTCAAACTGTGGGTCTTCCTTCTAATATCTAAACTCCTTAGATAACTCTATTAGAATCATACTACTTAACAGAATTTAGAATAAACACTAGACTATATTTGCTTTATTTTATTTTCATACATTTTTGGTATTTTTAAAGCATTCTCTGCTCTAAGCAAAGTGTAATTTCAGGAAAACCCCTACTCTCCACCATGCTGCCTTCACGAAATCCCCCTTTGCTAAGGCTAAACTGCAACTGTCGATAATCCCCACAGGAAACACCTTGTCTTATGATTTCCATGCACATCAGAATTGCCTCTTCATGTTCTCCTCGAGCAAAGCGAATGTTGGCTTCGCCCATGAGACCTCTCAGCGCTCTGGGAAGTTTACTCCGAGGCCTTTTCTCCTGTACAGAACAAAAATAACATCTAGATTAAAATACAGTGACGTCTTAGATTTCAATTCCAACCACATTAATAAATATAGACTGGAACAAAACTGAAATTTGTCTTTAGTACTTTTCAATCTACATTCAGAACTAAGGACTAAATGGCTAAATTCAGTCTTGGGAAATAACAGAAACTATTCTATGATATTCTCCAAAAAAGAGCACCTCAGAAAATTAAAACAAACAAACAAAAAAAACAACAAAATTTCCTACAGTAGAAAGTTAAAGGCACAGTAAAATATTTAAAAAAAGCAAAAGCAAAGTGACCAGGAATTACCAAATTACTGATTAGAATAACAACAAATATAGAACTGGGTGCTGCAGAATGAATTTCTAGCCAGACTGACTACATGATGCAATCTACTAAAGACCCTCCCCTTCTTTCAAATCTACCTACTCAGACAGAAGTTATAAATAATACCAATATGGACTTTTTAATAGCAAAACTATAGTACATTTTGATACATGAAATAATTAAGGTTTTACATTTTAAAAATCTCTAAATGAAACAAAAGAAACCAGTAGCTGTCTCATAGTATTTCCTTAAGTTTGAATCCTTTTTCAATGTCACATTTTTACACTCTTTTTATATTACAAAATTAAGTAACAATTTACTTTCATCATTTTCTTGGTTTCACGATTGAGAACCATCTCCAGCATAAACACATCGCCTGCAGTGGGTTGCTCAGGTGTTTCTTCCTCCTCCTCCTCCTCCTCTTCCTCTTCCTCCTCATCATCTTCATTTTCTCCAAGCATGGAAGCAAAGACCTTGTGAACTGACTTACTAACGCCATCTGATGTTTCTCCTGGTGAAAGGCACATTGAGACGGGGGAAGGAAAAAAGCTTTAAAACACTCAGTAGTCAAAAGGGAAAAAAAGGAGTATTTTCTGCAATATAAATTTCTATCCCAGCAAACCTGAAAATAAAAAACAGACAAATGAACACTCCCAAAACAACCCCAAAAAGAAAGCTGTCATAAAAGCTATGTATTTTACTCTGTAGGAATAGGCGACTCATCCTTTGGGCCTCATCTAGATATGTAGGCAAAATTAAATGGAAAATCAGAAACACAGACAGTAATGGTTAAGATAAGAAAAAAATAAAAGAATTGTAAGACACAGACCTAAGAACTAAATAAGTCTGGTGGTACAGAACCAGGTGGTAAGCGCAGTGGTTACAGGTGAGGCTTCTAGAGCCAAGCTGCCTGGTTTCAAACTTCATCTATCACTAGATGTGTAATTTTGGGCAAGTCACTGAAGTTCTCTGTACCACATTTGTAAAAAGGGGTTAATGTTTACCTCACAGTACTACTCTGAGGATGAGATTTTATTGACATGGATTTAGAATAATGCTTACTTAGAATAAGTAAGAGCTTAACACTATTATTTATATTAAAATAGTATTATAATTTCAGAAATAAGACATAACATGCAAGGTCTGTCCGGAAAAAGTACAGCCATTGTTAATATAACGAGAATGGTTTGAGTGACATCAAGGTAACCTGGCATTGAAGGAAGAGTGTGGACTGGAAAGCACATGTGTGAACAGTGATGACTTCACTGTATTAGTCAGTGGGGGTGGTAGACGCCATAGAGTGAGCCTGTGTACTGTGTGGCTGTCACATTCAAAATGACTGAGTGGGTACAGCTAATGACACTGCATTAATTTTTGTGTTAAGTTTGAACATTCCTCTGCAGAAACTATTCGGCTGATTCAGAAAGCCGCAAGTATGGGCAACTGGTGATTTGCAGCTTCATCATAACAACACACCTGCTCATACGCCACATCTTGCAGAGTTTTTGGCTGAAACATCAAATCGCCCAGGTGACTCAGCCCCCCTACAGCCCAGATTTGGTGCCCTGAAACTTCAGCTTTTCCCAAAACTAAAATCACCTTTGAAAGGGAAGAGATTTCAGACCGTTGATGAGATTCAGGAAAATATGACAGGGCAGCTGATGGCGATTGGGAGAACTGTAGGAGGTCCCAAGGTGCCTACTTTGAAGGGGACCGAGGTGTCATTGTCCTATATACAATGTTTCTTATATCTTGTGTCTTCTTCAATAAATGTATCTTTCATATATGACTTGGCTCAACAGCCAAGACCTCATACTTCTTTTATATCTGAGAATACCACTACAGTCCAATGATTTTTCAAAGTTCATAGTGACAATCTTGAATGATCAAGGTTAAGTTTAGAAGCCAATTTTCTGTTAAAGCAGACATATAACATATTTTAAAAGTTCCAACAAAATATTTAAAATTTAAAAAATATGTGTATTTTTGTGTTAAAAATAAAACACTTAAGCTTATTCACTTTGGTGAAACACCTCAAACCTCAAAGGTGCCAGATAAATGAAACAGTTGAAATGTTTAAGAAAGAACAAAATTTAAAAATCCACATGCTCTGAGCAAAAAATAATTATTATGCAGTCATAACAGTTATCTTCAAGAATTCTGCATATACAAAATATAAAAAGAAATGTCTGAAATAAAATCCTACCAATCAATGAAATTTATTATAGTAACAGAAAAAAGAATAAAAATCATGATCATCTTGATACAGAAAAATTATATGATAAAATCCAACACCCCTTCCTAACAAAAATTCTTAGTCAACTACAAATGGAAGGGAATATCTTTAATTTGATAAAGCATATCTAAAAAATTTTCCACAAAAAGTTAATGGTGAATTATTCAAAGTTACTGGGAATGGGACAAATATGCCTACTACCACTACTCCTTTCAACATTTTATAGGAAGTCCTAGTTAATGTAATGAGGAAACAAATAAAACGCATAATTATAAATGGCAAGGAAGAATGAAAACTGTCATAACTGATATGATTTATGTACGTAGAAAATACAAAAGAATCTATACACAAACTGTCAGAATACATGACCTTAGCAAGGTTCCTGGATATAGGGTCAACACACAATCACTAATTATACAGTAGCTTGTATATCAGCAACAACGAACTGAAAATGAAATTAAAAGATGGCCCTATTTGCATTTTGTGTAGGAAAGCTGCTCAACAGCAAGAATTAGCAGTGGTATTCAGCAATGTATAGGAGGAAAAAGACAATGACCATACAATCCAATTTGCAGACTTTGCCAAAGCCTGTTCAAAACTGAAGCTTTTATTGCCCTGATCTGTGTGGCTCAGTGGATTCAGTACTGGCCTGACACCCACAGGGCTGCTTGTTTGATTCCAGGCCAGGGCACTTGCCTGGGTTGCGGGTTCAGTCCCCAGTTTGGGTGCACGACACAGACAGCTGTTTGATGTTTCTCTCCCTTTCTTTCTCCCTCCCGTCCCCTCTCTCTAAAAATAAATAAATAAAATATAAAACTGACCCCTTCTTTTGCTCTGAACATATACCCACACTGACCAAGGGTCTTGGTAAAGTTCTGGAACAATTCCTTCTTGGGAAACTGGGAGCTTTGTCTCTTAAAAGGACTGATGAAATTATATGAGCGGAGAATATCCATTCCTTGTGTGCCTGACTGCTCATATGGGCTAGAATTAGATTCAATCAACCCCTTTTTTAGGAAGGGCCCGTTGGCCACCTGTCAGAGTCAGCTTTAGGCAAGAGGACTGGTGGGCACCAGTGGTGCCTGCTACTGCGGCTGTATCTTCAAAGACCTATTGATGGAAGAGGTGCTCCACCCATTAGCAGATAAGGAAGGACCGCAGCTTGTTAGAAAAACTTCAGCCCACTTTTCCACCTCAGTTGTCTGGCAAGTTAAGAAACTGTAACCCCAAATTTATCCCTTTTTGTCATTTCTTCCCAACTTTTTCCAAGGTGTTAGGAATAAAGCCTGTTTATTTTCTCTGTGGAGAAAGGCTTACTTGTTTGTGTGTGTGTGTGTAGTTGGGGGTGGGGGGCAGGCTCTATTTCTACCCCCTAGGATGGACATGTTTAATTTAGTTCTCAATAATACCCTATACACAAAACTACCTTCTACTGATAATTCAGCATTACAAGAAACTTGATATGGGTAAATGGATACCATGAATTACTACAGATATTCTTATAACTAGAAAACTATATTGATCACTGGAAATTAATAAGTCTGCATACTAGATCATCAGTTAAGCTCTAATGAACTTAACTGGGTGCACTAACAAAATTTAATATCTGGACAGGTGGAGCTGAGGACTGGATCCTGGAATGAGGTAGCATACCAAGATACCTATGATGTGTGTGAGGGGCTTCCACTCTGACATTCCTATCTTATCTCCTATAGCTAAAGCAGTGTTTTGGAAGCCACTTTGCATAGAAGTATAACTCATTACAATTTTGGGGAGTATAGTTTGGAAGTACTTAGCAACCAACTGAGAGAACCAATTTAAAAAATAATTCTAAAAAGGCTCCCACACAAATAGTGATGCCAATTTGAAACACTTTTCCACAAAAAGAACCCATAAAACTAACCTTCACCATATGCAATTAACTCAACAAATATTAACTGAGCACCTATTACATACTGTACACTATGCTCTTAATAAACCAGGAAATCCACGATAAAATGCCACTGCAATTAAAAAAATGTTTCCACTAAATTATTGGGTACTCTTAACATTTAATTCAGGTAACAAGTGATCTCAACATACCTTCATTGGCATCTTTGTCCTGGGATTTGGTGGAGTCAATTCCTGATGATGATGGAACTTCAGAGTCACTTGGATTTTCTTCAGCTGATAGTTTTCCTTTTTCCTGAAGATTCTGTGATTGGAAATTAATGAATGATTCCAAAAACTAATGCGGATTTAGCTCTCTCCAGAAAAAAATAGAGCATTTGCTTCTCTTTCTATTTATACAAAACTTGAATGCTCCACACATATATTATGTAGAATCTAAATTTGAATATTGTCAAGTATTACAGAGTACTTAGGTCTCATTCTTCAGTCCAAATCAGTCATTTATAAAAAATAATAATAATATAGATTGAGTTAATTAATCTACACTTGCACCCTAGCATTTTAAATGAAAATAGCGCACTATTAGTTGAATGAATTAGGAAAGGATCTACCACTAATTTCAGAGGGTGCAATTTTATTTTCCCTTGGACTTCAAGTGAGAACATTTGGAAAATTCAGGTATTTCTTCGTAAGTATGAAAAATATACATGAGTTCAGACTGTTATCAAACAAGAAAATTCAAGGGTTTGTGTGTGTGTGTAAGACTGTATCACACCAGAACATGGGGGGAAATAAAAAAAGTTATATCATACCACTGGGAAGCTCCTCAAAAATTGAGGGAGCTCAAATGCTTCAGTTTAAAAAAAGAAACTGAGACGTAAAGAACAGGTGAACTGACCAATCAAAGTCACAAAAAGACCTAGAGGCAAAGCTAGGACTAGAGCCAGAAACTCTGACTCCAAACTCTACTCCCACTTCCCTATTTAGCCTACCAGTGTTAAGCTATACACATTTAAGAATTAGTAAATTTGGCAAGAGACAAAAGAGAAGAGGCTACAACCAAAACAAACGCTTTTTGAAATGTTTTTAAGAGCTTGGCACAGGAATGAGACGTCAGAACCCGAGTTCCGGTAAGAAGGGAAAGAAGCTCCTGGGTGTTTACGGCCCGCCCCACCGCAGCGAACGGGGTCGTCTGGGTCCCCACAGGGCTCTAAGCGTATAGGGCAACAAGACAGTGAGAAGCATTCTAGCCCAGCATCTCCTCACTTTCTTCTCGCGGGTTTTTCTCTCTTCTCTCCGCCTTTCGAACTCCTCAAAGGAGATCTTCCCTTCCAGGTAGTCGATGAGCTCGGGGCTGAAACCCGACATGTCTGCAGGGTCGAATTCAGCTCCGCGAACCCGGAGAGAAAACCGAAAAAACAACTCTTCCCACACTAAACCCCAGGCCGGAGCGCCGACAGCAAAGACCCGGCGTCCAACCGGGAAATGAGCCCGACCGCTGCCGCAGCCGCCGCGCTCGGGTTCCGCGGCAGCGACCGCCCCGGCCTCCTTCCGGAAGGTGCAGACAAGTCTTTTCCGGCCGAGCCTTCCTGCGCTCCGCCCTCGCCTGCTGCTTGGCTCAGGGATCCTACTTATTATTAGGGATGGGGAGGGGCGGGGAAGCGCTTTAAAGAGATTTTTCTTAATCTAGATTGTTTCCCTCAGCCCTTCATTAAGATTTTCGCTCCCAATTTATTTCCTTTTCGAATCTTGGTTTAATTTGATATTTGCCGTAGTGACTTTTTAATTGAACATTTGCTCTGCCACAAGCATGTTCCACTCTCCAATTTTCTCCTGACACCGAAGCTAAAATCCTCCTCCATTTTTTTACAATCTAAATCTCATCTCCTCCATTCAATGGCACCATCACTTTTTCATTCACCACAAATCCCCAAACATACTCTTTCCTCAGGCTCCTTTTCAGTCTGTAAATTAGTTTATCTGGACTTTAGTTCCACCTCTAATTCCCACCCACGTTTTCTTCTTTTCTTAACAGTCAAATGCTTGGTATGATTAGTGTACACTGTTGCCCGCTTTCTACAGTCCACGTACTATCCTATGCACCTTGCACACGTATCTCAAAATAACTCTTAAAAATGGTCGCTATTATTCCTAACGTCGGAAGTCCCATATCTAATTGGTAGTCGAGCCAGGATTTGAAGCCTGGTATATCTGACTCCAAATCCTGGGTTTGGGATTAACATGATTAACTGCCGCCTGCCTCCATGGAACTATTCTTCACCTCCTACTCCTACTCCTTTGGTTGATATTTTTACCTTGTATTATAACCTTTTCTGCTCTCTTACTCTAGAGACACCACTAGCTGTGAACATCTTGAGGACAGCACTACCTGATGCATCTTTGTGAACTCTCCCCTATAGTTTAGTAATCTGTGCTTAAAACACAGTTTAAGGGTTACATGGTTTATGGATTAATTTGGACAGAGTTGAAAGTTTGCCTTAGGAATGGGCAAGGGAGCTGAGGTATGGAAGCGCAATTCAGTGTGCAACTAAGATTCTAAGCAAGTTACAGGGAGTCTACCACTTGCCCACTGGTGCTTCTTCCTGACAATCCGGATGAGGATAAACAATAGGATACAAAGGAGCGGCCAGGGCCTGCCAGAGGGAGACTGCCAGGTGAGAAAAAATATCTCACAGCTAAAACTCGTCCCCTTTCTCATGATGAAGAATCCTTGAAGCTCTAGCAGGGTGTAGAATATGGGGAGCTAGGAGGATAGGTTGGATTAAGGTAATCCACAGAAATCACTTATTGGGAAATTCTCTCCTGTATTTCTCCAGGCAATCGGGAAACTGTACCCAAGGGAAAGTCAAAACTTCTCATACTAAGCGTCCTAGAAGAAAACAAGGGAATCAAAGGAGGAAAGGTGATCGACTGGTAAGGAGAATGCTCTTCTAAAACCAAGCTGGTTTAGACTACCTTGTTTATTGTTGGCTGCCTGGAATATGGGAATAACAATTGTGAAGATATAGATTCATGTTGTAGAGGGTAGGGAGCAGGGAGCAGGAGGTGCAAGGATAGCTTTCTTGCTACAAAACACCTTTGTGACTTGAAAGTTCTTTTGCAGGTCAGAATGTAGCAATATAACTTGAAACTGAAATCTTTCCATTCTCCTGTTCTGCACTTCCCTGTAAGAGATTTGTCCCCTGGAGAGTCAGAGGGCATCCGCATCATCTTGAGATGAAGTATGATTGTTATGGCAGTAATGAAAATAGCAAGAAGAAACTTTTTACACTTTCAGACTCATATTTTAGAATCAAATGGGATGCCTGAAGAAAGCAAACCATGGAATTTGTGACATGACAATAGAATTAAGTGTACAAAGAAAGAAATGTCTCCATTCTTTCTAATTGTCAGAATGGGGTTTGGCCTTTCTTGGGGAGATGATATTTCTATGGTTCTTTCACTTTTCTGTAAATGCTTATAAGAGCTTTCATTCTGGGCTTTTTTTTTTTAAGCAAACATCCTTGAAAAATAAAGATATTGACTCCCTCTGGGACAGAGGGCAAATTTGTTTTCCTGCCAGTATAATTAAGATAATGTTTCTCTCTGGGGCAAAGGTTGAGCTTATTTGCTAGTAGCCCCCTTGTAAGAGTGGGGGTTTCCTAAATTTAGGGTTTCTCAGCTGTGGCACAAACCCACTTGTGCAGAGCGCACACCTGGACCCACTTCTATGGCCCCACGATAGGTGGGGGATGAGGAGAAGCAAGGTGAATATAAAACTCCTGCCTGCCACACCTGGGTAATCACATCTGCTGCTTCAGACCTGGGAGTCTCAGGTGTCTGCCAAGATCTGTGAAACTTTAGAAGGATAGTATGTAGCTTCCAAGTAAGGCAAAACCTCACACCCTTAGTGGTCTTTCCCTCCCTAGTCTAGGACAGGAGACAATAGGCCATGTCCTGGGGACCAGGAGTAGGGTGCTCATCAAAGAGGAAGAGAGTCTGTGTTGAGAGACTGTCAAAGAGCTGTGTAGGGACGTACCCATGGACCCCTGGAGAGCCTGGATCACCTGCAGAATATTTATTTCCATTGGAGGAAACACTACACTTCTGCTGTTTTCCTAGCAATGGTTCTCAACCAAGAACAAAATCACTTCCCCAGTGGGCTTTTAGAAATATGCATAGGGAGGTTTTGGTTGTGAAAATAATAGTGGTGGGGAAACTACTAACAGAGTGTCCGGGGACCAAGGGCGCCAAATGGTCACACACAGTGATGACTTGACCTTCCCTGACTGCCAAACAGCATCGCCTTTAAGAAACTAGTCAGTGTGGAGAGCAATCCTATCATCAATACCTACGTGCCAATTGTGAGGAATTTTCCAGAAGGATACATGCTGCTGCTCCAAGACTTTGCAAGCACGTAGCTAAAACTTCCATATGGATGCCCTTTCTTTTCAAAGGCCCTGAACTGGTAAGTGTTCCCTTTGTGGAGGTACCAGTGCCCAGAGGGGGGGGCAGTGAGAGGAAAGAGAAAACTAGTCACTGGTACTCCAGTGGAACTAGAAAAGGTGAAACACTCCCTACCACACCACCATGTATCTGAATAGACTATATTTTTTATGAGGAATAGCTCATCAATAATTCTTTATGTATTTTAAGTGGTAAGAAACTATTACTGACATTAACTAGAATCAGCTTTTATTACTATGTGAAAATAGCAGAACAGCACACATTTATTTCAATTCAACAAGTATTTACTGAACACTTGGTACATGGCAGGCATTGTGCTAGGTACTAGAGAAATAAAAATGGCTTACAAAGACCTCCCAACCCTCCAGGGAAAACGGACTCATACGCAACTAATTCCAACAGAACATATTAAACCAGACACAGAATCTGTTCCTGCATAAATATGTTACTCATGATCTTCAGTATCAGTCATCCACACATACACCAGAAAGAGCCACAGAAAACTCACCTGGAATGTACAGACTAGTGTTATGAGGACACTGACATTTGCTTCTAGTACCATGTTCCTTTTTCAGGAACCACAGGGAAAAGGCTGAAACTCTCCACAACGATAAAAAGTCGTTATTCCAAATGAGAATGTGAGAAACAGCACAGTTCGGCCCAAGCAGGAGGGACAGAGGAGGGCTGGTTGCCACCTGCACCAGTCCCTACCCTCCCTTCTTGCGGAGTCTCATGCAGGAGAGCCAGAGCTGAGGCGTGGCCAGGATGGTCAATGCAGCACAATGTCCCCTCTGAACACAGTGACAGAGAACACTCCCAGGGACCCCCACCACTTCGAGAATCCCGAGTTTCTTTACTTTCCATTTCAACCAAAGTGTGGATAGTTATCATGTATCTTATTAGGTATGACACCAAGACTGGGAGGCCTTTCAACAGTATCTGCTGAAAGTGCGAGTGCATCTTCTCTCTAGGAGAAAGACTAAATTTAAACTCTAATCCCTAGGACATATAATAAACTAAAGTAGAAATGAGCAATATCTTTTCCAAATGAAAGTATTGATTGATAAAAAGTAATATATATGTATAAAGGAAATGTAATTTCTCTTGACTTTATGATGTTTTTGTAACTCTTGCAAATACACGCAGTGTTCTAAACTGATACTTACAGTTATAGAGTGGAAAGAACACCAGAAAAATGCACATAAGTTGCTTATGTCCCGAAGTCAAGCTATTTATATGTAAATTTGGAATAGAGTCATTACAAATTGACAAAGGGACGGGGGGTTAGCAATGGCCGCGATTGAATTTCTCTAACAAGAGACTTCATCTGTAGTGTCACCACAGCCGGACATCTGAAAGGACAAGGGGAGGCTCTAATGAAACAGAAACTGAAGACTACAATGAACAGAAAGACTGGAAGACCAACATGTTTCAGCGAAAACGCTCTTTGTTTTCGTTTTCTAATGGAGATCTTAGGAAAAGAGAGCTTATCATTATCAAATTATAGAGAAAATATTTATAAATATTTAATTATTACCTCATTCCCCACTCCCCTGAAAGTATGTATTTGATACACTCTCTGACACTTTCTGTGAGATGAGTGTCTGCGATTCACAGGTGGAGAAACACGGGCTTACCAGCAACCTGCACGCAATACTGTCCTGCATGCAAGTAGGTACTGTGGTCCTTGGGCCTAGGGCCTAAGTATGAAAAACAATTAAGGCTTCGTTAACATCTGTTGGTTTTATTTTATTTTCTCATGTAGGAGAGTTGTCAAGTGCATCTGCCACGTGGCAAGTTGCGTCTTCTCTTTAGAATAACATTATTTTTTTCACTTTTTAAATTACATTTTTCCCATTACTATTTATCCCCCTTATACCCACCTCCCCCCTGTAGTCACCACACTGTTGTCCACGTCTGTGAGTCCTTTTTCCTTTTTGCTCTATTGCTCCACCTCTTAACCCCATCACTATTTTTTTTAATTACTTCATTTAAAAGAACTGCTAATCAAAATCCTTTCACATGTACAATATAGAGCAATCACGGTATCCTCCTCACAATACCATTCCTACCCCTGTGGAAGAATAGGAATGGATTTTAATTATGATTCAGTTCTCCTCATTATTCTGAACAAAAAGCTAATAGACTAGAATCGTAATGTATTTTCTCAGAATGCACCATACTGTATTTAAAAAAAAGTGGCCGGTATTTATTTTGTAGGAATGCTAAAGTAATATGAACAATAGAATTCAAACCTTAAATAAATTTCTAGCTTTTTTCCTATGAGAAAAATCCATCTTTAATATTTTCCTTTTTTTTCTCTAGGTGAGGCAGTTCAAGTTCAAATATATACTTATTACTTCTTTCTAAAAAGAACCATTCTTTTAACTTTACTTTCTATTTAATCCAAGTACACAATTTGACATATTTCTTTATATACAATTTTTCACACAACTTAGCTACATGACATGGTCTGAAAAAAAGATATAGGTAAAAGTGTAGTATTCTATTAAATGTAATAATCCTATTAAGAATGACAATTCTGTTTTAATATATCTCTTCCCAGAAAGCTATGCCTAAAAAATCATAACTGTCATTTCTTTTTTTTTAAAGATTTTATTTATCTTTAGAGAGAAGAGGAGGGAGGGAGAAAAAGAGGAATGAGGAAGAGAAACATTGATATGAGAGAGAAACATTCATTGGTTGCCTCTCATATGGGCCCCAGTGGGGGACCAAACCCACAACCCAGGCATAGGGGGTCAATTCCTGACCAGGAATTGAATTGGCAACCTTTTGCTTTGGGGGATGATACCCAACCAACTGAGCCACACTGGTCAGGGCATAATTATCATTTCTTTTTAAAACCAGACATGAAGTACCCGCACCAAATCCAAATATTACCAGTATAGAGTTTCTTCTAAAGTAAGCACTTATTTCTATGAGGAAATAAAATTATTTCCCAAAGAATACGTTCAGAATCTCTTTGTGACTGAGCCGCATGTAGGAGAGTAAAGGGCTACTGTGTACCTGCTCTCAGAAGACACATTCAGCCCTCGAGGGAATTGGGAAAGGAGTTTTTTTGCTCTTCGTAATCGGCAAGTGCAGAGGCGAGGAGGTCTGACTGTAAAGAGAGAGGTCTGGCTTCTTCGTTCAGGGACAAAGTACTTGGAAACCTTTCAAGATCAAGACCTCTTCCCTTAAGATATTTCTGAAGAGTTCTAAAAAACTAAAGAAAGAAAATGTTAAATTGCCATATATAAATTAAATACCCAAAATACTCAAAGATGAATATTTTTCCCCTTAAATTTAGGGCTTATCTAACAGGCTGGAAGTGGAAAACTCAGAAAGAGAAGTACAATTTTGGCTACTCCCCCTGCCCCCCGCCCCACCTCCCTTGTTCTCCACCCTGCCTCCATTCTGACATTTTGACCCCACACGCGATCATTCACTGTTCTTGATGGAAGTGAGAGAGAAACACCGATTATTTCACAGCACCACTCAGAGATTTGCTGTAAACCATCTCTAGACACCATGGCAGAGATTAAGTTGAACTCCACAGTGATCAGAGCTTGGCACCTCCTCTCTGACTGAAAATAGGACCCCAGTTGCCGTCTGCTGAAATAGTTTTTATTCAGAATGGACTTTTCAGCTTTCCTTTGGCAAATGAATATATAGCAGCTGTGCAAAGGGCTATTTGATTGTTTTAATCCCATATTGTTATATTTCACATCAACGTATATAAAAGATCATTTACAAATGTAATGTGCTCTGTGTGTATGATCATTTCCAAATATAAACTTGTTTCTCCTTACAGAGACAAATGTAAATTGACTAGAGGAACCACAGGATGCCAGCTACAAGGCTAGGGAAACTCTGGCCTGGTCCCGCTGGGGCATCTTCTCTGCCCTTAGGAGCCATCTCTTCACGGTGCCTTAGGAGATGCAGTGCGCACGGATCCCTCAAGGCATCGATCACACCCACAACCCAGCGTGTCCCAGTGGAGGTTCTCACCAGATCTCGGTTTCTGGGGTTCTTGAGTGGCTTCCACTGCTCTTTGTTTCTCAGTGTGTCTCCATGGATAGGCCCGAGTAGCACCAGGGCCATACACAGCAGCAGGAATGGTTTGGGCATGGTGGAATGAAGCTGAGTGAAAGGATGGATGAGGGCAGTGGCAATAGTCACAGCTGAGGGAGAGAGGGAGAGGGGAAGAGGGAGGGGAGGGAGAGCGAGAGCGGAGGGAGAGGGGGAGGGAGAGGAAAGCGTAGAATACAAAAGAGGAAATATTCTTAAAGGGAGACAAGGAAAAAGAAATAGTATTTTGGTTCACCTGAATTTTGCAGCCTTGTTTTTTTTCCAGATTCATTTGCAAATAAGACCCCCAAAATCCAGTTGACTAGCTTAAAGGAGCTCATGATAATGAGAACATTATACAATAAGCAAAGTAATTATGAATACAACTTACCAAATCTGAGTATACCTTCAAAATGCACTGTTATCCCCAAAGAAAGTAAAATTCTTAAACAAACAAAAGCACTCAAAATCAATCTTAAATTACTCAGGAAGTAATTCAATAAGACAGCAGTCTCAACAATGATATTGTAATAACTCTGTATGGTGCCAAGTGGGTACTTCAATTATCAGGGGGACCACTTTCTAAATTATGTAATTGTCTAACTGCTATGCTGTATGCCTGATGTTAATATAAAGTAATACTAAATGTTGAAAAAAGAGAGCAGTCTCAGAAAAAAAGAAAAAGAAACACTCCAAACTGAGGAACGCACTGTACACACACGTCTGAGACAGACGTATGCCACACCAGCGTAAGTAAAGGTATCTCCCACCCCAAGGTGTGAAATGGAAGCAAAACACATCGAAAGAGCTAATAAAGCTTACCAGGAGTTTGGCTGGGCCTGGCCCTGCTCGGTTACCCTGCCTGCAGTCCACAGGGGGACACGTGGCTCCTTATAACCAGTGGATTGGCTGCAGGTGGAGTCACTGACGTGAGCAAGGGGAGTTCAAAAATAATGATTCCATTTTCAACCACAGCACAAATACCCTTCAGAATCACATCTTCAGACTTGTTCAGTGATGAACAATTTGTCTTATAAATATCGCAACCACTGACCATCTTATGGGGATTTTATAAAATACACAAGGCACTTCCAAACAGCAAAGTGGCTTTCTCCTTTCTCACTCTTAAGAGAAGGTGTATCATACACGGCAGCTGGGAATGTGATGACGATGATCCCACCTAATAGAATGCTCTGTTGGAGAGATCAACTTTTGAAATTAATAGCATTTTTTAGAACAGAGAATTCTATTGCAAGGGACAAAATTGCTCCTTATGACCTACACCTTCTATTTCTTCTGAGAACCTCAAGAATCTTGGCAAGTTTTAAATAGTGGTGTGGTTTTTCATAATACTCTCTCAAAATAGAGCTATAGGATTGCATGTGTTTCAAGGAAAAAAGAAAAATTACCTACAGCATCCTCTTGCTGAATAAATGTGATCATAGAAAAACAATAGGGTTGAGAAATTGGACATGATGAGTTGGGACGTGATTGGACTGGGGGTGGGGTGCCAAAAGGCGTGAGCCAATGCCAAGGATTACCTTGAGGTGCTAGCTTCTTTAGGGCTTAGTAACTAATCAAATGTAGTAGGCAAGGGAGAAATTATCAAAATGAATGGGCTTTTAACTTGGGTAATTAAGAGGATTTAATAGAAATTTGGAAACTAAAAAGAGTTGCTACTTAGGGAGAGAAATTATAAAATTAAATTTCAACACTGTGTTGAAACTAAGTTTGTCTAGTTTGGAGAAAACTAGTCATTGGTGAGTTAAGAAGAAAGCACCCATCATTTCTTGAGCACCTATGTGTGTTGGGTGCATTTGGTCTGTTCTTTCATTTAATCCTCACCCCAGGTTTGTGAAGTAATGTTACTAGCCATTATTTATGGGTGGGGATACAATCTCAGGGAGGCTAAATGTATTGCCCCTGATTCAGAGATACTTAGATATGGAGCTGGGGGAGCAAGTCTGCCTGGTGTGGTGAATCATCCATCAAGAATATAAAATTGTGTCCTGGCTGGTGTGGCTCAGTGGGTTGAATGCTGGACTGTGAAGCAAAAGAATATAAAGTTGAAGTCACAGAGTTAGATAAAATCTCTAAGGAAAAGTACAGGGGGAAGAAGGAAGGCTGTGGGCAGATCATTAGGAACATTTTCTTTAAGGCAAGAGGAATATGATCAGAAAAGACTTTGATGCAAAGTGATCTAATATTGATCATTGCGTATTACAGGTCTTTAGTGAAAGAATTGGTTTCACTAAACCATTCACAATATGGTTTGAATTCTACTAGAGACAAATTACTTAATTTCTCTGAGACTATTTTCTTTCTTGTAGTGTGAAGATAATAACTTCCCAATGGGATTTTACAGAGAATAAGATGAGAAACTAAATGTGGGTGTGTCTGGCCCCGGGTTCTGGTGCAGCAGGTAGCTAGTGAGTGTCTGCTGAAAGGATGCAGGATGGGTGACAAGGCAGTCGGCACCAACCCCACAGTATGGTCTGGTATTTTCCTTTAAATCCTCACCCAAGGATTGTTTATTGATTTGAGAGAGAGGGAGGTTGATTTGAGAGAGAAACATCAATCGGTTGTCTCTTGTGTGTGCCCCAACCAGGGAGCAAACCCATAACCTAGGTATGTGCCCTGACCAGGGATGGAACCCTCAACCTTTTGGTGTACGGGATGAGGCTCCAACCATCTTGAGCCATCTGGCCAGGGAGGTTGACCATTTTTAGAAAAAGCAAGGACAGAGTTGCATTTCAAATTAGGAACGTGTACCTCTGTCAGAATGGCTGTCCTCAACGAACAAGTGCCGACAAGAATGTGGAGAGAAGAGCACCCTAGTGCACTGTTGGTGGGAATGCAGACTGCTGCAGCCACTGAGGAAAGCAGTATGGAGATACCTCAAACAATTAAAAAATGGAACTGCCTTATGACCCAACCGTTCCCTTTCTAGGAACATATCTGAACCTGAAACACTATTTCCAAACAATGTATGTACCCCTATGTTCACAGCAGTGTTATTTACAATAGCCAAGATTTGGAAGCAGACCAAGTGTCCATCAGTAGATGAGTGGATAAAAAGCTGTGGTACATTTACACAGTGGAATATCACCTAGCCATAAACAAAAAGGAAATCTTACCTTTTGCAACAGCATGAATGGACCTGGAGAGTATTTTTTAAAATTAAAGTATATTTCACTGATTATGCTATTACAGTTCTCCCATTTTTTTCTCCCCTTTATTCCCCTCTGCCCTGCACCCCCCTCCCACCAGCATTCCCCCACCTCTTAGTTTATATTGATGGGTGCTTCAGTAAGTTCTTTGGTTTCTCCATTTCCTATACTATTCTTAACATCCTCCTATTTTCTACCTACCATTTATGCTTCTTATTCCCTCTACCTTTTCCCCCATTCTCCCCGCTTCTCTTCCCCATTGATTACTTTCAATGTGATCCCCATTTCTGTCATTCTGTTCCTGTTCTGTTTTTTTTTCTTGTTCAAGTTCAGTTGTTGATAGGTGTGAATTTGTCATTTTACTGTTCATATTTTTAAGTATATTTTATTGATTATGCTATTACAGTTGTCCCATTTCCCCCCTTCACTCCCTTCCACCCTGCACACCCTCTCCCACCCACATTCCCCTTTAGTTCATGTCCATGTGCCATACTTATAAGTTCTTTAGCTTCTCCATTCCCTATACTATTCTTGCTCCCGCCCTATTTTCTACCTACATTCTATGCTACTTATTCTCTGTGCCTTTTCCCCCTCTCTCCTCCTCCCACTCCCCTGTTGCTAACCCTCCATGTGATCTCCACTTCTGTGGTTCTGTTCCTGTTCTAGTTGATTGCTTAGTTAGTTTTTGTTTTTCTTTTAGGTGTGGTTGTTAATAATTGTGAGTTTGCTGTCATTTTACTATACATGTTTTTTATCTTCTTTTTCTTAGATAAGTCCCTTTAACATTTCATAAAATAAGGGCTTGGTGATGATGAACTCCTTGAACTTGACCTTATCTGAGAAGCACTTTATCTGCCTTTCCATTCTAAATGAAAGCTTTGCTGGATAGAGCAACCTTGGATGTTAGGTCCTTGCCTTTGATGACTTGGAATACTTCTTTCCAGCCTCTTCTTGCCTGTAAGGTCTCTTTTGAGAAATCAGCTGACAGTCTGATGGGAGCTCCTCTGTAGGTTACTGTCTCCTTGTCTCTTGCTACTTCTAGGATTCTCTCCTTCATTTTTACCTTGGCTAATGTAATTCTGATGTGCCTTGGTGTGTTCCTCCTTGGGTCTAACTTCTTTGGGACTCTCTGAGCTTCCTGGACTTCCTGGAAGTCTATTTCCTTTGCCAGATTGGGGAAGTTCTCCTTTATTATTTGTTCCAATAACTTTTCCACTTGTTGCTCTTCCTCTTCCCCTTCTGGTACCCCTATAATCCGGATGTTGGAACATTTAAAGATGACCTGGAGGTTCCTAAGCCTCTCCTCATTTTTTTTTTGAATTCTTATTTCATCATTCTTTTCTGTTTGGTTGTTTCTTTCTTCCTTCTGGTCCACTCCATTGATTTGAGTCCCAGTTTTCTTCCCATCACTATTCGTTCCCTGCACATTTTCCTTTATTTCACTTAGCATAGACTTAATTTTTTCATCTAATTTGCGACCAAATTCAGCCAATTCTGTGAGCATCCTGATCACCAGTGCTTTGAACTGTGCATCTGATAGGTTGACTATCTCTTAGTCGCTTAGTTGTATTTGCTTTGGAGCTTTGATCTGTTCTTCCATTTGGGCCGTTTTTTGTTGTCTTGTCACGTCTCTTACATATGAGGGATGGAGCCTTAGGTGTTCACCAAGGCAGGTCAGCCCAGTCACTGGGTTGTGATGCTCTATGTGGGGGCGGGGTCTGAAAGGGAACAATGGTGCCTGCTCTGCTTCTCTGTCAGATTTCAGTCCCTTCTGCCACTTCCCACAAGCAAACTGGGCCTTTCTGGTGCTGATTCCAGTGTGGGTCAGCTTGTGAAACTTCTAGGACCCTGTGGGTCTCTCCAATGCACTCTCCTGTGAGGCTGGGAGTATCTTCCTGTGCCTCAACCGCCACAAGTGTTTTCAATCAGTGCCCCGAGGATCTATTTCCTGGCACTGGGACCCTGGGACCACTGGGTCAGCCAGCCACCGTGCATGCAGTCCCTTGCTTCACAATCGCCGCCTCGCTGGGTCTGCCTGTTGCCACTCTACACCCAGGGTCCACCCCCTGCGGTCTTGCGGGCCTGGGGCCTTTTTGTGCCAAGACCCCTCTCTGCCTGGCTGCCCGACTCCGCCCTTCCTACCGGTCTGGATGAATATGTCTATTTTAACTCCTTGGTTGTCCGACTTCTGTACAGTTCAACTTTCTGACAGATCTGGTTGTTATGTTGTTTCTAAATTGTTGCTGTCCTTATTTTCGTTGTGCAAGAAGGCACAGCATGTCTACCTATGCCTCCATCTTGGCTGGAAGTACTGTTCATATTTTTGATAATCTTCTTTTTCTTAGATTAAGTCCCTTTAACATTTCATATAATAAGGGCTTGGTGATCATGAACTTTAACTTGACCTTATCTGAGAAGCACTTTATCTGCTCTACTATTCTAAATGAAAACTTTGCTGCATAGAGCAATCTTGGATGTAGGTCCTTGCCTTTGATGACTTGGGATATTTCTTTCCAGCCCTTTCTTGCCTGTCCTGTAAGGTCTCTTTTGAGAAATCAGCTCATAGTCTATAGGAACTCCTTTGTAGGTTATTGTCTCCTTATCTCTTACTGCTTTTAAGATTCCCTCCTTCTCTTTAATCTTGGCTAATGTAATTATGATGTGCCTTTGGTGTGTTCCTCCTTGGGTCCAACTTCTTTGGGACTCCCTGAGCTTCCTGGACTTCCTGGAAGTCTATTTCCTTTGCCAGATTGGGAAGTTCTCCTTCATTATTTGTTCAAATAAGTTTTCAATTCCTTGATCTTCCTCTTCTCCTTCTGGCACCCCTATCATTCAGATGTTGGAACATTTAAAGTTGTCCCTGAGGTTCCTAAGGCTCTCCTCATTTTTTAAAATTCTTGTTTCTTCATTCTGTTGATTGAATGTTGATTCAATTCAGTTTCTTTCTTCCCTCTGGTCTAAATCATTGATTTGAGTCCCAGTTTCCTCCCTTTACTCTTGGTTCTCTGTATGCTTTTCTTTATTTCACTTTGCATAGTTTGTGTATTTCACTTTTTCCTCTATTTTGCAACCATACTCAACCATTTCTGTAATCATCCTGGTTACCAGTGTTTTGAACTGTGCATCTGATAGGTTGGCTACTTCTTCCTTGCTAAGCACTATTTTTGGAGCTTTGATCTGTTCTTTTATTTGGGTCATAGTTTTTCTTTGGCACATCTGTTACCTGTAAGGGGCAGAGCCTTAGAAGTTCACCAGGGCGGGGCAATCCACATCACTGCATTGTGGTGCTATATGTGGGGAACAATGCTACTTGCTGGGTTCTCTGTGGGCTTTCAGTCACTTTGGGTGGGTCTGTGCATGTTCTAGGACTCCTTGGGTCTCTCCAATGCACTCTCCTGTGAGGCTGGGAGTCTCTCTTGCTGCCACATTCCCCATTGGCCTTCATAGCCAGGGGTTTTGAGGCTTTCTTTTCCCTGCACTGGAACCCTGGGTTGCACAGTCTGTCTTGCTCCCAGTTGCTCCCCTCCCAAGTCCATTTTCTCCTCAGGCAAATGTGAGACCAACCAGTCTGTCAGCTGCTGCTTTGCCCAACCCCTGGACCTGGAGAATATTATGCTATGTGAAATAAGCCAGTCAGAAAAAGACACATACCATGTGATTTGACTCGTATGTGGAATCTAATGAACAAAATAGTTTAACATACAAAATAGAAACAGATTCATGGATACAGAGAACAGACGGACAGCTGTCAGAGGGGAAGGGGATTTGGGGCTGGGTGAAAAAGGTGAAGGGATTAAATAAAGAAAAACTCAAAAAACACATGGTGATGACTAGAGGGAAAGGAGGGTAAGTTGAGGTAGAAGTGGGTAAAGGAAGGATAAATGGTGATGGGAGATGACTTGGGGTGGCGAACACACAATACAATACACAGATGATGTATATTATAGAATTGTATGCCTGAAACTTATATAACTTTATTAACCAATGTCATCCCAATAAATAAAAAATAAAAAAATAATTTTAAATGAAAATCAAAATAATAAAGAATGTCACAAATAGTAAAGATAAAAAGCATGGCGAATGAGTTCTTTTTGTTGGCATGTGTTAATATGAACATACCTTATAGAACTATTTGATACTGAAGGATGAGCTAATTTATCAATGTGAATATTCAGATGAACATATAGCTCTATAAAACCTGAAGCTTTTATTTGCACAGCATATGATTTAAGCTCACCTAGAAAGTCTATGAAAGGTGACTTTCTCTAAACATATTCAAGAGAAAAGCAAATCACTAGAAACATTTTTAAAAGCTCAACTTGACTTTATATAGCTATTTTTGAGTTAGAGTAATTATTCTTGACCTATCCCCAATATAAAATTGTATATATTAAGTATAGTAAGATGCTTTCACTCATTTGATAAGGCAAGCTGGTCTACTTTTTCTTGAATTCAGCCATATCCAAGTTCTGACTGTTCAAAACCAACAAGACACAACAAAACCATCTCTAAATGAATAAAGATCACACACACTTGCTGAACAACCCAGGGATGGGATATTGTTTCCTTCCCCTGTAAGGTGTTTTTATAAAATTCAATCAAAGAATTTAGGGGCTTTTCTTTCCCTGAAACATTTTATATTTAGCAGTTCTTTGAATTAAAACTATGGATAAAATGTCAGTAAGTATAGCAAATATGAAGAGGACTGTGTACCCCCGATATACATGGCAGGCAGACTTCTAGAATGGTTCTCACCCTCCAGTGTATACAACTTGTACCACCCCTGCCCCTGAAGTGTGGGTTGAGCTTGTGAGTACGATGGGAACGTGCCTGTGACCTCCCATGGCAAAGAGTCCTGCAGCTATGATTAAGACTGACCTTGACTTAAGCAAAAGGGAAAGTATCTTAGTGGATCTGAGCCACTGATGTGAGCCCTCTAAATCTGGATCAAAAGGTCAGAGACAGAGGAAGTTTTAAGAGATTCAAACTGGGAGAAGAATTCTGCTGGTCTGGAAGGAGCACACAGCCACTTTGTGGAGGGCCACAGAGCAGAGAATGGCATGGGAGGCCCCAAGGGCAGAGCCCCCTGGTCAACAGCCAGTAAGAAAACGGGAACCTTCACCCACAACAGCCTGAATGAGTCTCAGGACAGTAGACCTGGGTGGCACCTTGATTTCCAAAGTGTGATTCTGAGCAGGAAACCCAGTTGGTCTGTACCCAGACTTCGAGGTCTTGTTTGAAGCTGTTCATTTGTAATTTGCTATGCGGCAATAAAAAAAATGTGTATTATGGGAAAGGAGGGAAGAAGTGGGGATTGCAAAAAGGGAGAAAAATAAAGGGTTTTTGGAAAGGCCTATGAAGCTTTCATGCTGTATACTCAAGTGGCCAATAATACTGGGGTGGCTTCAAGATAATTTTTTTTTAAATTACTTTATTGTTGTTCAATTACAGTTGTCTGCATTCCCCCCCCCCACCACTCCCCCTCACCCCAGCCAAACCCACCTCCCTCCGTTGCTTCCACTCTCCCCCTTGGTTTTGTCCATGTGTCCTTTCTAGTAGTTCCTGAAAACCCTTCCTCCAATTGTCCCCTCCCCCCTCCCCTCTGGCTATTGGTTCAAGATAATTCTTTAAGTATTCAAGTAAAATATTAAAGCTTCTAGCTGTGTAATTCTCATCTTTAAAATCTTACTTTGGGGGTTATATTTAAAATATACATAATGTTAGTACTTAATATACATATATGCCCACATATTTAGAGATCTGGTTAACACAGTTTAGGAAAAAAAACTTCCAATCAATGTATAACTTCCAGTCATCTTCAAAGGATGTCCTAGCCCCCCATCCCTCTTTTCACTCCTCTTATTCATTCTAATAAAGTTTACGTCTATGCTGGCTTCTTAAACTATGCATGTCTCTTCTGGCACCTTGTAATCCTAAGGACAGTCTTTCTAGGAACGCTACCAAGTTAAATTTTATTGACTGAAGCAATGTTGGAGACTTACTATCTGGGGCACTTGTTAACACAGAATCCCAGGCCTCTTCCTTTCAGATCAAATTCAGCAGTTCTGAGAGAACTGGAAATCTTTACAAACCATGTGTAAATCATTCCCATTCTCATGGAATTTGGGAAAACGGGTGCCCAGGAATATATAATATATTGTGTTAGTGTAGGGAGAATGGAGAGTGTCATCTCTGGCAGAAATATGACTGTGTAATTCCTTAAAACTGAATGTGAACCACGAAATGTCCATACAAATGTATGTGGGAAGCTACAAAATACCAAAGTGGGAAATACTAAGTTTACCTTGTGGCCAATATTTACCTGTGATGTATCATGTTTTTCCCATCCCACATATAGGCATTCAAATTTCTGAAAGGCTGGACAGGCTATCATCAGTTTTCAGGTTGTGCGTGTGTGAGAGAGGGAGTATTACAGAGTGTATGTGAAGTGGTAAGCAATCTCTGCACCAAATGTTCTTGTTCACCAGATTTATTGTTGAACATTCAGAACACCAGATCATGACAGGTTGGAGAGAAAGCACCAAAAATTGCTACACATTAATACCTGAGCAGAGACTTAGGGCAAATATTCACCTGTTAAACCCCACACCATAATGTTGAAACACAGATAAAAACATTCACCACACTCTACAGAGTACAATAAATTGCATTTTGTGAATTACAACCAGTTAATGTCATAATGTTAATTATACACCATACCAAAAGTACACAGAAAATTACACATAAGTATATTTAGTACCCCATATACTGTACAAAGCTGGAAAAGATCATGCATGTTTAAATGAAAGAGCTGCAAGGTGACAATATTTTTCAGTATATACTATAGGACAATTTTCTTTGTACTTAAGTATTGTTACTATTCACTCTATTTTCTGGATGAGAACAAAATGATCAATTTGCAAATAAATGAACACTGAGACTATCTCAGCATAACAGTTTATCTTCTATAAACTTTTAACTGTAATACAAAAACTGATGCAGGTTAACAGCCATTATTTGATTATATACCCTCACCCACACTGCTTCCAACTCAGCTGGACTATGCTGTAAGGAAAGACTTGTTTTCTTTCTGCATACTTTTAGAGAAACCTGTATTTATGTCTTTATGGGAAGGCAGTGAACATAAAATGGGAAGAAAGAAATGTGCTATGTTTACATTCAAAATTAAAATACAAAAATACAACAAATCACAAGAGATGTGGGCTTCTTTTAGCAGAGACCATGAACATCCTATGAATGCAATAATTTGTTTCAATAGAAATTATATCCATAATTTTAAGTAAGCACTGTAAAAATGCAAGTCTTTACATTAGAGAAACAAGCAAAACTGGAGCCAGTTCTCTCAAGTATTAAAAATACTTAGGGAAGAAAAAGAAAAACAGAAAAGGGGAAAATAATATTTAAAAATATACTATATGAATTTTAGTTTACTGAAAAGTCATTATTCAGTAAAATTGCTTTATTTTACACCTAAATATAAACCTCAATAATCTGAGGGGAAAAAAGTACAGGGCATAGGGAAGAATTTGTCTTGACATTTATTTAAAAAGACAAAAAATTACACTGAAGATTAAGATTAATCTTTCTGTGTATAATAAATTCAGAACAGAAGTGCCACCACTATCTTCATAAAAAGTATTTTCATAAGCCTTTGCCACACATAAGCTTCTGTATCTATAAAGTATAAGTCAATTTTAATTTGAAACGAGAACTCTGAAAGTTAAGAGCTGCCTCTAGAGCAAAAGTTCTGCAAATACTAAGGGTAATACTTTTATTTAAAATTTTTACTTCACCAACCTCAAAAAAATAAAAAAAGGAGTTGGGGCCAATTTGGGAAGACCACCAATAATAAAATACACAGTTATAAAATTGTAGGGCATTCCTTCATCATTTTAAGGCACAATCTACTTTATCCCAAAAAGACTATAAGTTCAAGGTCACAGTGATAATATGCATTCAATTTTGGTCTGGTTTCTCATGGGTACATTGCTACATTTAGTTAGTCGTAAGTTGAAAAAACCGCAATACAACCACTTTAAAATAATATATTTAAGTCATTTTTGTATTTTAAAAAATGTAAGTATACAATACAACTTCCTAATTTATATACAATAAAAATTGGAGTTTTCCCTCCTTCACAGCAGAGGAAGAGAAGGTTATTTCTACCAATATTCAAATAAATATATATTTGATTATGTAGAAAGCATGGTTATGTTAAATACAGGCATCACCTACTTAGGATAAAATTATTCAACACAAAGGACAAACTCATTCCAAAAAACAAAGTTCACTTAATTTTCAGGTCTTGTACGTCATCTTTTTACTAATATCCAGAGTCCACACCAGATGATTGGATAAACTGTCACTAAATCAATGCTAAATATTTTCATATTTGGCTTTCTCAGCTGCCTCTGCACCAACATTATGAAGCAGAGAAACGGCAAGTGACATTAAATTAGGGGAAGTACTATAATATGAGGAAACAAAATTCCCTTTGAGAATTTGTATAGGGGAGAAATTAAATAATTTTAACCAGGTAAACATCACAGTTTTTGAGTCTATCATATTTCTACTTTTCTCTCAAGAATACAACACTGCACCAACATTAACACTTTACCATTAACACCTTGATTTTTTAAATATTTTCCTTTAAGATATGCATTTTAAAATGTTTACCTCATTGCACTGCATTAGGCTCCAGTGGACGCTTTCCACCTGTGGAGCATGTGACTGTGCGAAGGGCCGACGGGCACATGGAGAAAGCAAAGCCTACAAACTGTCATTACAGGAGCGAGACGCCTGCACTAGAGAAGGTCCGTGCGACAGATTTAAAGGTTCACATCACAGAATGAATCCAAAGTAAGGCTACTTCAAATGATTACCTCGACTAATTACTGAAAGATCATTATTGGGTAAACTAACTTTTGCCCCCCCCTCCAAATCAGAGAACATTATTCCAGAAATCAGATGAAATAGAATATAACTGTGCTACAAGTTTGATGTATTTTCAAAGAAAAATCGGGGTACAGAATATAAGTTTTGAGGATTTACATATTTAGTATAAGTCCTAAATGGAAAATACTGAAAAGTTATTTTTGCTTTAATCCCAGTACGCTAAGAAGAGTTCATTGGCACAGACAACTGGAGGTATTTCATATTTCCACTTAGCTTTGGTGGCAACGTGTGTTTTGCTAACCATATGAACATGGTTATGTTTTCCAATGTAGAGGTTTATGCTAAAAAAAAAACCAAGTGTGTCTTTTTTTTCTTAAAAAAGAGATGTAAAAAGTCCAATATGAAACAAAACAAGTGCAATATGAAATATAAAACATGCCTATCATTTAGGCTTTTGAACAGTTAATAGTTCTATGCTTTGTGTATAAATCTTTTACTAGTAACCTTACTACTATACAAATACTAAAAACCAAGATAACATTAAAAAAACCCAGCATATTAACTTTACAAAAATGACTACCTTTAGACTTCCTAAACTAAGATTAGAATTCAAATATGCAAACAAATTTACACTTAACTAATCAAAATACATCAACAGTTTTCCTCATAAGTGTTCAAAGTTACAATGTACAGAATCAGTGCAGAATAATTCTGACTCATATACATCAAGTTCTATACAAAGTCATCAGAAAGTAACTGGTTACTTGGTATTTCAAAACAGCCATTTTTGGAAGCATAACATGCCAAACACTTTTAGTAAGTACTGTACTTGTTTTAAAAAACTTCAGCTGTGGATAATGTAATCAAAATGTAGCTGAGATCATCTAGCTTTTGAAAGACATGTTACCAATTCATGTGTGCTATGACACAAGGGTAGGCAAAACTAGGTTTACATTGTGCATACATGAGACACAGTTTATTTCTGTGTATTTATTATTGTATTATTTACTTTCCAGGTGAATTACTGTAAACCTACTTTTGCCCATCCTAATATTTATACTATTAATGGACAGTAGTCTATTCTCACTATTTCCAAATTTTATTCCATTCTTAAAACTAAGTTATTAATATACAAAAGTCATTCCTCTGTATTCAGAATACATTATCAAGGAAAGTGAGTTCTTGAGCACTTAAGTACACATACTAGGATCTGGATTACCGACCTGGCTTTTCTTTCCTATCATCCGTATTAACAATAAAGAATGTGAGTAGCTTCATAGCTTTCTATTTCCTCAGGCTGTTAAACTTATTGGGAGAGAATAAATTAAAGTTCATTAAAGAATTTGAAATGTCCTTTATTCAAAAAGACTGGGGTAAAATAGCTCCCCATCATCTTACTATTTCGTAGAATTACATTTATTCTACATTTATTTACCTTATGTGGCAACCAGGTTTTCGGTCAGGGTCTAATTTCATAATACAAAGATATTTCTGCTGCTTCCTTTACCCTGGGGAGTGCCACGGTCTCCAAACTGACCCCCTCCACCCCATCTTCACAAGCTATCCTGTTCCCTTCGACATACTGAGAAAACGAAGGCTGATGATGAAAAGTAATCCACAAATGCCTGGTCATAGAAGGGCACAGCACATTTACATTTTTTCCTGATTTTAATTTACTGAAATTGCAAATGCAGCACTGTAAAGTTTTGCACTAAACCTTATAATAAAGCAAGATATTACACTAATTTAGACCTAATGTGTGAGATGAAAACATAGGCTAACGGTATTACCTGGGGGCTTGAGAATCAACTGCCCTAGTCTGTCTCATAGTCTTTGTGCTTCCCCCGTTTCTCCCAGAGCTGTCAGGAACTGAACTGAAAACAGTTTTACCTCCTTTTACTTCCCTTGGCCACCTTCTATACGAAGTGCTAATGAGCAGTGAGGTGAAATAAATAAACTATGTTACAACTGGAAATTCTGAAGTATTGGAACTAGGTAAAGAACAGACCAGACAATATGCCTCCCAGGGGTGTGTGGGGGGCAGAAATGTGCACTGTCTGCGTGGCTGACACGATAATCAACAACAAACATTTTCTAGGCCTACTGGCATTCTTTCTTTCTTTTTCCTTACTATACAATCATGTAGGCATCATAGTGGAGTTGAATCAAGGAAGAGGCTTCCATTATATATCTAAATTTATCTGACCAAAATAAAAAAAAAGATTGATACATGATCAATGTATATTGAAGAGACTAAAAAAAAAATCAATGTTCATCAGGCACAAGTGGTTTTTTTAGGGCTGCTCTTTTAAATATTTTCATTCTGGTGACAAACAAGAAAAGACTTAGCAGATCCTGTTTAATTTCTGGCATGAAACAGATCCAGAAAACAGGGCTTCAGTGATGTCCACTGTGTTATCAGGTGTAAACTTATAGAAGACTCGTAACTCTGGAGGAAGCTTTAGAAACACTGGAAGTGCTAGTGTTTCTCCTGCCCAGTCTGTTTCATCCAGTTATCAACCGTAAGGTCCAGGAGTAATTTTTATAAGCAACAAGTTATTCAGTTACTCAAAACTCAGCAAGTTCTAAATTACAATGTAACATTAGAACTCAGAAGTTTGTGGAACTAGATAGACCCCGACCACCAATAAACAATCCTCTGTTTAGTAATAACGCTGTCAAAGCCATACAGCTTTACTGTCTGACACAGGTTGTAAGCACGACAGAAACAATCCGTAATTTATATTTAAATTATGGATTGTAGAAACAATCACTCAAGTAAAACACTTTCCTTTACTCGAGTGACAGAAACATCCACATTTGCTAATCTTCAGAGCCTACCTTCTGCTCTCTGGTAGTTATTTGGGTTTAAAGTGCATCAAGACTTGGGGAAGACCCTGTGGAAATGTTTAAAAAATGTCTCTATATTTATGTATACAATGGCTAAAGACCCAACCTACTGTCATTTCTAAAATGTTTAATAAGAATCCTTTTTGCAGCTCTAAGATGAAGTATTTTGTTAGAAATAAATAAGACTTTAAAACTTGATAACTACACTCACATGAGATATGTTAGTGACAATGAGTGTGCCTTGCCTGCTGCTTTAAAAAGCTAATGTGCACTACTACTCACAAAGGGGAAATTAAAGCTTGTTAGTTACACTGCATTCATGAGCAGCACTCACGAAACACGGAGACTTCAGATCACGAAACACAATGATTACAGCTGTCAACAGGATTCAAATTAATGAGTATTTCTAAAGTTCTTTCTGTGTATAAACCTAAGTTCAAATTCAGAAATAGTTAAGTGACACATTTAATCTGTAACTTGAAGTACAATTGCACCCATGAAGAAAATAACAGATGCTATGTGTACAGAAGTTGCCTATGAGAACACGTATAAGCTCCACATTGGCAGATGTGTCCTTACTGAAACATGTGTGTGGTGTACCATGGGACAGGGGTATAATCTAATACATTCTCTTTCCTTTCAGGTACTGAACACGCAAGCATTTTGTATTCTATCCCTTTTGCTACTTCTCTCACATAAGAGCCTGGTATGTCTGCCATGAACGCTGAGGTTACCACTCCTCTTTAATGGAATTGGTGAGTGAAAATATGACTTCTGAACAATAGGCATGAAGTTGGGAAAGACAACAATGGAATCAAACAAACTTACAAGCCTCAGAAATAACAGCAAGATGCTCTTTGATGCCAAAAGAGCAAGGACCTGAGGAACAACTGAGAAAAAAAATGGAGTGACCCTGTATCGGCTGCAATGTGGGGACAACCCTCTATAGGCAGTAACAGCTGAGAGGTGCTAATGGAATCCAGATGCAATGGCAGATAAGATGAACTTGGTACTTTAATACTAAGAAGGACACAAGTTCACAAGTGCAACAGTGGAATTACTGAGATTAAGGACTTGAGAGGTTTTAGGTATTTACAGCATGTACATCTAAAGGAAGGACTCTATCAGCCAGATATACCTCAGCCTGAGTTTATCCTTTCTTAAGGCAAAGATACCTAGCTCTGTCACCTGCTTCCTACTCTTGTAGCTAAAAGTGAGCTGAAATCTGAAATGAAATAGAAATATCATTCTCTTATCTGTCAAACAGTGATCACCTTGGCAAATTAAGATTGCACTGTAAAACCTAGTGGCTAAAGCTTCCAATTTATTCAGGTATACTGTTCCTACTTATGCTATTGGTGGGGCAACAGTTTGTTACTCCATCAATAGTATAATTTTATATACCAAATGTGGTACTGTACTTGATCGTGCTAATTTTTTTCCCACAGTAGTCAAAAACTGAAAACCTGGAATTTTTCCTGACCACTGGAATTTAGTTATTTTAATAACCCGCCCGGACCTGAGGCACTTCCGGCAACCACGGGTCAACGGTAAAACTGGTAAGGAAAAAGCACAGAAAGAATAACTGGCATCTTCCAACCCCAGCAAGTCAGTATCAGTGGGGATTTTCTTCACATTTAACAACAGATCTCTGTAATAAGTCTCCTCAAATTCACCAGGAATAAAGCTAAGGTTTGCATTTGTAAAGCAACAACAAAATTTCATGAAGTTGGAAGTTTGAATTATTTCTGTCCATCGGTGTTACATTGGTTACTAAGAAAACATGTCTCCTTAGAAAAGTAGAATTTTCACAGATGGGAGAAAACAAAAGAACTATGTGGTCCGCCGCGGCTGCTGAGGACAGACGGGCCAAACACTCTTTGTGGCCACTCCATTTGTGAGAGACCACATGGTTGTGAATTTCGTCAGTCTTTGAAAACTATCTTCTCAATAAATACTGTAGCAAACACAAAGTAACCCACTTTTCAGAAGAAAGTTTGATGAAATGAGCAGAATGCTTGAGGTGAGGTTGAGGTGAGGTTACAAAAAATGCTTTATGTTTACTAGGTGTTCGGGAGGAGCTCCCTCACATGACCAGCTAAGCAGACTTGCTGACATGTGGAGGAGTCCTCAAAGACAGTGTCCTTTGACCAATTTTTTAAAAAATGAGTATTACACAGATGCCACACCACCAAACAGAACCATGCTTCAACTACTCTCTTCAAGCATTACAAAACTAATTTCCTATTTTCAACATTGTAAAAATAGACGTGTCTTCTCCAAAGGATCTTGTAGTCTGCGCTGACGGATCTGTGCAACCCCTCTCATTACTGACCCTAAGGGCCAAAATCAACACCATCATCCCTTAGATCCAACCCTACATAAAGTTACATAAGGCGTGGAGGAAAAGGGAAATGAAAACACAACATGGAACCCTGTATAACTGTGTGGACCCAAAGGCGATCACACCAATAGCCAGAGGGAGTGGAAATTGTGAAGCAGTCCTCAACCATTTACTGTAAAAAGAGAGAAAGATGTATTACGTCCAGTGTGAGCACAAATGAAACATGTTGATCATTCACACAGCTTTGAGAAAGTGTTCTAAGTGATTTTAGATGAAGTCATTTTTCATATAATGAATTTAACTGTCCAGTTTTAAAAATGATCAATCCAAGCCATATTTTGACTAGAAAAATATTTCTATAAGTAAAGAACTAGTTTTGTTTAGCCTTTAAAATTTTAACAACAGCAAAATACTGGTTGGGCTTTTATTCAGTGATTCTACCTAACTTTAGAAATCTATCCGAACAAATATAATCAATAAAGTTTACTAAGACTTAGCTACAGAAATATTTAACCTTACTTAAAATAGGAAGAAAAAAAACATACAAACCCTCAACCAAATGAAAAAGGAACCATCTTTAATTCCTAACAGGAGAATACAAGGCAAGAAACTAAGTATTTTTAAAGGAAAAATACAGATGGTCCCCAACTTATGACTGTTGGACTTAGGATTTTTTGACTTGTCGATGGTGCAAAAGCAACATGCATTCGGTAGAAATTATAATTCAACTTTTGAAATTTGATCTTTTTCCAGCTGGCAGTATGTGGTGAAATAGTTTCTCCCGATGCGGGGCAGCAGCAGGGAGCTGCCACTCTCAGTCAGCCATGTGATCGTGAGAGTCAGCAACCAGAACCCCAGGGTAGTAGTAAGTGCATTTTCGAATTATGGTATTTCCAGTTTAGGATGGGCTAATCATGATGTAACCTCATCATAAGTCAAGAAGCATCTGTACTATCAGGAAGGCCTATCACCTTTTACTTTGAAAACAGAGAAATTGTGATTAAGAGGGGTTAAGAAACTTGCCTAAGGCATATATAGAGCTATTAAATGGAAGAGCAAAGATTTAAATCCCAGGCTGGCCTGATTCTAGAATATCTGCAAATGTCTGCCAGAATTGATGGAAAAGGCTCTGAGAGGAAACAACCAGTCAATGAAGAGTCAAGTTTTATTGGGCAGAAGTTTAAACATATACCTAAGCAGACTAACAGTATGATCAACCTCATGTACCCATCACTCAACTTCAAAAATTATCAAGTCACGGCCAAACTTCCTTTACCTATGTTCCTATCCACTTCCTATAGTCTCTGGAAGCAAATCTTAGACATCATATCTTTTAAGGGTTAACTTTTTAAAGAAAAAACATTATTATATCCTAATAAGTAAAACCCATAATTAAGAAAGCAAGTATAATATATTTTCATATAAACTATATCTGCATATATACCATAATTACATTATAGCTTTCCCTTTAGGAACAGTCAATGTATTAGGCATATACTACAATAAATACTCACAATAAAGAGCATGCTTCATTCATAAAAGGGTGATTAAGACTAGGAATAGATATGAGAAAAAGAAAGATTAAGCATACCTTGATTTTATTGAAACATTGTGAGTATTTCCAAGAATTGCTATAGTTGGAATAAGGATAAATGCCAAAGGTTTACATGGATCAGGATTAAGTTTAAAGTAATACCTAAATCAAAGAGAAGAAAAACATAAATCAACAAAGCACAGCAGATCATTTTAAAGTATCAGAATCAAATTCAATAATTTTCAAAACATTCCAGTAGCAACACAGATGTAAGAGAGCTCCAAATAGTGCATGAAATCTTCAATAAATAATATTTGCTCTAAATCTAAATCATCTTTATACCCAAGTTGGGTTTTTTTTTTATCCTCACCTGAGGACATGCTCACTGACTTTACAGAGAGGAGAAGGTAAGGAGAGGAGGAGGAAAGCATTGCTGTGAGAAACAAACACTGATCGGTTGCCTCTTGCATGTGCCCTGACCAGGGACTGAACCCGAAACCTAGGCAAGTGCACTCAGCAGAGTCGAGCCCGCGACCTTTTGACTTACAGGAGACACACTCCAACCAACCAAGCCGCATTGGCCAGGGCATAAACCCAAGTTTTATATAAAAAATTATGTTCAGAAACTACTAAAGGAAATGAAAATATTCACTATAAAAACATTTCCTTTTTATAAGTATATGTCTAAAAGCTCCTATGTAAATTTTATTAAAAAAATTATTTAAAATATATTAAGGCTGCTCTATTTTTAAAAGATAAAAAAGAAAGGCTTATATAAAATAATCTGCTCCTTATCTTTCTAAAATTCAAATTCTCATTTCTTGCACTTATTGACAGGGAAACAATTACAGATTTTCAGAATCATAAATTTGCACTCCTTAAATAATCTTCTCCCCAAATGTTAACAAAAATCTGGATCTTGACTAAAATGAAGGACATAGGAAGGATATTAAAATATGGTAACCTGTGACTTAATTTATTACACTTATTTTGGTTTTGCCAATTTTAAAATTAAATACTTCCGGCATTTAGACAATCTAAAAGTTTTGTATGATTTCTGTAAACTATATCGAGTAGAGGTTCAAGTATTACTTAGGTAGACTATTTTTTGAAACAACTTATCAATAACTAAATATTCTAGAAACAATTTGGAGGGCATTTCAGACTCTTATGTGACCTAGGCTGCTTATCTGGTAGGAAAGGAAATGATGGTTTTCAGTGTTAAGATAGCTGATCATTTATTTTGCTTAGATGTATGGGACATATTAAAAGTACCCATTTCTGCCCTGGATGATGTAACTCAATGGATTGGACACTGGACTATGAACCAAAGGGTTCCTGGTTCGATTCCTAGTCAGGGCACATGCCTGGGTTGCAGGCCAGGTCCCCAGAGGGGAACATGAGAGAGGCAACCACACACTGATGTTTCTCTACTTCACTTTCCACCTCCCTTCCCCTCTGTCTAAAAATAAAATAAAATCTTAAAAAAAAAAGTACCCATTCCTTTCACTATTTCTAATATTTTTAAATGGAAACTGTTTAATCTCCCTCTAAATTTAAGAAAACATAAAACCGATCATGAATTGAAAAATAAATAGGGTGGGTAGGGCAAGGAAGAGTAATGGGGGAAAAAATGGGGACAACTGTAATTGAACAATAAAAAAGTAAAATAAAATAAAAAAAATAAATAAAGTACTAGCATTATGAAATACCTTAAATCAATAAAGCAAAGCACATTTTCACCTGTAGATCAAAGAAGGTTAAAGGTGACATATCCTTTTTTGGGGATGTTTATTTTCCCAAAGGTTTATATTCTCATGGTAAGGGAGGAAATGTGGATGTATTAAGAATAAATTTCAAGGGATATATTGCTTCCTCTGCTCAAGGTAGTATTATGGACCATTGGAATCTAGCAAGTTCCTACTTACAGATATTTATTGTTTGAACCACATGAATTATAATTATATAAATAAAACACACCTAAGGTTCTTAAACCAGTAAATTAAAGATGGCGTGCTGAGTAACACGACCCACGCCAGTAAGTTAATCACAGTACTGTGCATGCGAAGACTGTCTTCAGCATCGCTGGCAGACAAACGAAGAGGGTGTGCTGTGGAGTCTTTATGGTGATTGGATTTTTTTTCACTTTTTCTAGGGTGTTTCGGATTCTACAAACCAATAAAGTAAAAATATCAACATGGTAAGTAAAATTTGTTTATTTTATTTAGAATCATATTCAATTACTTAATAGCCAAATAAATACATCTTGCCACTATTAAATTGATATAAAATACTGAAACTACTTTGTTTTGAAGTGGTTATCAGTTATGAAACTTTTATTCCTTTGATTTGCTATTCCCACTGCTGAGAATATACCCTCTAAATAATTACTCAAAACAAAATTTAAAATATAATTTATAATAAGTACTGACAAAGATCAAATTAAACTTAGAAAATCTAAGTCTATTTTAATATTGACTAGCTTCACTTTTCTTAAAATTTTTAAAATTCATAATACCTTTTAAACACTGTAAAATCCCAATATTAAAAAAAGAACTTTAAAATTTCCCATGTTCTTTCATGATAAAGTGATGTAGAGTTTGAAAATAAAACTTACCACAGTTTGGCTATTCTTAAAATTTGTTAGAATGGCTTGCAGATGAACAATCTAGGAAAAAAAAAGACCATTTAATTTTGCTTTTATTTTGAAACAAAAACAACTATTTATATTAAAACTGAGAAGCACTGTAACCTAAAGTTTAAAAAAGATAAACAAAAATTACACACACGTGCTGTCATGGACAAAAAACAGAAACAAGATAATACAAACTTCCAGAGTATCTCAGGCCAGGACACATTGTTACACCTTTTACATTGTGGAGCTTCTAAATGAGGCCTCACTATAGCAACTTAAAGTGTCTTCTGAGTAAAAAAATTGATTATATTTAGTATAGTACAAAGAATAACATGTTTTATATATTTTAAGTCTTTGACGATCTAAACTCAATTATATTTGGTGGTAAAATGTTTACAAGAATCTGAGAAAGTCTGCAAGTTTAACTGACTAGATTTGCTTAAGTATTTGAGAAAATTTTGCCTATTGGGGGCCAGTTGTTTGAAATGATCAATTAAAAAATTCAAAATATTTCCTTTATAAGCCAAGCAGCTCTAAATGTGTGTGTGTGTGTGTGTGTGATGAAAATAATATATAATGCGTATGTACTGGGTTGGCCAAAAAGTCCATTTAGTTTTTTCCATAAAATAAAAGACACATTTTTCATTTTCACTAGTAATTATTGTTATTTTTTAAAAGATGTCATTTATTTATTTAGAGAGAGGAGAAGGGAAGGAGAAAGAGAGGGAGAGAAATATCAGTGTGGTTGCCCCTCACATGTTCCCAACTGGGGACCTGGCCCGCAACCTAGGCATGTGCCCTGACTGGGAATCAAAACCCAGGGGCTCTTTTAAACCCACTGGCAACCCTTTGGTTCACAGGCCAGTGCTCAATCCACTGAGCTACACCAGCCAGGGCCACCAGTAATTATTTTGATTTGGATATTTTGAGTAAGTTGGCTATCTCCTGCTATTAGCTTCTCGTGGGTAGAGGTCAGGGATGCTGCTAAACATCTTCCAATGCATAAGACAGCCCCACAGCAAGGAATTATTTGGCCAAAATGTTAGTAGTACCAAGAAACTTTGCAAACCACTTTTGGCACATTTGATCAGTCACAGCACCTTCCCCTACACTGCACAATTTTTTTGTGTGTTTCAGTGTGTTTTTACCTTTCTTGAAATAATAAAAGCATAATATGGCAAAAATGTTGCTTATTTTCTTCCATCTTCTATATTAAAATGGCTACACAAAAATTCCCCAATTTTTGATAAGTTTTTTTAAATGCACGCTGATATGACAGCTGTCACAATACATTCTAACAAAATTGTTCCGAATGAAGTTAAAGACAACTAAGTGCTACCAGAGCCATCTTATGGGGGAAAAAATTAACTTTTTGGCCACTCAACATTTTGTAATTATTTGGTGATAAATACAATCAAAAGAGAGGCAGGAAAAAGAGAGAGGAAAAAAAAAAACAGGATAGTTCAGTTTCCCAAACCATTAATTTGGTCTAAATTATGCCATTTGACCTCTTCATTAAATACAGCATTTGCAAACATAGTTACTGGAATATTTTAGACAAAAAGGCTCTTTTAAACCCAGAGGCATCTGATTAAATCTTTGTTTAGAAAAGAAAGAAAAATATTATCCATTCTGGTGTCCATTGTCTCTATATAAGACTAATGTGGTGAGTATGCAATGCATGACCTATATTTTCTTGCAAAGCTATCAGCTTTCTTGGAAATGTTTTTTACTTCCCCAGTAAGATTACTGGCCTAATTCTTTTTTATCATTGTCTTCTGATTCTTAAGCAATGTATGTAACATTTTATATTATTTCAGCATGACTGATAGATCAATCCTACTGACATAACTTTTTATTTTGTTTATAATCTCTGTTCATAGGGAGGTGTGAATAAAAATTGCTCTACTAAGCCCTGGCTGGCATAGCTCAGTGGATTGAGCGCGGGCTGCGAACCAAAGTGTCGCAGGTTCGATTCCCAGCCAGGGCACATGCTTGGGTTGCAGGCCATAACCCCCAGCAACCGCACATTGATGTTCCTCTCTCTATCTCCCTCCCTTCCCTCTCTAAAAATAAACAAAATCTTAAAAAAAATCTATAAAAAAATTGCTCTGCTAAAATGTTTTTAATTAGTTAACATAACTTGCAAGAGCAAGAAGCAATTTGAAACAGCATGTCTCCCCCTAAACCTTTTTTAAACAAATTATCCCAACGCAGATTAATAATTTCAGTTTTATAGTTAACTACATATTTTAAATAACTAAGATGTTTTAGAAAACCTTTACCCTTAAATTAAACCTGTTATATAAGATAAGATGACTGCAGTGGTCATTAGAAATTTTTGTTACCAACACCTACACAAAATTCTATGCCTGCCTTGATACACAGCCCAGGCATTCTGACTGCATCGGGCTGACGTACCTTAATCACATAGTAAAGATAAGTTAGGAGTATGGCCAATGCTCCACAAGTTGCCCAACTAACGATGATCAAAACAATGGTCAAAATGGTTACATCTGATGACATGATCTTGATATCTTTAGGAAGTTCTGAGGGCCTGGAAAAACAAGAATAAAACTCTTAATAGTTATTTCTACAGTCACATGTAAGAGGAAAACAATAATCAGTGCTCTGCCAGGCTTTCCTGCTTATTAATAGGCAAACACCATAAAGTAAACAGTAAGAGACTTCTTAATAAAGGCAAGAAGTGACACATATTTAGTTGTATATTCTGTTGTATATTGTGATAGCTCCTCTTTCATTTACACTATGGCTGACATATGTATTCAGGATGAAAAAATGTTGCTGAAGATATTTACGGGCCCTATGTGATAGATACATTTCTGATCTTGAGGTGAAAAAAGTTTTCTATTTCTTCAAGTCTCAAGATCACTCACACCCTCAACAGGAAGTATCACACCATAATCCCTTCTGTGACTGTGAATCACATGACAAGCTTGGTGAGGAGGAGTGGCAAAGGAAACGAGATCAGTGGTTTACCAGAAAAGCCTATCAGTAATTTCAAATTATGTCTTTGCCCCTACAACAAAACTACAGGCAATGTTTTTGGAGCTCTTATACATTTCATTTAATCTGATCCTAAATATCTTGATTGGTGCCTCTTGCCCTCAGGTTTGAGAAAATTCACATAACAAAAGCATTGCCAGTGAAATTCTTCCTCCTTAGAAAGATCTGTAACAGTGAAATTTAAAAATACTTGGATAATCTGCCTAACTTTTTTGATAGGTCAAATGTAGTATTTAACTTGCAATAAATAATTATCTTTGGCAATGACATAACTTTCAATGCTAATCCACATTTTGGTAGTTATAAATCTTTCCTGAGAAATTAGTCTAGTGAAAGCAAATTAATTTTAAAGTTCCTCATCAGAATATAATTTTTTTTCTTAATTGAGAGCAATGAGAAAGTTTTTAATCACTCATTCTTTACCTTTTCAAAGCTAGCCACAAGGAAGAGAGGAGTCTCACAGACGCGGAGGAGAGCAGGCCGCCCCAGTAGGCAGTACACGTTCCAAACAGGAAGAGAATCAGGGATACAAGGGGGAAACACATACTCTGACTAGTTAAAAAGATGGCATCTAATTCTGGTAACAAGAAAACATCCCATAATTCTTTAAACCACTTATGTCTGTGGATAAAAGAAAATACAGAATAAATGCAAAAGAAAATCAACAACTGACATTCAAGGACTTAATACCTGAGGTGTATGACCATTCACTAGAGTCCCCAAAGTACCGTGATACTTATTTTGTAATTATACTAAAACAAATTTCAAGTCATTTCTCTCCCCACTGAGCCGCTGGTCTTCCAGGATCTGAGTCCTGCACTGCAATGCAGCTCCACTGCTCTCTACTGTTCCTTGTAATCAAGCAGTAAGCGGTTTTTGTTTTTTTAAGTTAGGAAGCCAATAGCTAGTTTTAATGACAGGAGAAAAGAATATCTAAGCAATGGCTCTTAAAGGAGAACCAACTTTGTATAAATTAAGAATGGACAGTTAAGTAGGGCAGGGAAATAAAAAAATGCACTTTGTACAAGAAGTAAGAAAAAGTGATTGGGGACATTGTCTCATCAGTTTCCTGGAACAGCTGTAGCATGACCTGGGCTGAGATGGTCAAAGATCACGGACCATATACATCCCTTTGCCAATGTTAAAGGTCTGTTAAGTTTACGGTCTAAGTTTAGGTTGATATATGTAAGTTCAGTAATTACTTTTGACATGATTATACTATTCAAGTAAATGTTGATATACTTATCAGGCCTTTGTCTAAGAGAAAAATCCCATTTAATAAAATAGGTCAATTGCCATATTTGTATGAAAATTTATATTCCATTATGAAAAAAAAATAAAGTTTTATATACAATACAACATTAAAATCGTTATCATAGATAATAAAACTTACCCCAATAGAAACTTAATCATAATTACAAAAGGATCAACTTTGTAGGGTTTGGCTTCTTTATCCAACATAGTAGCATATTCTAAGCAATGACCTGGAGATTTAAAAAAATTGTATGTAGTAATTAATTCACAGTAATTAAGGATGACACATATATCCAACATTGTCTGTAAGAGCAACATATTCCACGTCAGAGAAGGCAGGGTCTCCATTACTAGCACAGAGATGCTCTTCGAAAGATTAAGTCTACCGAACAAACTGAACTAACAAGCGAAACGGAGACAGACTCACAGACAGAGGGCACATGGACCGACGGCTCTGGGACGTGACTGGGGGAGGAGGGACAGAGTAAAAAGGACTCGTGGATGTGGACAACAGTGTGGTGATTGTTGGGGGAAGGGGCATATAAATGGTAATAAAAAAATACAATAAAACATTAAAAATTACTGTAATTCAATGGTTCTCATACAAGAGTACACATTTAGTCATTTGTGAAACAAATTCTGGAAGCCAAGTCTGGGATTTTATCATCTGTATTTTCACAAAGCTCCAGAGGTGATTTTTAAAAAAACTTTACTGGATATAATTCTCATTCATACCACACAAACCATCCATTTAAACATTTAAAGTACATGACATTCAGTGGTCTTTAGTATATTCATCACACAACCATCACCACAATTAGTCTTAGAACATTTTTATTATTACTCCCAAAAGAAACTCTGTTCCCTGTCACATCCATGGCCCCTCATACCCCCAATTCCAAGGCAACCAGTAATCTGGGTTTCTTCCTCTGTGGACTGGCCTATTCTGAGCATTTTGTATAAAGGGAATCATACACTATGTGGTCCTTTGTGAAGGGCTCCTTTCACTTAGCAGGCTTCCAAGATTCGACCATGTGCTAGCAGGTGTCAGCACATTCTGTTTATCCATTCAACAGCTGAGGGGCACTTGGGTTGTTTCACTTTTTGGCTATTAAGAATAGTGCTCCTGTGAACACTGGTGTGTAAGTTTAGTGTGGGTGTATGTTTTCACCCTTCTTGAGTACATACCTAGGAGTGGAGTTCCTGAGTCACATGGTAATTGGTTAACCGTTTAAGGAACTGCCAGCCTCCTTCCCAAAGCAGCTGTACCATTTTACATTCCCACCAGCCGTGTATGAAGGTTCCAATTTCTCCACACCCTCATTAACACTTGTAATTATCTTTCTCTTTTTATTTATAGTCATTCCAGTGAGTATGGCCCACGATAGTTTTTGACAGACAGACATCCTTGGTTCAGAATTACTTAAGTGGTTTGAGACATGATCCTATACTTAAGTGCTCTAGAATAAACCTGTATCATATATGTCTGGGGTCTCTGGGAACTATCTAGATATATGAATATAAAATTTGAAAATGTTATATTTAAGTATGTTGATGTCATATTGCCAAATAATCTCTCTCTCTTTTTTTTTAAAGTTAACTTTATTTTTTTTATTTATTTTTTAAAGATTTTATTTATTTATTTTTAGGGAGGGAGGGAAGGAAGCGGGGGAGAGAGAGAGAGAGAAACATCAATGTGCGGTTGCTGGGGGTTATTCCTGCAACCCAGGAATGTACCCTGGCTGGGAATCGAACCTGGGACACTTTGGTTCCCAGCCCGCGCTCAATCCACTGAGCTACGCCAGCCAGGGCCCAAATAATCTCTTAATTAAAAGACTGGATCTGCCAGAGCTCACTGAATGTTGCTTCTTTCTTCCTGGAATATAAATTAAATCAGGTTAAAATGAACACTAAAAGCAGACGGGAAATTGTAGAAAGTCACTGAAAGGCGAATGCGTAGCTGTGGAAGGACTTGGCAAATGGAACTAGTGGGGATTTCTGGACTGCTTTTACATATTTTTGGCCCCATTTTCTCTTCCTATGTCTCGCTTCCCTTGATTACTGTGCAAACACAAGTTTGTGAGGACCTTACAAAGCTGAGCCTCCTGGGAAACTATTCTAGTTGCTACTCTCTGTGGAGGGCTGTCCAATGTACTATTCAATATATCTTCTATATTCCCCTCCAGATTCATTCTTCACTCTATTTCGCTCTGAATTTTGGGAGGCTGACTTTTATGAACTGGCTTCTGGTTAGGTTCAGTGAATGAGAGGCACTGGCAGATAGGAGAATGGAAGGAAATAAGGTTAGTGTGCTTATTTCCCACCTTCTTTCCTGCTGAGACACGGGTTGAGAGTGGCTGCAGAGCCCTGGCCCCCAAGGCTGCAGCTGCAGTGATGCCATCCTCTCCTACAGCTCCCTAGGCTTGCTCTCTCCCTTGCCCTGGTATCTACGAGATCAGATGGCTCTGCTGTTGATCTGGCACTTTATCATTTCTTGTTATCCTACACCATATGGTTCCCTGGTTAAACTCTCAATTATTCCATTCAATGTGCCAGGACTTAATTAATACAGCTGATATAACTCAAATACTACAATGAATGCCTACTATGTGCGTGATACTGTATTAGGCACTAGGAATAAAATAGAGAGCAAGATCCCCATCAGTAAGCCTCTACATAGTAAGAGGTCCTCAGAATGGAGGGGAGAAACACCAGGCACAAGGGTATAAAATGGGGAAAACAAGTAAGACATTTTCTTAGGGAAAAATGGGGACAACTGTAACTGAACAACAACAACAAAAAAGAAAAAAGAAAGAAAAGAAAAACTTAGATGATTTCAAATTCCCATAAACCTGACCGACATGAATTGTAAATGATCAAGAAATTGATGTATCTTCCTTAGCCACTTGAAAGATAAAGAGCAGTAATGAAGCACTGAGGGAGGAAGGGCGGAGGGAGGAGTAACGTTCTTACCTGCTGAGAAAAGAGAGTACAACTGTCCTCCATAGGCAAGAAGGATGTTGGCTACAACATAAGCAGGAAGAGCTCCACCGTGAAATCGAACTACCTAGAAAACAGGCAAATCAACGGACAACTTCTGAACATTATGCTGATAAAATAAATGTATATTCACATGAAAGAAAAGTGTTCTTCATTCTTTCATGACATGGTCACAGAGGTATTTCCAGTAATGGGTCTCAGAACTCTAAGTAAAATAAATGTTAATAATATATAGATATTAGAAACACAGTATCTGAATTTTTCATCAAAGGCATAATAAGGAGAATTAATAGAGTAGCAAATGCTACCAACTTTTTTATAAGGCATGTTTACTGAGCATTTACTATGTTCCAGGCATGTTATTAAACATCTTATATGCATATCTCATGCTCTCCTCCCAAAAACCCTTTGAGGCAGTTCTTATCCCTACTTTACAGATAAAGATGAATAAGGTATACTATACATATATCTTCAATTTATTTTCCTACTGCCCTCAAGCAAAATTTGTAAACAAACATGAAGGAAGAACATGTTAAATCTTTTCAATAATTTGAGAAGGACTTAACTCAATTACCACAAATTCTCTGACATGTTTAAAGTACCCACCTCTGATCCTATGATACCCACCATCCTCATTGTCTTGAAAACTTTCCATATCTAAACAAGAATTTTAATGTGTCCTTTTTTGATGTGCATATAATTTATGCTTGACTATAGAGCATCAAGGCAGACTTTTCTTGTCACTAACCTGAATTATGAGGTATCAGAATGATATAAGAGAGTACGTTATATCCTCAGCCCACACTACCATGTACAGTAACATGCCTTTTGGACACACTAAAAATAGTATAGCATGAATCCTTCCCCTATATTCCAAGAGATAATTTTTCTTAATAATCAATCCCTTAACTTTTTATTTTAACTCTCCATGATGCTATTTTGGCACTCATACTAACATTAATCTTTTCTTTCTAATGTAGCACAAAATTCTTACACGTTAACTTATAATGTTTTAATGTTTGCGAATTTAATAATAATCACAATGTAGTTCTCTTAGCTTGTTGTGAGAATCAAATGAAATAATGCATATAAAGAAGTTTCTAATTTAATTTAGATTTGTAAGCTTTATTACAATTACAGAATCAAATGACTTAAATTGAAAATATTCTGCTACGCTGGATTGAAAAACACAAGAAATAAATAAATATGAGCAACATGGAATCTTAACATGACATTCATTTAGCCAAGAATACTAATTTGTTTGAGAATCAGGGATCAGCTCTCATTCCTAGGAAGTATCAAACATGAGAGCATCCCCTTAAAGCCAGGGTGGCCAAGTATGGCCTGTGTGCCTATGCATAGTTTTTAGATTTTATTAAAGTGGAAACAAGAAGAAAAAAAGGAGAAAGAAGAAGAAAGCAGCAGCTGTAGTAGTGCTGGTGGCGGCAAGAGGCCACACATGGTCTGCTAAGATACTTATTGTCTGGCGGTTTATAGAAAAAGCTTGCTACCCCCTGCCCTCCAGTACGTGTCACAAGGCAATAAAAAATCAAACAGGGGTCTCTCTTACCTGTCCAAGTATTTGTGAAAAGGAAGTCCTAATTGTCACCTAGTTTAAAACAATCATTAAAAAAAGGTTATTGTCCCTAAAACTGCTCTAGTCCACATTTTATTAAACTGAACATTTTATTAATCATTAATTTTTATACTAATAAACCTAAAGGCACTCCAGATCTCAAAAGAATCCTCTGAATCATCAACATTTAATTTGCATCAAGCTTAATTTTGCTGTTCAGTGTATTTTCCCATATTCTAATTCTTTGACAATTGAATGAGTGCTATGGTATATACGATAACCCTTTACTAACTACAATACTTAATTAACCAGAGTTATCTCATTACCAGATCATGCAAACTAAAGAAATTTATTAAATGATTGAGTCCAGAAGCTACATGTGTTTGCAGAAAAATTAAGCACAAATTAATCAACCTATTATACAATTAGTACTTTAAAGTCTCAAACCTAAAATTGTATAGCACTGAAGAGAGTTAAACTAAACCACTTCTGAGTGAATTTTATAAAAATGGGTTTTAAATGATATAAGACCATGAACAAATAGCACATTTAGTAAAATCTAAGCCAAAATATTTTAAACAGATATTCATCATTAATTATCTCTAGCATAAATACATTTTTGATATTAGAAAATCTGAGAAAAGGAAACCTTTCACAGGCAGGTTATAAAATGATCCTATTTTGTCAAGAAAAACTTTTTGAAAATATGAAGTATTTGTAAAAACATGAACATTTTGAGAGCGTGTATATTTGGAGACAAGTTATTAACATAATTCATACTATCTCTGTAAAATATGGAGGTACAAGTTAAAAACCACTGTTTCCTTATAATCCTTCAATGTTAGAAACAGGAAGCAAGATAACAAAGCATTAAAAATTCCATGAACTCTACAATAACTCATAATACTGGTCCAACTGAAACTTGGTTGTAGGAAAAATTCTACTCATTAGACCTAGCAATTTAGTTTACCCTAAGTAAGTTAGTTCTAATAAAGAATTCAAATATTTAAGTTTGGTTTAAAGCAGCTGAGTAGAAACAAGATATTTCACATAAACCAGAAACTTGTGATGTCTCCACAAAAGTGTGCTTCACCCACTTAAATCTGGAACCCTTAGAACCTGGCATTCCTAATACAGGGAGGGACTCCTGCAGTTCATGAATCCTCAACTTAATAAAATGTTACTCTCCAGTTCTAATTCCCTCTCTTAGCACAAAGAAATCTGTGTGATATTAACACAAACACAATAGGCACTACACTGCACATATTAATGACTAACAGAGCCTAATATAATTAGTGAAAAGAGGATCCTTAAGCTTATCTAGTCGAGTTAGAAAGCAATATATATCATATTAGTTAATGAGTTTAAGCCACATAATTTGATTTCATGATGTTTTTCAATTTATAAAGGATTCTGGACTATTGGCTTCCAAACTGAAAAAGTACAACTTCAGTCTCAATTTTTATTTTATTTTCTATTACTTATCAAGATGTATACTTTCAGTGGTCCACATAAGAAAATACTGAGGTGGTGTTCATAGGTAAAATGGAGAATACTTGAAGTAATACAAATGTCTATTTCTTTTTTTTTAAATGCCTATTTCTATCTAATATTTATTGCCTTCCACATCACCATATAGCTGAAGCTAATATAAAAACATATTTCTAGTTTAGTCTATAATGAAATCTTAAACATTAAGCAGACATACAGCTTACCTCATACTGACAGTCTGAAGACGTGTACATTTTTAACAAGGCTACATAGCTGTAATTATCTGGTTGAGCAACATGAAGTTTCAGAGAAATTTCCGTTGAAGATGGAACCCTGAAAAGTAACTTAGATATCAGTTCTCAAATGGAAAACGCTGTTAAATACCAATGGCTAAGTCAACACTCGGCACTACACAACATGGCAGTGCAGAGGGCGCTGGGTGTCAGACACGTCACCAGGGACGGCCGTTTCCGGGCACATCACAGGTGTCTGAGCGGAGGGAGGCTCCCTCTGGGACCTGGGACTTGGGGGGCAGGATGGGAAAGGGCTCATGTTTTAAGCAATGAAGGTTTAAATTCTGTATCATTTAAGTGAGAATATCATATATTATATTATCTTACGGGTACAATGCTACAGAAAGGATACTTACATTTTAGTAAGAAAAACTTTAATAATTCCACTATGATTTAAATAAACTAAGTAGATTGTATATTATTCAAAAGCACAAAAGTTCAAGGTAAATTTTTTCAGATACTTACTGTGCAATGGTTAGTGAATCTTCATAAGACCATGGAATCTGAAGTTTATAGATACTAGTTATTTCACCTGAGAAAACAAAGAAAAATATGTATTACTAACCTATGTCATGTTAAATGTTATATAAGCTACTATAATACCTAGATATATAATTACTCATTTCATTAAAAAGTCAGTAAAAGTTATATCACATAATAAATTATGGAAAATTATTGAGTAATAATGTTTAATAAAACTTATAAAAGATATTAGAGCATATGGGAAGTACTAGGAAATTACAAAAACATTAAACAGATAAATCAGAATTACTACTATAGTAAGACAGCAAGATGTATGGTATTTTTAAAATGTGGATATTTAAACTAAAACAGATAAAGATGCTTAGTATTAAGAAAGGGTCTATGTTAAATTTGTTAAATCTGTGGAAACAAACAGCTTTTGTACTGTAACATTAAATTTTACTTCACATAAAATATATAGAAGCATAAATAATATAGAAATTTCAAGTGAAGACCTACAGACTCAACCATCATAAAAACATACATTGACAAAACCATTATATTTGTTCAGAAAATGCACTTACTTTTGACTGCTGCGCACTTGCTTACTACGTTGATTGTAAAACCTTGGTATATCTAATAGAGTTTGATCACAAAAACAAAAGTTTATTTGTTTGTTTAACTAAACAGTAAAGTAAAATTAAATCCTTGTTAGAGTCAGGATAATTACCTGTCCAAAGTTCAGAAGCTCTATATTATAGAACAGGCCTTTTGTTTTTAATATCACTGTCCTTGAAGACAATCCTGTTAAATTAAAAGTACTGCACTGCTTAGAATACCAAAGAATTAAAGTACCAACTGCTTAAACAATGATAAAAAATATCAACAGATTTTTAGCATTCAAAAAGTTCACAGGTTCTGACTTCTAACATGAAGAATGAACTCCTAAAAATCCAATCCTCCTTCAACAAACTGAACAGAACATTTACAATGCCTTTCAACCACATGTATTTTTCAATCCTCATACAAGGATATGCTTATTGATTTTAGAGAGAGAGAAAGTGGGAGAGAGAGAGAAACATCAATTGGTTGCGTCCTTACGTGACCCAGCTGGGGATCGAACCCACAACCTACGTATGTGCCCTCACCAGGAATCAAACCTGCAACCTTTTGGTGTACTGGGACAATGCTCCAACCGGCTGAGCAGCCAGCCAGGGCCACATGTATGTGTTTTAAAAATCAAGTACATATTTCCAATTTCAAAAAGGTATGCTTTCTTGGTAGATCTCTTACTTTATAAGCTTTCGATCTAGGATTGGTGAGTTATTTTGAAGAAAAACAGGATATTTACTTTCAAAGTATTTTCCCAAAGATACTTACAATTACAGTAACTTCACAATGGAAAAACCTGGCAGACACCACCTTAACCACGTGACCAAGGTTAACTTCACTAGGAATTCGATACAGTGAGTGATACTTGTGTCCTCTGATATGATACACTGAGAAGTACCCATCACTTCTGAGATAGTTTTATACATAACCTTGACTAATAAGAAAGCATTAGACTAATTGGAATTGAGGGATATTCCACAAAATAACTGACCAGTACTCTTCAAAAGTACTAGGAAAGACAAGGAAAGACGGAGGAACTGCAGAGGCTCAGAGGAGACTAAAGAGACAGAACGACGAGCAGCAGCATGAGAACTGGACGGGAACACAGGCGGTAAGACCAGTACAAACCCAGTGAGGCCTGTAGTTCAGTGAACAGAATTACACCAAGGCTCACTTCTCAGTTTTGGCAGCTGGGTTGTTTAAGAGGCCAACACTGTAGAAAGATGAGTGATGGAGATACATGAACTCTGTACTCTTTCTGCAGTCTAAAACTGTTTCATAATGAAAAAATTGAAAAAAATATACAGTTATGTGTATTTCACTGCAACAAAAAAAAAAAAGGAAAAAATTGTATTTAGAGAAATCCGGAAGCCTACATAGGGCAGATGGAAATATATACTTTATAAGAAGCCTTTTACAAATAGGGCCAATATTTTATATAAATTCACATGAGAAGACACACACAAACACACAACTACCTGCAGGCACATGTGATCATGAAAACATTTCCTTTGAAATTCACTTCTCAGAAAGTGACTGCTGGCCCAGCATTAAATAAAAATCAAACTACTGAGCCACATCATGTGGTTACCCTAAGAACAACATTTGAAATACATAATAATACTCTTACTACATGAATCTGCTTTATTGCAATGACCTTGCAAAATAAATCAGCACTGTTAAAGCAATTCTTAAGATTCCCCAAATCAAATACTTACCAAAGGAAAAAAGATGAGTTACAGGAAGCTGTAAGGATCTTGCTTCTCTGTTAAAGAATTCACAATCTATAGCATACTGAAATATAAAACACTGACTTATTAGGAAAAAACAGAAATTGTAGTAAAATATCTTGATGTTTGAGTGGAAAGTAAAAATCTCCCACTTTGGAGAGGGTACTATGCGTCATGCTCTCACTCCGACTATATTTGAAAGGCAAGAATTCCTTAGGCAGAGATGTTAAACTAAGAACATTTGTTAAATAAACTTAATTTAATAAATTATTAGTGGGCCACTGCCATAACAGATCTATACAAAGTTTTCTTGTAATTAATTTTAGGTGTTTCTAGAAGAGGGACATTAAGGAATAGAGGCCAGCATCAAGAGCTGAGGTTAACTCAAGATTAATTACGGATTTAGATAATATATGTACATACTTTCAAAACCAAAACAAAAACATGACTTTGTTCCTTTTTTAAACCCCACGTTTATTAAGTAACCACAGTCTAATTAGACTACAAAACGATTTTGGAGACATACTGCCATTGATCTACAGATGGCTAATGTTATTTGTATAAAGTCATTTCAGGCTGAACAGTTATTACAGTAAAAGAAAAAGAAAAAAAAGGTTTACTATGTGCGAAGCAAGAAAAAGAAATGCTATCTCAAAAAAAGTAAGCCCGAAATGTGACATCTGCATTGTTACAGTTTTTTTTGTAACGACATTTCTTTTCCATACGGAACTCTGCTCTCAGATGTTTACTACAAGGGTGGTTTCATTCATGCTTGGATCTAGAAGAACTAAAGAAAAAACGAATCCGATGCCTAACTGTAGCTCCCAGATAGTCTGCTGTCTACAGAAGGCAGAACACTGGCGGGGTCTGCCCTAGGCTTTCCTGATAACTGCACCTTGGATTGTGTTTGAAGCAGTGTCACTGTGTTTGCCTCTTGGGTGAGCTTTTGACTCTTCTGAAAGTGAAGAACAGATGAGGGGAAAAGCTATAGTACATACATAAGGGAAGTTAAAAAAACACATTAAGGGATTTTGCTTTTATTTTCCTCTCTTTACTTCCAAGGCAAAGTACACAGCTATTTTCATTATAGAAAACTTATTCAAAGATTAGAGAAATGATTTATTAAACAGGATTATTCATCATATTTTTACAAAGTATTTTTGAGTGAGCCATTGCCTGGATAGGGAAAAAGTTTTAAACTGCTTTTTGCACAGGTATATAAAATAATATAATTTTGGTGTAATTTATTGGGGTGACAGTAGTTAATAAGATTATATAGGTTTCAAGTGTACACCTCTCCAATAAATCTGTACATTGCATTGTGCATTGTGTGCACAACATCTAAAGTCAAATCTCCTCCATCACCATATACTTGACCCCCTTTACCTTGGAGTACCCCTCATCCCCCTTCCCTCTAGGAATCGCCACACTGTTGTCTGTGTTTTTGTTTGTTTTCTTGTTTCTTTATTTGTTGCTTTCAGTTTTATATCCCACATCATGCTAAATGAAATAAGTCAGACAGGAAAAGTTAAAATAATGCAGTTTTATTATTTCTTTAAAAATTTGGCCATGCTTTTTATAGAATAAACCTTTAACCAAGAAAGAAAGGAACCAAGGGTTTCTTTCTGAAACACTCAAGGTAAATCAAGTCCTAATGGATTTAGTTATTTTGTTTTGTGTCATAAAAAATGCAGATTAATTCCACATTTGCATTTTGAAAACTGTATCTTCATTTGACTCAAAAAATCTTAAGCTGCCTATTTAAAAACACGTAGCCTCGTGATGCCGGGCTGGCAAAGGTGTGCAGGCGTTGGGAGAGACCTCGGTTACTGTACCACCGGGTGAGATACTGTGTACAGCAGCGGCCACACTGATACTCCCTGAACAGCGCCGAGACACAGTATCACACCTTTAGCAGGCTGCCCAGACTATCTGCTTGTCAAAAGCTCATTAACTTGGCCTTTCCAAGTTTGGGAAAGATGTCAAATTCATTCAAAACTCATTTACCTGACAGAAAAACCCTTAAAGAGTGTTTTAGTATTGAAGAGGTTGAGTTACCTCTCACTTGAGCTAAGCAAAACAAAACAATGTATCTATTACAAGCTCCTTGTGAGACTCAGTCTTTGAGATGACTCCCAAATACATACCCAAACCCTTTAAATTTTCCTAATGATTTCCACCAAAAATCTCATCAACTTTCTCATTCAAAAAACATTTGAATATTTATGTGGAATTACCTAAAGGTTGAAGATGCAAAGTAGAATAAAATATATCTTGTTCTTACTCTGAAAGAATTCAGAGTATGGTGATGGCAACAGAAACATAAATAAATTACAATTTGATGTAATAAATCGCTCAAAGAAGTTACAAGCAAAGTAGCAGGGGAGTAACTAAGAGGTTCCTGAAGGAGTATAGAGAAAGCACACAGGGACCACGTAGGCTGGGTCTTGAAGGATGCTTTCTCTGGGTGAAATGTGGACGGGGAACAGGATGTCTTTTACCTCCACCTCTTCCTTCCCAATACTTCTCCCTGAAATCACCACCCCTGTATTTCTACTTCCACTTCCCTAGGACAAGCTCTCAGAACCCCCTAGGAGGTACCTATTCTGTTTCTAATCCATCCTATACATTAAATAGAGTCATCTTCCAAAATAGCTCCGATCCCATTACTACTATGGTAAAAAAAACTTTGTCCCCTATAAACTCCTGAATACTGTAGAGCCCTCAATCCTCCAATCGCAGCCCCCCACAATATGGCCATGAACTACTTTTTCATATGTTTCTTCCATTGCTATTCTCATGGTGGCCATCCTTTCATAATTACTATTTACTTATTCTCTGTTTTCTAAACATAACCCCTGCTTTCACAGTTCTATACTCGGTCCCCACTATTTCTTTGTCTCCACAGTGTTGCTCATTACAACTTTCTGCAATGTCACTATTTAGCATCTTGAATGTTGCCAATACAATCAAGGAACTGAATTTCCAATTTTATTTTATTGTATTTTAATTAACTTAAAATTAAATAGCTACATGTGCCAGTGATCCCCATATTGCACAGCACAGGTCTAGAATATTCATTCTAGAATATTTTTATAATCCTAACTATTAAAAATCATCTCATAGTAAAACCTTTCTTAATTTTACCCCCTTTTACACTTTTCATTTATTTGCTCTATTCTGATTTGTATCATATACTCTGAGTATCTCTTTTATTCTCACTCTTCCTCCTGTTTCCAAATATACTTCTTTCCCTCTACCTAACAGGATATAGCTTTCTGAGAACAGGGTTTGTTTCTCCCTCATCTGTGTGCCTCCTGTAATTCCTGGCAGGGACTCTTACATATAAAAGGGGCTCAATAATTAATAGATTTTGAAACACTGATGTTCCCACTTGTAATAAGACACTCGGGTTTATTTTGCTTAGTTCAAGTTGGAGGAGATGATTTTCGATGGATCACCAACCAGCCACTGTCTTAGATAAGCCCTATGCTGAAGAACGCATCTCATAATAATTATTTAGCGTATCTGGGAAACAGCCTTAATCCATTTTTACCTTACTTCCAAGAACAGATGGTACATAAACAACAAGATGAGACAAAAATGGATAGTCTTGAAGTCTTAACGTCAGAGACTAAAAAAAAAAAAAGATAAAAGTAAAAGCTGATTTTATTTCTTAGGTTATACAGAGCTTAAAGTACATTAGAAGAAAAACAAATAATATTACTATTATTACTATAAACACTATTTCTTATTTAATAAGTTACAAAAAAACAGATTTTAAACTCTATATTCAATACAGATCAATATTCCTGCTGAAAGTCAAATTCCTAATAATTGTGTAAATATGGATCAGCAAACAATCCCTGTATCCCCTGAACTGTATCCCTTCATGTAAAACAAGTGATGTTTCAAACTGAATTTAAATATTTTACATCATTTTCAGATTTGGTCTTCACATAGGCTTAACAGTTGATGAATGAATGGATGCTAAATATGGTGGAAGAACTGGAACTTAATCTCAGATAATTCTGATCTAGCCCAAGTAGTAAAGAGTTGCTGGCTAATGATATGTATGAACATCACACCCTGAAACTTGTTCAGTAAACAACATGAAGAGTCAACACAGCTAATAATGTACTTCACCAAATGAACATCTAGTCTCTTCTAGAAATTAAGACCAGATCCTATAGTCCATTTGTGAGGAATAAATAGATAGAAGACTGGTCTATTTAATGAAAAGCCAAGTCACCGAATACGGTTTTTGCTTTTATTTTACTATTTCATTTTTAATCCTCACCCAAGAACATTCTTGCTGATTTTAGACAGAAAGGGAGGAAAGGTGAGAAACATCAAGGGGGAGAGAAACATCAAGGGGGAGAGAAACATCGATTGGTTGCTCCCATCGTATACGATGATGCTCAACCAACCGGGCCACCTGGCCAAGGCACCAAATAGAGTTTTTTAAACCCACTTTTTTTTTTCTGGAAGTACACATAGGGGTGGGAGTGGTTATATGTTGTAACAATTTGTATTCATTAGCAAATTTCTGCATGGAACTTTCTTTATTGTTCTTCAGATACACCTATGTGAGCAAATCCAGGCAGAGGTCCTGAAGCTAAAGAACTCTCTGTCAGCAAGTGGCCACCTAACCACCTAACGAGATTCACTTGGAAGTGTCTGTCAAACTCCTGGGCTTCACCTCAACTTCCTCAGGCAACTTTCTGCAATATACATAGCAGGTTTGTCCATAAAAAGTCCAGCCATTGCTAATTTAACAAGAATGGTTTGTGTGACATCGATGTAACGAAGCAGCCAAGGACAGTGGACTGGAATGCATATGCGTGAACAATGACAACTTCACTGTACTAGTCGGGGAGGGGGGCAGTAGATGCTGCTGAGTGAGCATGTGACTGGGTGGCCATTGAACTCAAAATGACTGGGCAAGTAGGGCAACGAATCCACATAAATTTTGCCTTATGCTTGAACTTTTCTCTGTGGAAACTAATCGGATAATTCAGAAGGCCACAGGTATGGGCAACCAGTGATTAGCAGCTTCATCACGACAACACGCCTGCTCGTGCATCATGTCTCATGCAGAACTTTTTGGCAAAACAGCAAATCACCCAGGTGACTCAGCCCCTCTACAGCCCAGATTTGGCACCCTCCAACTTCTGGCTTTTCCCAAAACTAAAATCACTGTTGAAGGGGAAGAGATTTCATACTGTTGATAAGATTCAGGAAAATATGACGGGGCAGCTGATGGTGATTGGGAGAACTGTATGACGTCTCAACATGGCTACTCTGACAGGAACTGAGGTGTCATTTGCCTATGTACAATGTTTCTTGTATCTTGTACCTTCCTCAATAAATGTCTCTTATCTTTCATAGCACATGGCTGGATATCTTCTGGACAGACCTTGTATACCCTAATATAAATGAAAGGGCCTTAAATATACCCTCAAGATAAATTTTAAAAATTCATTTACCTCTTGGTATGATGCTATAACATAGATTTCATTTTATTTAGAGCATTGTTAACTTCCTAATTTTTACCTCTGAAAGTTAAAACAATGTTTTTCTTCACGGAATTCATTTCTAGGGAAAATGTTTCTAAAATGAACATGAACAAATCTCAAATTTATTTAACAGCTACACGAATTAATAAAATGACATACTCTAAAATGCCCACAGGCCCCAGTATTTTTCACCTACACATCAGAACCCTAAAGCCGTACTTCACCTTGAATGTCGGCAGCAGTTCGGTTTTCCACGACAGATCGACCCCTTGCTGGCTATGAAATGTGATTAAAGGACAAATACATTAAAGAATTATAAATTACAAATAAGCTTCAGAGGAAAAAGAAACCATCTCTAGAGCTATCAGAGTTCTAATGAAATGAAGTCTATTAAGTCTAATCCAATATTTTCTATCCACGTAGTAGTCCTTTAGGGACAAAAAAAACTGTCTTTCCTAGCAACCAAGTACATTTACAAAAATGACTGGTATGTTAATTTTCTTTATTTTTCACTTTCAAATCAATACTTTAGTATCAATACTTTAGTATAGCATCAAAATGAGCTTAAAAATGTAAGAAGCAATTCTGACAGTATTTAACAGTATGTAACACAATATGCTTGACAGTATATAACACAATATGTGGGTGTGTTTACACTGAGAAAAATGAATAATGGAAGGCAGATTCAAAAGACTTACCACACAATAGTGGTGTTTATGCAGCCAAAAACCCAACTATTTGTGTCCTGTTGGTTGATAAAACAAAGTACACTAAATAATGTAGAAAATAATTATGTGAAATAGGCATCTTCAATATTTTACTGTTATATGACAGGGTCTGTAGGCACAATGGAAACATAAAATAGCAACTTATTACTTAGAACATATCCAAGATGGTCTAAAAGCCAAAAAGCTCAAGGGCAGGCTACAAAGTGTTGGGGGCAGGGATAAGCCTAAAGCAGGCTGATGCAGCCAGAGATGGAAATTGCGCATACATTACAGGACATCTGTGGTCAGAAGTTTTCTGCACAACAGGATATCTGTGATTAGAAACATTGTAGGTGCCTAGCCTAAGCGCACGGGCGGCCCACCAATCAGTGCCTTGATCATGCGCCTATCATGCGCCCCTAGCCTATCCCAGTTAAGAGCACGCCCCAAAGCTACCAATCAGAGCTACTTCCCTATCTGCCTTCCTCTACCCTCCTCTATATAACTCCCTCCATTTTAAAATAAAACTGGCAGCTTGATCAGAATCCTTTGACTTGCTGTCCTTCTTTCGCGCCTCCTGTCCCATCCCCCATCCCCTTTCATCCGTTACAGGTACTTCGGCGGACCCCGTTGACTGCCTCGCGGGCCGAGGCAACAAAGTGTAATGTCAACAAAATAGGCAAGCAAGTAACCTAGAGTAGCAAGATGAGAAAGAGTAACCTGATTGATGGGTGTCTCTCCACAATGCATTGCCTAAGCACTTCTAACTTTTGAACCCACACTTTCATAGTTTGGCAATGCCTACAGTTTAATCGGGTAGTTACCTAGTAAGTAATCTACATTTTAACAAAAACAGGAAAATGAACAACCAGAGGTAGACTTTCACACAAACAAACAAAAAAATCCACAGCCAAGTGATTAAAAATAACAATCAATCTAAGGATAGCCTTTCTTTGAGTTCTTATTTGATTACCAGGTACATAATTTCCATGCAGCCGAGAATGTGTTTGGATTGAAACACAGTCCAAGACAGAAGCTAGTTATGACTTTATCAGCGCAGCATGGAAATATTACAGAGATAGTTGTGATATTTTAACAATATTATGTATTTAGCTCCAGTCATTTAAGAGAGCTATGACCTAAGCTCACTCCAACTTTTAAGGAAGTAGGTAGGAGCAAAGCTCCAAGATCTGAAATCCTACTAGGGCATAAAAGGATGAGAAACACTTGTCAGATAGCCAGATAAATTCTTCCTTAGTATATACACAGGACAATGTATCCTGGAAACATACACAGGAAAATAAATCCTTTAATAAAACTAATATTTATAATTTATAAAGTCCACTCCAGGGCCAAGGAATTATGTCCTCAAGGAAAAGGAGAACTCAGGCAGACATGGTCTTTGCTCTCAAGAAACTTAAATAAATTTTTAAGGCATTTTTCAGAAATACAGAAAAAATGCTGAAAGGAAACAAACAAAAACGATATGGTATTTCCCTGGTTCTCCATTGCTGGCAAACTACCTGTGTGACTTCTGTGTCACCGATGCTTCTCAGGACGGTAATGGGACACTATAAAGCAAGGCACCAGAAAAGATGCGCACAGTCCAGACAAAGACAATCAAAGACGTCTCCAGATCCAACCCAGTTTCCTAATGGGTTTTTGCAGCTAATAAGGGAACCTATCCTTAAAGTTAGTCCCCATTATGAAAACTGCCAATATTCCACACTACTTACTTTAGTGTATATGAAATTCTGACTCATTCTTCAATGAACTGAATGAAGTGTTATTGAAGCCCACCCTAAAACGCCATTTTGATATAACCTAGGTATTAAAACAACAGTTTCAGGATATCCAGGTAAACATCCCTGACTAATTATTAAAACTGTATTAAAATCTTAGAAAAAGTCACCCCAAAGTTGCTGACTAACTCCAAGAAGTATAAAGAAAAGAAAATGCTACTAGATCACAAAATGTATAGTTCTTAAGAAAAATCTGTACACAGTCCTCAGTGGATGCTAAAATCATTAGGGGAAAGATCATTAGGAATTTCACAATGGACAGATATGCTGATACCACCTAAGTCCACTGACAAGTCCTTCTGTCACTGAAAGTGAGACAACCAGATGGTATACACCTCCTGGTGAAATAAGTACACAGCTCTACCTATAAAACATTTCTACCACACAAAATTAATCTGAATCTAATCAAGACTCTAGATCTAACTACCAGCGTACAGAAAACACAAGGGATATAAATACATGTTAAAAGATACTACAGGAATGCAATCATCTAAACTCACAATGTAGGAAATTTGCAGAGTACATAACCTTTCTCCAATAAACAAACAGAAAGAAATACGGGCTATCATAAAAGAGACTTAAGATCCACAAATGAAATGAAATGTATGTACTTTACATTCTGATTCAAATAAACCAACTTAAAACATAATTGAACACAGCAAAAATGAACATGAACTGGATATGACATGATACCAAGAAATAAGTAAAAATTTCGGGGTGAAATGATGGCATGATGGTAATGTATAAAATTCTTATCTGTTAGAAAAAAAATATAGTGAAGTATTTATGGGTGAAAGAATAAAATGCCTGAAATTTACTTTGGAAACTTCTTCAGGCAAAAAAAAGTGAGGAAAGGACACATGGTTAGGAGGGCAGAACATTAACTGTTAAAGCTGGCTGTATCTTCTCTACTGTTGTGTGTTAGAAGATTTCTATATAAAAATGAAAAAGATTTTAAAATTTACCATGTGACCTTATGCTAATTAACACCCATGGACCTTAATTACAGAAAAGGAATCCTCCAATAAACCAAACAGAAAATTTACACTTTGGCAAAGATTTTTCTCAACACAGGTATTTTGATTTGAAATTTAACTATTAAATATGGGTATATTAAGCCATCACTCTTGGGGTCAGATTCTCTTGGGATAAACTGCCCACCAGATTTCAGGCTGAGAGATGCTAGTCTCCGTGAGAGATGCGAGACTTGATAATACCACTAAAAATGGTGTTCATTCATTAGCACCTAGCCCACAATGCCTGCCCACCACCTTTTCTAAAGGCGCTGTTATCAAATTTTAGCATCTACCAATTAAGTGATATATTAGATCCTGGGATATTATCAGCTACAGAAACATTTTGATGAATACTTTTCAATCAAAACTCTGTTCCAGACAAATATTTTTCAACTAATTAGCTTTAGTAATAGTGCATAACTAAATATGAGATTTACTAGAGATATTAGTTGAATCTGAAAATTGAACAGTTAGCCTTTTAAATTTACATAAGATGTACCGATCATCTTACCAGTATGGTGCTCTGACAATAGGCATGAGTGTGGATTTTTCTATGGTGTGCAAGAGGAAATGTAAAATATAATTTTTCAGATTCCTAAGAAGAGAGGAAAAACACAATAAAACTATCATGAGAATGAATAATTTCATCATTTAAAAATACAGCTAAGGCAATCAGCAATTATTCTAATTCTATTATTTCTGGGGGTGTTGAGAACCAATAACTCTAGGAGTAGGAAGAAGAGACAGATACAAGATAGAGAGACCAGGTACAAACCCTGTAGTCCTGAATGTGTCTTAAAAGTATCAGCATAAATGTATGTGTTTTGTTTTGATTTGGTTTTTGACCTTATGATCAGGATACAATACAATACCATTCTTAGCTCTGTCCATTGAAAAGGCCTAGAAATGCTAACCCACTAGCCATAAACATCTCTAGTGCCCAGATTATGGGTTTTAGGTGCCATTTCCCAAATGTTGGAAGACTTCCTTAGAGAAAGAAGCTGATTCGAGATCTGGTGCCAGAGATACACAAAATGAGCTGATATATCTTCTTATACTAGACAATGAGGAAAATTATCAAAGACATGGTCCTGGCTGGGTAGCTTAGTTGGTTAGAGCATCGTCCTGATATGCCAAGGTTGCCGGTTCAATCCCCAGTCAGGGCACATACAAGAGCCAACCAGTGAATGCATAACTGAGTGGAACAAAAAAATCAATGTTTTCCTCTCTCCCTCCCCCCCAAAAAAAGCAATTAAAAAAGAAAAAACTATCAAAGACAACTAAAGAGCAGCTATACCAAAAGATTCTGGACCTTAACTTTGGAATGGCTTACACTGGTCAAAAACAGAATTTTAATATCAATTTTATCATCAAAGATAGAATAATTTTAGTATTTTAGTTTATTTGGATAGACAAATATGCTTAAATACATGAGTTCATAAGAATATTGGGGGGAAGCCCCAAAACCTCTTATGGTCATGAATGGAGGTTGTTTGTGAACCAGCTCAATATTCTGAAAACCAGTACATACTAACATCCAAATATGTAAGTAATTATCATTTCTTTCCTTTATGATTTGTTCTAGTTTTTAAAAAATACTCACACAAGGATATGTTTTCTTGATTTCAGGGAGAGAGGAAGGGGGAGAGAAAGAAAGAAACATCAATGTGAAAGAGAAACATTTACATTGGTCACCTTCTGGGGATCAAACCCTGAAACCTAGGTATGTGTCCTGACCAAGGGTTCAACCCACAACCTTTAGGTGTACGGGATGACCCTTGAATGAACTGAATTACCCAGCCAGGGTTGACTTGTTCCACTTCTGATAAATTTACTAGATGAGTTTTTCTAAATAGTATTCCAGTTAATAAATGAAGAAGAAATAATCAAATTAGAGTATCATCATTTTTGCATCCTCCCTAAATGAATGACACTAGGTATTATTCCTCAACAGCTGCTAACAGGACAAAAAGAGAAAGTCTAGCAAAAACAAAAACGTGAATCTGACTGAACATCTCAATCTAACTACTAAGTCACAGGAAAACAGTAGGCACCAGAATATGTTGAATGACACCACAGTAATGCAATCAGAAAGTCAGGACTGAGATACTTTATAGGACAAATGACTTGTTTTTAAATGACTTGTTTTTTCAACAAATAAACTGCAAGGAGAGAAAAGGTAGTTAAGTAAGTACTACAGATTAAAAGAAAAATAAGAGACATATCAACAAATACTATGTGGACATCGTGTCCTGATTCAAACAATTTGAAAAAACAAAGAAACAACAAAAATATTGACAGTTATAAAACTAGAAAACTGAACATCAAGTAGATATTTATTAGTAAGGAATTATTATTAAATTGTTTTAATGTGTGAAAATGATATGTGGTTATCTTTTAAAGAGCCTTTAACATTTAAAGATAAATACTAAATTTTTTAAAGTAAAAAAACTCCATTGTTGGTGTACTTACATTGTAAGCTACATAGGTCCATTTTGACACTTTTACTGGAACCCACAGAGATGTCTCTAAGGTAAAGGAAATTAATTTGTTTGGCTTGTTATTTTTTATATTAAACACTTTCTTTTATTCAGTGCTGGTGAAATACTTCTCAATCGTAAGAGGATGCGAAAAAGAAGTGGTTTCCTGAACACTGGTGATTTTAAAATAAAAAATCTAATGGATGTTCTCTACACACTCTTCACCAACTAGCATTCACATCATAAAGTATTTTACACCCACTCGCTGTCTTTAAGAAAATATCAATAGAAGAAAGTCAGTATTTCACTTTCCAAACAAGCAATTAAGTAAAGTATGATAGGTATTATATTTAAAAGCAGTATTTACCAGCAAAAGATATGCTTGTTAATCCCATAGACTGAAGAATGATACTGAGAAGCTAAGTTAAGAATAACATAGCACTTATTTTATATGATTGGCAGGAGACTAGAGACATTGAACTTTATCTTTAAAATTTTTCTACTTGTCATATTATTTTCAGGACAAAATTTTTTTTTTTACCAGTAACATCTTACAAATTGCTTTCCTACTTTTTCCCTTCCTTAATCAAGAACCTCATAAGAAACCATCACAGAGAAATTAATAAAATATAATAGGATTATATTTTAGAGTACCTGAAGTATCAGTTTCAAAGACTATGTCTGCTAGTACCCAAAATTTATGTAAAATAATAATCAAAACTCTACTTAAAATTAAAACATGCTATTACCACTAACCTGTTAAGTCAACAATTAGTGCTGGATCTTCCTCAAAGTGTTTTGCTGGGTGTCTTATAAAGTGGTGATTCAAAACCGCCAATTTCTTCTTGGGATTTTCAGTTATCTAGAAAGAACATTGGTAAGTTCTGTATCCTTTCACAACCACTGTATCAGTTCAATGAAAGTTTGCTTCAAGTAACAATGCTAAGAGACAACAGTTATGGGCCAGGTACTGTTCTAAGTGCTTAACATGTTATTAACTGTGTTTTACGTATGAAGAAACTAAAGCACAGAGAAACCAAGGTTGCACTCCTGTTAAGAGTTCAGGCCAGTACTCAAACATAAGCAGTCTGGTTCCAGAGCCCACGCTTTTAATCATTACGCAACTGTGCCTCTTCAACAATAGCTCAGAACGCAAGGTACACGTACAGAATCAGAAGAGAACTGAAGTGATCCTCTGTCTGGGGATTCCAACACACCAGTTTCCAAACTCAGACCCAGGCCAATCTCACAGCAAAGAAAGAAAATGCATACTAGAGAGTCACTAGAGAACATACAACTGTTCTTGCTCAGAAACTCCTTCTTCCTGCTTTACTTGCTTCCTTTGTATCGAAACATCCTTTCTTTCATGAAATAAAAAAATGCAAGCAGTCAATAAAATTTTTGTGTTGTCTGTTTTAAAATATCCCAGCACAATAAATGTTGGCAACTTTATATTAGTCCCTCCTTTGAAAAAAACAGTATTAGGGTACAAAATTTCTTTTAGAATCTACCACTATTTAATTCTCTAGCTTAAGCACTGAGGCTCTGGCAGGGAAGAGATTTTCTCAACAACACAGTGAGCAAATGACAAAGAAATGATAGTAAGGACCCAGGGTCTACTAAATCTTTTCAATTCCTTCGACGGCATCCAGTGTTTGTTTGAACATTTTTAACTCAGTACTTTTCAAAATACTAGATTCCAATTCTAACAATTCTCCACAGGAGAATGTTCTACCCTATTTACAGCCAGTATGTTATGTGACTCCTTGTTGCTTTGATACATAGGTTGGAGACTGCCCTTCAAGAACTTACAGATTGTTATGTCCCTCACCTAAATCAGATGTTTCTTCTACAGACCAAATAACTTCAAAAACATCAACTGTAACTATTCCTCCACTCCGCCTGCCTTCCTTCCCTGCGTAAACTCAAGTCTATTTATGTTCCCTTCTTAAAATATGATATACAAAATAGAATATAATTCTCTAGATATGTGTCTAGAATTGAGGAAAGTGAAGTGGAATGTAACTTCACTGATGCAAATTCTATACTTCAACCACTTCAGTCTAATACAAAACTAGTTTTGATTATTTTTTAAAACAGCCACATCTGACTGCAAGATATTAAATGAGGTGGGTCTTTCAACCAAAATTTCAGTTAAGTCAGACTCACCCATCCTTATCCACTCTCTAGAATATCTTCTTCTCTATAGTTTTCAGCTATAATGTGTATGCTGATAACCATAAAAAATTACATTCTAATTCTGGTTCCTTGGTACTACATGAATGACTATGATCTGAGTTCTAGTTTCGCTTGTATGCATGCTTGCTTTTCATTCTAGGCTACATGCTTCTTGAGGTGGAATCATATACTAACTTTTTACTGTCTAACATTTAGTCCAGTCCATTAATATAGTGAGTTTGTGAAACAGAACTCAGTTTCATAATATTTTAATTCTTAGCAGTATTAGTTATTAAAAACTTCTCTCTCTTGTCCCTTAAAATGTGTCTATAAAATACTTATCCATTTAGAATTATAACTTATTAGGCACTAGTATTAGAGTTTTCTCATCTGAGGATTTAATGGAAAACAAGATTTGATTTATTAAAATTAGTTTTATGTACAATATTTAAAGACTATACCTGCCTGAGACATTCCTGTTCTCTTCGGTTGATATGGGGTTTTTCCTACACCTACCAAATGTATTACAAATACAAACTGGTCTTGCAATTTTAATTGATTCTATTACTGTACACAGCTGCATTATCTCAAAACAACTAAAAATGTTTGCCATAGTTAACACATTTAAAACAATGTTGAAAACTAAAAAATGTTTGTATTCCACTACCAATTCACAATATTAACTCTATAAAAGCTTACTTACTTTAATAAATATAGTAATTTAATTATGGTACCTTGTAGCTTAAAATGCGGTAAAACAAAGAATGGTTTAGGTCTTTCTTTCATTGCATTCCTCAGGGGAGAGCTAAGTGTCTACGATTCTAAAGCAGTTATGCAGCTTTCTTAAGGGTTAAGAAGAAAAATATGACACTACCACCTCCCTAGGAGAGAATGCTACAGGAGCAAGATTTAGGACACAATAGTAAGAAAAGTATTACTTAGAGTTCTATTGAGAAAAGGGCCACACATACTAGTCTCTAAAAGAATAAGAATCCTCAGGAGAAAGAATCCAAAAATACATGGGCTGTAATGCTTTGCCATAATGAAAAAAATTACCTAATTTTCAAGGAACTTTTTCCCTAAGAGGAGAAGCCAGAGCCGCAGTTCCCAAACATGTGTCTACTGAATAGCGAGTGAGGCACTGGCAAGATGGCATGAGGGGGAAAGCTGTTTGAGATGAAGGATGGCAATGTGTTCCAAATTCACAGAAAAAAGACATGCAGGTTAATGGACAGACCTCTCTGAATTTTGCTGTAATCCTTGGTGCCCACTAATTTAACTGCTGGCAGACAAGAAAGAGATGAAAGAGTAATATGATGTTCTGTAACGGGCACCATGATTTCCAGGTGTCCTGGTAAATGAACTACTTGTAAAATCATTAGTTTGCAGAGTTTATATGTGAAATCTCATTACAGAAAAGCTTCAACTTGTAGAATTACATAATTTAAGTTCTGATGAATTTCAGTTATTCAATAAATATAGATATTTTGATCCTATCAGAAAGGTAAAGATGCGGGAAAGAAAAAAGCTGTGATCCATCCCTTCCACCGAGAACATACTTTCTTCTAAGGAACCGCAGTTGTGTGGATGCAGGTAGACTTTTTGCACTGGGATGAGTTACTCCAGCATTTCTACCTGCATGTTCCGAGTCAGTCAGGTACATCAGTCCTTTCAGCAGAACCTGCCTTAGGCACTTAACCTTTCATGGCTCAGGTGTGCCAAGACAAAAAAGAATGGCCCAAATGGAAGAACAGATCAAAGCTCCAGAACAAATACAACTAATGAAGAGATAGCCAACCTATCAGATGCACAGTTCAAAACACTGGTGATCAGGATGCTCACAGAATTGGTTGAATTTGGTCCCAAATTAGATGAAAAAATGAAGGACATGAAGGAAAATGCACAGAAATCCAACAGTGATGGGAAGGAAACGGGAACTCAGATCAACAGTGTGGACCAGAAGGAAGAAATAAACATCCAACCAGAAAAGAATGAAGAAACAAGAATTCAAAAAAATGAGGAGAGGCTTAGGAACCTCCAGGACATCTTTAAACGTTCCAACATCCGAATCATAGGAGTACTAGAAGGAGAAGAGGAAGAGCAAGATATTGAAAACTTATCTGAAAACATAATAAAGGAGAACTTCCCCAATCTGGCAAAGGAAATAGACTTCCAGGGAGTACAGGATGCTCAGAGAGTCCCAAAGAAGTTGGACCCAAGGAGGAACATGCCAAGACACACCAAGATTAAAAATAAGGAGAGAATCTTAAAAGCAGCAAGAACTAAAGAGATAGTTACCTACAAAGGAGTTCCCATAAGACTATCAACTGATTTCTCAAAAGAAACCTTAGAGGCAAGAAGGGGCTGGAAAGAAGTATTCCAAGTCATGAAAGGCAAGAACCTTCATCCAAGATTATTCTATCCAGCAAAGCTTTCATTTAGAATGGAAGGGCAGATAAAGTGCTTCTCAGATAAGGTCAAGTTAAAGGAGTTCATTATCACCAAGCCATTATTATATGAAATGTTAAAGGGATTTATCTAAGAAAAAAAAAAGATAAAAAATATGAACAGTAAAATGACAACAAACTCACAGTTATTAACAACCACACCTAAAACAAAAACAAACTAAGCAAACAACTAGAACAGAAACAAAACCACAGAAATGGAGATCACACGGAGAGTTATCAGTAGGGGAGTGGGAGGGGGAGAGGGGGAAAGGTACAGAGAATAAGTAGCATAAATGGTAGGTAGAAAATAGACAGGGGGAGGTTAAGAATAGTATAGGAAATGTAGAAGCCAAAGAACTTATATGTATGACCCATGGACACGAACAAAAGCAGGGGTGGTGGGGGGGGATGTGGGTAGGAGGGGCTGTGCAGGGCAAAGGGGAATAAAGGGGGGAAAATGGGACAATTGTAATAGCATAGTCAATAAAATATATCATTAAAAATCTGTTGTTTTTGAGAAAAAAAGAAAGGTAAAGATGCATTCTAAAAAAATTTAAACAAAAATATCTAATACTCTAGATCATGAGGTCTATAACACATTACTAAGAAAAAAATGATAAAATAGCTTGCTAGTATTTCCATTAACTAAATAAAGCTAAAAGAATATATGTATATTAATTTTAAGAGGAAGAACTGGGGGAAAATTTAAGGACTCTTCACTTTCATTGCATTCTTTTTAAAAAAATTTTTATTTGATTTACTGGAATGACATTAGTTAATAAAATCATATGGGTTTCAGGTATACAATTCTATATATATATATATATATATATATATATATATATATATACACACACACATAAAATAGAAATATATATATAAAGTACCTGTATATGGTATTGTTTGCCTACCACCCAAGTCTAGTCTCCTTTGTCACCATTTATCCCCCTTTACCCTATTCTACTTCCCCCACCCCCTTGCCCTCCACTAAACAAGGATATTTCTACTTTGAAAGTAATTATAATCAACATAAGGTATAGACTTCTATTTACATCAAAGTAAAAAAATGTATTAAATCTACCACTGCTGCAACAAAGCTCTTACTTTACTGAAATAATTTTTAGTTTAAAAATACATACTTGTTTAGTGTCAGCATCAATAAGATCAAAGAACGCTCGAACTGTAGTCAATTGTAATTGTTTGCACCTGAAGAATAAAATGTGTTACAAATGAAACTTTAATAATATACTTTTGATACAAACACACACAATTCTATTATTTAATCAAATATTTGAGTTTGCTTTATTGCTGTAAACTCTAAAACCATTTAAGAAATCATCATTATTAAGCAAGTTTTTTAAAGTTGAAGCAAAAACAAAGCAAACTAAATCTTCCTGAATGACTGGCAGTAGAACCGACAAGGTCCCTCTATGTTCCTCATCTAAATTTCCTCGTCTGCCCCAGCTGCAGATGTGGCCTACACCACTGTTACATGCCTGAGCTGTGTGGTTCTTGCAGTCACCACTGATTGCAAAGCCCGAGGAAGGTGAAAAAGAGAACCTTTAAGCCAGAACACATAGAGATAAGATACTAGGGTCTACATATTTCTCGAGCAATATTTAATCTATTTATTTATATTAAGGGTAAATCTAATTCCAGCTTGGTTTTCCATGTGATACTCTAGAATAACCAATGCTGTATCCATCAAGTCCCTAAGTTTGATGACCTGTGGAGAGAGCTCAAGAAGTCCTAAAACAAGTGCCTTTGATTCTGCCCAACTACAACAAACTAAACTTTGGATATCTGATACTAGCTTCACTTGAGACTGATGCTACTGGTTCTCAGATTATTTCATAGGTTATCAAGGGAATCTTGGTCACACTGAGACAAGAATCAAGTTTAGAGTTCGAAACTCCTAAATTAATCTGTCTCCAAAATCCTTATTTATGTATGAATGAAGCTCTCAGAAAGTTAACAAACCAATCAATGCACTGCCGAGAAGAGAGGACCACCAGAAACCATCAAAATAAATTACATCTACATACCACACAATGGAGAGGTGGTCTGTTGACACCCAGGTCTTAGGCACTGCTGTACTCTAGAAGGAAAGAAACAAACAAAAAATCAAACTTAAGAAAAGCACATTTGTTATTCTCCAAAAGGCCTGAAGTATTTACAAGCTAATATTTAGAAACATGCAGCATTAGTTTTGCTATTTTATGATGCATAGACATTTTTAAATGATGTATTCTTATCAAAGGTGATCCAAAAATAATAAGGTATTTCCTGCATAAAAAAATTTTCCTCCTGGCTGGCGTAGCTCAGTGGATTGAGCGCAGGCTGGGAACCAAAGTGTCCCAGGTTCGATTCCCAGCCAGGGTACATTCCTGGGTTGCAGGCCATAACCCCCAGCAACCACACATTGATGTTTCTCTCTCTCTCTCTCTCTCCCCCCCTCCCTTCCCTCTCTAAAAAATAAATAAAAAAATATTAAAAAAAATTTTCCTGTCATTACTGTTTAGTCACACTTATATTACCCTTTAAAAATTATTAAAGCATCCAGATTCCCTCCTGAGTTTAATGTCTCTTTATTACTCTAACAAGAGACTGAGTTTATGATTCTTTAATAAATCATAGTTTATGGGTAAATCATAATAGATATTTTAATAACTTTAGTTCTAAACAGACCAACTGATAAATTCTAAGATATTTCTTCTTAATCAGAGTATGCCTGATAAATACCTTAGCCTGAAGATATTTTCCAAAAGAAATATGCCTGATCACAATTCCAAAACTATCAAATCAGACTCTTACAAGTAGGGTCCAGGGTTACTTACTTTGAAAAAAAATCACTAGATGACTGGTATATATACTACTTGTTAGAGACACAAGGGCAAAGACTCCTAAAAAATGTAACTATTGCAGAAGGCTTCCTAACAATGACATAACACCCTTCAGTCCAGACTCTAAAGTGGGAGGAATCTATAGCTTACTTGAACTTACGAACTTATAAACATTAGGTACCTTATTTAGGAATTACTGCTGGCAGCTTAATTAAAAAGTCAAGACAATGAGAGTTCACTGTGGTTCTAAGATTGTATTGGATGCTCAGCAGAGTAAGATCTCACAGCAGAGCACTTACCATTACCAAGAACATAAAATGGGTTTACTTTCATTCAGGCTAATGAATGCACCAGAGCTAGAGTTGAAAGAGGGAAAGGCAACACAAATAATAAAGGCAGTTGCTCATGATCTTTGGTGAAAACTTCTGAATGTCCACCAAAATCCATTCTGGCCTTCTCGCACACTTGGCTAGACTACATCTCTTGGCCTCTCTTACTTTAAGGTGCGACTAATTGTTCTCTATCAGAATGTGAACAGGAGTGATGTGTGCATTTCCAGGCCTGACTGCTCTTCTTCCCTCTTCCTGTGGGTTGAAACAGTGATGATTAGAGCAACCTCAAAAGCAGAACATTCAAGAAGGGGGTGCCTACTGTCAGCCTAGGTCCCTTATGAGACTTCTTCAAAAAACCACCCACCAACTTAAATACACACCTTGGGCAATTATATGAGTAAATGTAAACCTCTATCGTGTTTAAGTGCCATCACCTGCATGAGTACATATAACAAGAGTTTAGCTTACCCTACCAATATAACTGTGCTAACTTAAGCAATTTTTCTAGGCCCAATGGATGTAAATGTCATTTAACCATTCTTGAGATAATCATTAAAAAAACTGTTATTTCTTAATGATTTTTTTAAGTGAACATACTTTAAAACACGAAAGACCTAGACTGTTTGGAATCTAAAAAACTAAATAAAACAGATTATAAAATAACCAGCTTTGAGAAAATTCCGTAAGTAAAATATTTTCATCAGAGACACAGAAATACAAGTTGCCCTGAAAGCAATACATTAGCAATGGATAAGAAAACAGGGAAACACATGTGCATGCACACACAGCTGAAAAGACCAAAGTTCTTTCAGAAAGAAGCTGCAGGATGTGGTATCAACACAGCCTCGTGCTCTAGACCGAGTCTTGTAAATAAGTTATCTCTATTTCCATGTGACTAAATAAAACATCGGCATTTACTACAGAGTTGACATTTAATGTTTTGAGGACTTCCAGGAAATGTCTGCCCAAAACATTCAACATCAAATAATATTCGTACCAACAATGAGGTTTGAGAGATTTACCAATTTTGTTCCAAAGCTACTATGGCTATACCACAACTTCAGTTACAGGAAAATGGTGGGTAATAGCAGAACTGCTTAATAATTTTTGTTCTGTGTATGGCAAGCATTCAGTAAGTACCTGCTCGATGAGTGAACAGCAACTTAAGGTGGGGCAACAGATGAACTATGCAAAGGAGTATTTATGAAATGAGTAACTACGAAAGAAAGCACTAGCTTCTAAAAAGCAAAAGGAACTATGGATTTTTTTAGAAATTAAATTAAGTTATATTGGAAGATGATGTGTATGTTGAGTTAAAAAAAGTTAACATCTTAACTGAAGATTTCAGGTGAAAAATATAAGAAATAATGTAAGCCCTAAAAGGAAACCTGAACTGACTTTACAGAGGTTATGTAAAGACCAAATACTTGATGTCCTAGCAAGGAAGAATAATTAGCAAATTAATTAATCAGGGTTCTGTTTACACTATCAATTTCTGACAGCTAATTTTTAAATTCTAGAATTGGTAAAACTTGAAGTTTACCAATCAAGAGTATACGTTATGTTTGATATTCTGCTACAAGAGTACACAGCACACCACTCAGATGGAACAAGAGGCCTGTGGACTTCAGTCCACACTTTCTTATATTTAACAACTCTAATTGATGCATAGGCACTTATTTTAAACAAGAAACAATTATTTCTCATAATTAAGATTTATTTTCAGTCTCTAAGGTCCTTTTTACTTTCTGTGAACACAAGCATCCATGCCTGTCTTCTCAGCATCGTCCACCCATGCATTCGTTCGTTCACTCACGTGCTCCCTCTCTCTGTGTCTCTGCCTCCCACACACACACACACACAAACACAAGAGCGGCACGACACCATCTCGGCAGTCACTTCCAAGCAGCGACACGTTACTTCTCCACTCATGCCCCTCTGCACTCATCATGTCACTATTTCAGTAGAGTCTTTAAAAAAGATTACCACGACAGATAAGGCACTGGCATGATGGCTTAGTTTTGGCAGAAAAGTCAGTCCTGATCGAACTTGGTAATCCCGGAATCCTCCAGCTACAGAGAGTGTGGTTAAATTTATGTGTCCAGCATTTAGAATCCAATAGTCATTTACAGTCTCATAAAAATCTGGCAGAAAATAAAAAAGACATTAAAAATTAGTAGTCACTCCATACACCATTAAGATATCCATATTAATATTAAACTGGATTTCTAAGGCATCGGAATTATCTATAAACAATGGTATTCACATTTCTCTATTTTAATACTTTATAGATATTCTGCTTACCCCATTAAATCAGATTACAAATACTAAGTGTTAACTGAAAGTATCAATAGTGAAAAAAGATACCCAAATTTTTTAGCTTGACAAATTGATATGCAAACAAGTCTCTACATTCCAAAAGGATGCTACTTGTTCACAAGCCACACAAACCTAAAAAACCTAAAATTCTTCCAAAGATAAGAGTTTACTATGCTAGAGAGTAATAGATCTTCCTAATTAGGCAGTATCCTTATTAAGGCTTAGCAGCTGTCCCCTGTAGCCAACCACCACCACACAAAGTACTACTTAAGTTCTTAAAATAAAATCTATCAGGACAATAACATTCTAGTCTTGGAACTATGCAGCTGTGGAAAATCTGAGGGCTAACGTTCTCTCTCTTTAGTGCAATAAGTAGTTCAACTGGAAGAACTTGCAGACAATTTTTCCACTTTTTCTATGAACAATGAGAAAATTTTACTGTCAAGACTTGAGGTCAGGGGAGGGGAGTTCTCATTTCCTCTTCTACTTATCAAAACAATGCATTTTTATCCTGGTATTTGATCCCATTGAGGGCTTCAAATATTTCGGAACAGCATACAGCTCCCATTAAAGATCTCAGCAGCATTTACTTAGATTGTGTCCACGCAAACCCATTCCTAATATATGCAAGGCCTAGGGTAAGAGTACCATGGGGTACACATGCCATATGCCTAAATAATGAAAAGTCAAAATTCCCACTGGCAAACTGTTAAATCAGATATATTTTCTCAACCTGGAAGGCCAGGTTCAAATGCAGAATTCTAGGACACCTCAGAGTTGGACACTGGATAATGGCAGCACAGGGCGAGCCTATCTATGGCCCATCACTGTGCCATCATCCTTCTCTTCCCATCCCAATTCCTTCCTGCGTCACAAGGTCCTCCGTGCTATCTGTACCTTGTGCAAAGCCACTGCTGGGCCACGACTCAAGCTTGTACTTCCCTACCCTCAGAACAGAATCAAATAAGAGGCCCACACGGGCCCTGGAAGTGAGCTTGGGGCATATGGACAAGAACAGTCTAGAGGCTTGGCTTCCTGGAATATGGTCTGAAAGTAAAGGCACAGCCTTCAGTGGGGAGGATGCTTGGCCTGTACATGCAAAACCCGGTGGGGAATGGCAGCACCAGCGCAGGGCCCTCTGAGTGTGGGGCTCCTCGCAGGCCTCCCCTTGCCCTAGTGAAGGGCAGAATTTCTACCAACCATAAACAGGATCTACTTCTGGAGGGGCATGAGTCTCCTAAAGACCTAAAATCTACAACCCTTGAACATTTGTTTTTACATTCTAATTCTGGCCTAATGCAATAAAAAATAAATACGGAACAAACGGGAAAGAAGCTTGCTCATCACAGTAAGAACACCGTGGCCCTAAGAAGCAGTTCAGCCTGAGCCTTTTAGAGACAGAGTATCGCTATCCATCAAAACAGTAAAACCCAAATCTCTTAAAAGTTTTTCTCAAATAATTTTAAATGTATTTTCAGTAATTCCAATTTAAACCTACAGGACTCATCTACATATAAAATGCAGTAAGGAAGAGTTCTCAATTGTGCTACAAGTGTTATGAATTGTTTATGCCTTTGACTTTTTTCTAAACCTATAGGTAATTTATAATTATTAGAGTTAGATTTAAATAACTTCAACAATAAAACGAAAATTTTTCATTAAAAAACTGCTACAGGAAAAGTGTTCAATGTAATGAGAAAAATCAAACTTCACTGTTCAGTATGATTGTATCAGATATTCCAGCAAATTACTCCTTGGACATGTCTGCTGGGACGGGTGCTCTGGACAACCACTGCTGTGCTCTAGAGTCACCAGGGTGTATTTCTCACTTAACTAGAAACACAAGTTTCTTCACAATTAAGATAATAGAAACTCTGATAGGGTAAGAAGTTGAGTAAATGTACTGATCATGAAAAAGAATTATTTCTTTCTAAAGATTTTCTTCTATTCACATAACATTGCAATAAGCAGTGAAGATAATATTCGACTTGAATAAAAAGTTGATAGGCATTTAATTCTTACTGTGACATTATCACTATTCAATTACCTGACAGCAATCATAGACGCTTACTGTTCAAAATTTCCTGCAACGTTAGAGCATTACCCATAATTTTATTTCCCTAGCAACAATGTACTCATTAAGAGGCAGGGCAGCATGCGGAAGTTAAGAGCACAGGCCCAGGAACAAGGTTACCAGGGTCAAATACTAGCTCCACTCTTTTCTCGCCAATGTAACTTTGGGCAAAACCTTTGTCTTGGACTCTTTTTTTTCCATCCATAAACATGGAGATAACAATGGCACCAGGACTAAGTGACTTAATAATACCACATAGAAAGTCCTTTACACAATATCCGAAATATAGTAAGAGCTCAATGAACATTAGCAATTCTACCTCACCACATAGTGTTAGCAGAGCTGTTTATTTTAAAACAGGACTTTTCTACCATTTTGCTTAAAAATATGCTTATTTTGAGTAGAGTACTGGGAAGTTAACAAAACACAGGAAATTTAAACACATTTTAAGAGACAGGGAGTCATCTTCAAGAATAACTAAACCTAAGCTCAAGTGCCTAGGGACAAGACATATGCCATCCATGTAACATGCTATAGACACAGGAAACTAACAGCGGCTTCATCTATGAGCCTAAGTCGAAAGTCGCAGAGAAAGAGACAGTTGGAACTGGAGGTGATCTGAAACTGAGTGGCTCCACCAATGGATGAATTTGCAGTACGCTCTAAAGGGAGTAGCTGCAAGTATTTGTTTCATTCTAAACAACAGTGGGGAGGTCCATTAGTGCTAATGTGACAGCAACTCACCTGTGATGAAGCGATCTAACGGCATCACAGGAGCAACGTGGGGGGTGGCTTGTGTAATAAGGAGATTTATCAGATCTTGTTTAAAATTTTTCAGTGTCAGCAATGCCCTTGCAACAAGGCCACCCATAGAATGACCAATTATTGCCACACTCTTTGGAGCAAATGCTTGACCCTATTAAAAAAAACACCAAAGCATAATTAATACTTAGCATCATAACAACAATACTAAAAACTTCTCTCTAAATAGAAAAGAATTAAACTATTTATTTAACCTCTTATCACAAACTACAGAAACACATTTTATTTTCTGAACCAAAATCAGAAAACTTGGGTCTAGCAAGTCATGCTTTATCATTTGTTATATTGGATATAAGAGATGTAATTTTGCTTGGTGTATACCAGGTTACTAGATTTTATAGGCTCATTTGTTTAAAATTGGAAATACTAGGAAACCATAAAATTTAGGGTTGCTACAGTGGCCTCATCATATTGATATAGCTTATCTCATCAAATTATTTCCCTATTATGCACCTGTGTTTAAAAATAAACCAACATTTCACAACATTTATTCACTAACAATTACATATTTTATTTCTTAAATTTAAGTATTGCATTTTGAAAAAATCTTTCCTACCTCTACACAGTATCCTCAGTTTCACTATCAAACTTTTGCTCATCGTCCTTCATACTGATCCTTCATGCCTTCTATGCTGTTACTGCGAATAAAATGGACCTTGTGCAGAAAACAGTTCACTGTAGACCTGAAACTGCTATCCTTAGAACGGGCTGATACAAGGCTAGCTCTGCTCTGCAGTCTGGGACCTTAGATTTTGGGAGGGTTCCCACCATTCCCTAAATGATAAGAATGTCTCACTATGCTAACACTGTGCAAACAACATCTTTTATGCTGAACACTACTGTCCTTCGCATTGGGATTTTGGTATGTGATAGGCACAGGGTGTCAATACAACCAATCATCAATAAAAATACTGAACATTGAGTCTCTAATGAACTGCTCTCATAGACACTTCACACATGTTGTTGTAGACATTAAATGCACTTGGTGTGACTCTCCTGAAAGAGGACTTCTGAAAGCTCACCCCTGCATTTTCCTCCATACTTCACCCCCATGCACCTTTTTCTTTGCTGATTTTGCCTTGTGTCCTTTCACTGTAATAATTGGGTGGGCCAAAAAGTTCATTTGTTTTTTCCCCATAAAATGGCTCCAGTAGCGCTTAGCTGTCTTTAACTTCATTTGAAACAATTTTGTTAGATCATACTGTGACAACTGTCACATCAGCATGAGCATGCACTCAAAAAAACTTATCAAAATTGGTGAATTTTTGTGCAGTTCATTTTAACATTGAAGGTGGAAGAAAATACTCAACATTTTCAGCATATTATACTTTATTATCTCAAGAAAGGTAAAAACACAACTGAAATGCAAAAAAGGGTTTGTGCAGTGTCTGGACAAGGTGCTGTGTGACTGATCAAATGTGTCAATCATGGTTGGTGAAACTTCATGCTGGAGACTTTTCACTGGACGATGCTCCACAGTCAGACAGACCAGGTGAAGTTCATATCGATCAAATTGAGACATAAATTGAGAACAATGAATGTTATATCATGAGAGAGAAAGATGACATACTCAGAATATCCAAATCAATAAAGTTACTGGCGAAAATGAAAAATGTCTTATTTTATGGAAAAGAACATACAAACTTTTTGGCCAACCCAATAAATCATAACCTGAGTACAACTATGTGCTGAGTCCTATGAGTCCTCCTGGAGAATCACAGAGCCTGGGAATGGTCGTGGGGATCCCCACAGACCTGATCCCAGCAAAATCCAAGACCACACATGTGCTCTGAAAGCTCTCTCCTTCGGCCTTCTCAAATACATCACGCCAGCAATTCTCACCTTCCTCTTGCATCACTGTTTTTCCTGTTCTACTACACCATTCTTGTTAGCATACAAATATACTGCTGTTCCCCTTCAAAAACAGACAACTCTTTTTATTCCCACTGTCCCCTTAGTGACCACACCTTTCTCTACTCCCTTTACAGCAAAACTCTTCAGAAACCAGTTATTTATACAGTACCTGCCCTCTCCAGTTTCTCAGCCTCCACACTCTTAAACCCATTCCAATCAGGCTTTCACCCCAGCGCTCCTCAAAACTGCTCTTATCAAGTCACCAAAGCATCTAATGGCCAGTTCTGAATGTTCCTCTTACCTGACCTATCAACAACAACTGACACAGCTGATTACTTCTTCCTCTGTAAAATGCTTTACTTGGTTTCCTTAACAATATACTCTCCTGGTTCTTCTCTTACCTCACTGGCTGCTCCTTTTTAGTTCCTTGCTTGTTCCTTCTCATCTCCCCTCATCTCTTAGGAATGGAGTAAGTCAGGCCTCAATCCTTATATCTCTTTCATAACTTGACTCCCCAGTGATCTCATCTAGTCTAATGGCTTTGAATACATTTAAACTCCTAAATTATAATCTCCAGACTGGACTGCTTTTCTTAAACTCTAACTCTAAACTCCAATTGCATATTAGCTACACTTGGGAAATCTAGTTAGAGTCTATCTTAAATTGAACCTGTGTTAAACTAAACTATTAATCTTCAAATCAGTCTGTTCCTCCTCCATTTCCCCCCACTTCAGTTAACAATACTTCAATCCTAGTTGTTTAGCCAAAAGAATTGGGGTCATTCCTCTTTTTCTCTCACACTGCACCTCCGTATCTGCTCTGCCATGAAATCTTCTTGCCTCCACCTTTAAGGATTACACCAATCTGACCATTCATTATCATCTCTGCTGCTATCAACTTGATCCAAACTACCATTACCTCTTGCTGGAATCACTGCAATAGCCTCCTACCTGGTCTCTCTGCTCCGCCCTTACATCCCTCTAGTTTATCCTCAGAAGCATCAAGACTGATACTGTTAAAGCCTAAACTAGAATATGTCACTCTTTTGCTCAAAGACCTCTGCAGGGGCTTCCCATATCAATTCAAATAAAAGGCATCATTTTTAAAATTGCCTGCAAGGCTCTGTACTCTGCCTTCTCCCCAACCTCTCCTTCTTCTCTGTCTACTCCAGCCACACCAGTCTCCTTGTTCTTTAAATACAGCACACACGTGCTTGCTTCATGCATTTGTTTCCTTTCCTTAAGTACCCTTTCCTAAATATGCAAATGACATACTCTCATGTCTTTTATTTTATATTAAGTGTATTTTGTTGATTATGCTATTAGTTTTCCCAATTTCCCCCCCTTTGCCCCTGTCTGTCCAGTAACCCCCCCTTCCTTCCAGCAAGCCTCCCCACAATCCAGTTCATGTCCATGGGTTGTGCATGTAAGCTGTTCCCTTTCTCTACTTCCTACACTATTCTTAACTTTCCTCTATTTTGTACCAACCAATTATGCTTATTTCCTGTACCTTTTCCCCCATTCTCTCCCTCCCTTCCCCCTCCCTACTGGTAACCCTCTAAATGATCTCTGTATCTATGATTCTCTCCCTGTTCTAGTTGTTTGCTTGTTTTTTAGATTCAGTTGTTGATAGTTGTGAATTTATTGTCATTTTAGTTTTGTTCTTCTTTTTCTTAAATAAGTTCCTTTAACATTTTGTATACAAGGGCTTGGTGATGACTTGCTCTTTTAGCTTTACCTTTTCTGGCAAGCACTTTATCTGCCCTTTAATTCTAAATGGTAGCTTTGCTGGAGAGAGTAATCTAGGTTGTAGGTCCTTGCTTTTCATTCCTCTGAATACTTCTTACGAGTCCCTTCTTGCCTGTAAGGTTTCTTTTGAGAAATCAGCTGACAGTCTCATGGGAATTCCTTTGTAGGCAATTACCTGCTTTTCTCTCGCTGCTTTTTTAAGATTCTCTCTTTATCTTTAATCTTTGGCATTTTAATTATGATGTGTCTTCGTGTGTTCCTTTTTGGGTCCAACTTGTTTGGGACTCTTTCGGCTTCCTGCACTTGTATGTCTATTTCCTTTGCCAGATTGGGAAAGTTCTCTTTCATTTTTTTTTTTCAAATAAGTTTTCAATTTCTTGCTCTTCTTCTTCTCCTCCTGGCATCCCTATGATTCGGATGTTTGCACTTTTGGAGTTGTCTCAGAGGCTTCTTATACTCTCATTTTTTGGTTATTGTTTCTTCATTCTGTTCTGATTGACTGTTTATTTCTTATGTTCCACATTGTTGATTTCAACCTTGGCTTCCTTCTGTTCCCTGTTGGTTCCCTGTGGATTTTTCTCTATTTCACGCAGTGCAGCCATCATTTCTTCCCTTATGTTTTGCTGCACTCGAGTTCTCTGAGCATTCTTATCACCAGTGTTTTGAACTCTACATCTGGTAGGTTGGCTACCTCCATTTCACTGAGTTCTTTTTCTGGGGTTTTATTCTATTCTTTCATTTGAACCATGTTTCTTTGTTTCCTCAATATGGCATCCTCCCTGTTTTGTGTATTAGGTAGACCTGCTTTGACTACTTATCCTTGCGTACCTGATACCTTGTGTGGTGTGGAGCCTTAGGTACTCACCAGAGCAGGGCAGCCTACTTCACCACTTTGTGGTTCTGTACTTGTGGCAGGGATTGGAAAGGGAACAATGCTGCTGTCTGGCTGCTGAAGGCTTGATTGGCATTTGCCATTTCCAGTCACTTCACCCCCTTCCTGTATACAACTGGCACCCTTCTAGCTGCTATCCTGGGGGTAATTCCCAGAGAGGGTGAGTTTGAGTTCATTCTAGGACCACGCAGACCTTTTAAGTGGACTTTTCCTGAGAGACTGGCTGTTTATTCCACCGCTTCAACCCCTACTGGTTTTACAGCCAGAAGTTATGAGATTCTAATTTCCCAGCGCTGGAATTCTGAGCTACATGGTCTGGCCTGGGGCAGGGGTCGCTTGCTTCCAAAGTGTCCCTCCAAATTTTGTCCACCATAGGTGAATGTGGGACCACCTTTTCTGCTGGCCGCTGTTGCATTACCACCACCACACTGTATCCTCTCCACCCTGGCTGCCCACCTCTGCCCCTCCTACCCATCTGGATACATATGGCTTCATTAAATGCTTGGTTGTCAGACTTCTAAACACTTCAGTTTTATGGCAGTTCTGGGTATTTTCTGTTTTGAGGTTAGTTGTGATCCTTCTTATGGTTGTGCAAGGGAG